TACTCACCACCCAAAGAACATTGCTTGACCATAGGCCCTGAGGACAGGATTAATGACAATAAACAGGGTTACTATCCACACCGCAATGGAACATTTTGCCAATTCTTTCAAGTCTTTAGCATTGAAGTGGTCCAACCATGGAGGCATCCTCCTCTTTTGGGGAGAAGACGCGTTGGCCGGGTCGAAAAAAGAATTACTTTCGGTTTCATCGGGAACTCCGAGGCCTTCTGGACCACTAGAAGGACCAGTGGTCTGTTTCTCATGCCCATTATTCTGTCTAGGACTCGACATGACCGGAACCAAGCTCTCCAGCTAGGGATGTCTGGGGCAGTTCGCAGAGTAGCGCTGACGTACAGGTTCAAAGCCGATTTATCGTGTTTCGACCCATTCGTATCATGTTCATCAATGATGAGGCGAATTCTGGTCAGGCGTAGCTATTGATGTGGCACTTCGAGTCTGAAGAAGTCAGGAAGGATTGAAATTGTTGATGGTGACAGATGTTGAACCGCGTTTGGAGGACTTCCCATCACAAACTTCTGGGGCTAAACTTGCCGGGAATTAACCACATAGTGACTCGGAGGTTGTGCAAAGCGAAACTTTAAAAGTGAAAATGCATAAGTGGTAGATCTGCATACCATAGATGCACAATGTGAATTGAAAGTACCTACTTCGATGCGGCTCCAGCTATACCATGAAAACAACTGACACACTGGTCTCGTAGGCTTGTAAATACCTAGGTACCCACGGGCCACGGTCCGTATCTAGTGGTTGATGCACAAAAGAAGCAGCCACTGTAAACTTGGCGTCTTAAACGACGTGACAACGCTAACCAGAAACTACCTAGGTAGGGACCTAGGTACTGGTCAAGTCATGTACGTACCTACCTCTTCGTAGGTATGTTTGAGCGCTTCCTAGAGTCTTCAGCTTGAACTCGAGGATTTCTAAATAATCTTACACCTGGGAACTCGAGGCACCGTTACCACGACAGTAGTGCCGCCTCTTCTTGAGTATTATCAACGCAAATCTTGGCTGGTTCCCACCCACCCCTGCAGACTAATCCTCTTACAAACCTCGATTTCCGCAACTACGGGCGCTTCATGGTGCCATCGTTACAAGAGGGCCTGGGTTCCAGACATGGCAGCGACTCCGTCAAGGGAGATTGAGTCTTTGATACTCCTGGCCAAATGAAGGAGCCCAAGCGCAAAGCTGTCCTTCCAAGAAGAGAAATGCTTCATAGATACTTGTAGGGTTAAGGTCGGCACTCGATCGAATCCAATGGCCAGCAATTCGTCCTAAGCCAGGAAGCTGCCGAAACAGCCTTCCGGCGTATCCTAGCATGGATCGCTGGCGATACCTGTCCTCTTGCTCAGCTGAGGCAACTCACGATATGCCCGGAGATGGCATAGGAGTACTCCATGGGCGTCTCCGATCGCTGCCTAGCGGCTATGTTGGTACGTAGCAACTTGAAATCCAAAAATTGTCTGTGAACAAGCGCAAAAAGGAGTATTTACCTCACATTGTTAAAGAGTACCTGTCGTCATCTAGGTGTTCAACGGCTGAGAATGGTCACCTTTCACAGGTTCAGTGAGCCTCTGTTTAGCACTTCTCAATGCCACGGCCACAGTACGATTATGTCTGCTTAAGGTCGTTCCGGAATGATCACACATACTGGGACCACCTAGGGCGAACAGTCCCGACATAACCAATTTATCCTCCATTGCAAGTAGTATAAAAGTTGGAATGGATGGATTCTCCGGGTCGTTGCGGCTGGACAATCGCAGGGCATCCAGCTCAAGAAAGTGCTACAAGCAATATAACCCAAGATTGGCTTGGAGTAGCATGCGCTTGCCGGACGGACCATAGATGAGTGGAGGGGGTGGATGTGCATGTCCTGGCTTTGGAGGCTTGCTTGATAAAGAGCCCGGTGTCGAGTTCAACTGCTCATGTGAGGGATTCCCCAAGTCGGAATGAGATTTTCCGCTGCATGGAGACGATTTCTCTACGACTTAGGTTTGTTGAGGGATTTTTCGTTGTGTTGCGGTGGCCATCGACAGACCAAACTTTCGTTGAAGCAACCTCAAGTAGACTCGATCAATGCCCATCTTTGAGTATCGAACAGTATGAATCAACGCCTTTCATAAGACGGAAGTTCCGACCATTTCTCTAACGACTCTGAGGTTGAGCGATGGAGGCCAATCAAAGATGATGGCCTTATCTTCTGGAGATGTTGACGTATGTGTGTGATTGGCAGACCTCTGCCATGCCTATCATACCCCAATACGTCGATGGTCGATTGATCACATCAAGAATAGATACCCCTTGAAGTTGTCTATCTTTGATGGCTAGTCACTGCCACGTGCCTTTCAGAAATATCTAAACACGATTCACGTTGTTGTAATCGGAAGTTTCTTCTTCTTGGCACCCCTGTTCCGGAGCGCTCTTATCACGATGGGACCTTTTCTTTCCGGCCATGCGCCAAGCATCGAGCCTTGCCAACGTTGAACCCTAAATGCTGGGGGCAGCGTTATAATACCAACGGAGGCTTCGCCATTGGAACTCTGTCCTATCATCGATGCGTTGTATAAGCCGACTGCACATGGACTGGGACAATAACAGATACAGAACTGGCTAGCAGAGTTTTGATGACATACCGAGGTGAACAATGTCGAATTTCTCGGGAAGATAAGACCGTCTTGCTGAAGCTCTGTCGCTCCGAGTTGGTGCGAGCTAATCTGACTTTCGATCCATGGTTCATTGACGAAGCTCGAATGGCTGGTCGCCGAGATGACGGACATATAAGAAGAGGCTATCGCTCGCAGTCATGAGGAATTGTTTGGGGCCTCAATATAACCACTGGGGAAGTTTCTTGAAAGCATTGAGAGAGGCGAAACAAGATGAAGATGAAGGGTCTTTCGCTAGGGCCTTTGGCCATCGGTGGATTCTCAATCATTGCTGCTGCCTCACCGACCTATATGAAGAACTTCATGCATGGAACCTTGCCAGTCGCCCTGAAAGGGAGTGTGCTCCAGACGAGCGGTCAGAACTCAACTGGATCATGCAGCTCCGGTACTGCATCGACCGCCAAAGCACCGCTGCAAAACATCTTTGCAGCGCTGACCGCCGATGAAGCAGCCGCAGTGACCAAGTTCCTTCACCAGCAACCAGAGCTCAACCTCACTGCCAATGCCAATGCCACCAGGTACCTTCCCCAACAAGTTTCGACATGTAACTTATTGCAGTGCTGAGACGATCTTAGCTGGGACAATGTAATCGTGCTTGTGGAGCTGTTGCAACCTAACAAATCCGATGCACTTCCTTATCTCAATGGTGACGGGGAGATACCACGTCGATACTCATCAGCGACCATCCAATTCCAGGCCACCGAGGAGCCATATCTGCAAGAATATATCATAGGCCCCTTGCCAGTATCCAATGAGACAACCTTGGAGTCGCTTAACTACCCCTTCAACAAAGGGGTAGGAAAGCAGCGGATCTTTAACGCCGATGCGGAGGCATATCAACAATTTCTGGCGAACGTCTCGGCGTCGGTGGAGGATATTCTAATCGAGATGTTTAATGCGGTCAGCATAGGTTGCCCATCTTTTTGGTTATGTTGACATCCGATACTGACAAGTTGATCTAGACTTACTCTAACTCACTGGAAGATACCTTGTTCATCGGCCCCAGCGATCCCCTCTGGATCGATGATGATACTGGTGCCGTCACTACATGGAATGAGTACAACCCGGCGCCAACAGACATCTTCAACACTGGCTCACTTCTACGAACTGGATTGGCAGTCCGCACTGATCTGACTGGCCGGAACCCTTCAAAGTGGTCGGTGTTGGGATGGTACTATAACGGAGAGTTTTATAAAACCACTGAGGACTTTAGATCCGCTTTTTACAATGGCACTTTCGAGTTCTTCAAGCCAGGCGTCGACGGAGATTGGGGAGCAACCTCTCCAAGCGGACCCGTTCTCCCCCATGATGACACTCCACCACCAGTGAGCGTCCAACCAGCCGATCCCCGTTTCGGAGTGGACAATGAAGAGACCTATATTGAATGGAGTATGTTAACACTCCTTTTTCCCAAGGATCGCACGACGAGCCGACTAATACTCCGCAGTGGGCTTTTCTTTCTTCCTCGGGTTTACTCGTGATACCGGAATGAGACTCTTCGATATCAAGTACAATGGTGAACGTATCGTCTATGAACTGGGAATGCAGGAAGCCATGGCACACTATGCAGGCAGTGGACCTGGCCAGTCATCGCTTTCTTTCCTGGACTCCTACTACGGTTTTGGTCCCAACGCTTTCGAGTTGGTCAATGGATATGACTGCCCTGCGTATGCAACGTACCTGGACACATCATTCTACTGGCGAGAGGAAAGACACTCGCATAAGAACAGCATCTGCATCTTTGAACATGACGCCGGTTATCCCATAGCTCGCCATTCCGCCAATAACTATGTCTATACCACAAAGAATATCCATCTCGTCGTCAGATCTGTGTCAACGCTGGGGAATTACGATTATTTATTCGAGTATGCTTTCTTCCATGATGGATCTATTCATGTTACAGTCCGTGCCTCAGGCTACATTGCCGCGGCATTTTGGGCCAAAAATGAAGACTATGGCTTTCATATCCATGACACAGTCTCGGGCTCAATGCACGATCATGTGTTGAACTACAAGCTCGATCTCGATATTCACGGCACCAAGAACAGTCTGATGAAGCTCGAGGTGATTCCGACCACAGAAATGTAAGTATAACTATCTCACCGAAAGATTGTGCAACATGACTAATTCAAATGCCTCTGCAGCTACCCTTGGTCTGCTGGAGTACCCCGGAATACTATGAAAGTTAACAAGACTTTCATCGAGAGTGAGGATGATTCAAAGATTAACTGGGCTCCTAACAACGCCGCCACTTATGCGATCGTCAACAAAGACACACCCAACAAATGGGGTGAGTATCCCGGTTACAAAATCGCTCCAGTAACCGCATCAACGGCTCACCTGACAATTGTGAACTCTACAAACCTGAAAAATAGTATCAATTGGGCTTCCCACCACCTTTATGCTGTCCAGCAGAAGGATACAGAGCCGCGAAGTGTGTACGCCTTCAGCTCGTTGGATACAGCTCATCCTGTTGTCGACTTTGGCAAGTTTTTCGATGGAGAGTCTCTTGTGCAGGAGGATATCGTCATGTAAGTGATTTCTGTCCAGATTGATATTGAGCAGGGGGTTATGTTCCTGCACAATCTTCCCATGTCATTACTGCAGACTGAACCAGACTGACTCGAACTCTTTGGGCGTTTAGTTATTTCAACTTGGGCATGCATCATGTTCCAGATACTCAAGATCTTCCTAACACTGTCTTCTCGGTATGACTTTCTTCCCACTGCTCAACCCATTTTCGGTTCAGCGTTATCGGCTGGTGTCAGATTGGGAAAGTTCTCACGTCTAACGAGTTCGATAGCACGCCCAATCCACCGTGGCCATTTCCCCACAGAACTATTACCTGCAGAATCCTGTTCGCCAGACCGTTCAACAGATCGAGATTGACTACGACCTCGACACGGTACTCAATATCAAGAAGTTCGGGGTTCAAGATGCAGTTTGCTCATATGACATGGTATGCTCCCCTTTGCTTGAAGATGATGATGGGTTATTTGATCATCTGAATCTCCATTCTGAGACAATTTGCTAACATACTCGCAACAAGTCTAACACTATTGCGAACTTGAGCAACTACGAAGGCGGCGATCTCATCATGCGCAAGTGGCCCTACGATCCATCAAACCCATTCTTTGGCATGACTGAGGTTGAGACAATTTGAGTATTAAGGTACAGCCATCACGTAGTCCAAAAGCGTAGTGGATCATAATTACGAGACTGGTAAATAGAATGCATAATCAGTTTAATCCACCATTGACGGTATAACTCGGTCCTCCACCCGAATACGCTCTCTATGGTGGTACTCTTGAGGTTGTCGATTTACATCTTTTCCCCTTCATCACAATGTTGTTAGCACGGAATGGTTTAGGTGTGCCTATAGACCCTACAGAGCGGAGATCAGTTCACGTGCAACTTTCATAATTTATTAGCTAAACTAGGTACTAGTTTACAGGGAGGTATACGCCTTGTCAATGGCGCATCGCTAGTCATAGTTGAGTCTTTACATCTTACAGGACTCTGTGTTGCATATGAAAAACACTGTGGACCCCCCTCCCTCCCATCCCTGAGCCAGGCCTCCAGCTCAAGCGGGCCCACAATTGACAGCACCCCTCTTCTCTCTCTCAGAGAGGACGTTGCCAGCAATCTCAAGCTTGCCGGCCATTGCCTCGACTCCCGCCACCTCCAGCAGCAAGCGAAGGCGATGAGCAGAGGGAAATGCCCTCTGGCAAACCTCTGTCAACACCACACGCCTCTTGTGGCGGGCGTCTTTCTCAATGAGCTGGGGAACCCACCCCCACACCTCGAACGCCCTCATCAACGTTGACGTGATCTTCACATCAATGTTGGCGATCTGTTGGCCCTGGGAGACGCCAAAGTCACGGGCCCTATGACTTGGCTCTTGAGCCAGCTTGCGCTCGTAGAACGCAACGCCGGCGGCCATCCCGAGGAAGATCCGGCTCTTCTGGCACCGGTACACGTCGTATGGCAAGTTGAGTCGCTGGCAAAGAGCGACTTCTGAGGGGTGGAGGGTGCCAGAAGCACCCAGGCCTCTGGCCCGCACCACTTTGGGAGCCTTGGCAGCCGTTGTGGCTGCAGGCTTCCTGGTCCTCATCCCCATTTCCATCTCCTCTGTGAAGATGGGGAGCTCCATAGAGGGCCTACTATCGGGGAGCATGGCATCCGCAAAAGCCTGGTAGTCACCCTGACGTGCTGAGCGGGAATTCAAGCCTTCCCGGATGCTGCGGAAGATTCTATCTTCCTCAGCCTTGATGGACCCCTCCCCTTTGGGGCTCCGCTTCTTCTTGGTCTCTACGGGAGGCTCCGCAGACAACAGGTCCCGGGCCTCGGACTCCGTTGTGACGGGCCCCCGTTCGAGGAGGCTACTGCCACTGGCATTTGATTGCCCTCGAGATGAGTTGGGTGTTACTTCGTCGTCTGCCACCTCTCGCTTTGGCGTCGCAAAACGCCGGCGTTTTGATGGACTGCTATATTGGTCTTCAACAGACCGCTCGCGCTTTGGCGCCAACTCGCTTCCCATTCGCGATGGCGAAATAGTGCTGGGACTACGAATGCTGGAAGCTCCCTGTTGAGGGAGGATTTTGGGGCTAGCGGGCTCCAATTTAATCGGCACAGTATTGTCGCTGTCGAGACTAGAAGCTCCCTCTTGCGAGAGGGCGGTGGAGCTAACAAGCTCCGGTTGTGAAAGGCTCGTGGAGCCATCAAACTTCGGTTGCGATGAAGTCGTGGAGCTGACAAGCTCCTCTAGTTGCGCCATTAGTTGACTGAGAATCCTGGCGACACTCATTTTAGTCATATTCAGGGCGGCCTCTATCTCATCCGGGGTTCTATTCGCCAGCTGGGCTTGCGTGGCCCATGTGAGTGACGGGATATTGCCGCTCATGTTTGGTTGTTGGGACTGGTGGACTCTGTAAGTGTATGTTTGATTGTTTGGGATGTTGGTTAGGCACTTGTGGATGTGATTGATTGTAACTGATACTCTGAGTGTGTAAGTGAGTTGTATCAATGGAGACTACACAAGGTAGGTGAGTATGAGTTGACGAGTTGGGATGTTGTGCATAGTGGGAGGTTCATTGCAAAACCAGTCATTCTTATAGATTTCTTCTTGATCTGGTGGACCTCATGCAAACCTTGAATGCGCAGTTTGACTTTTCGATGTTTTGCTGTTCCAAGGGAGGACCTCATCGACATCATGGCGCTAATATGATAGATGGCCTCAATAGACTTTGAAGTGGCCCACTAGAAGGACAAGATCTGGGAGGGCTTTCCCAACTGCAGAATACCTGCATTTCTGGCGAACTTGTACCGGCGAGTGACTATCAAATGATAATTAGAACTCTATGTCAAGGATGGTTATCGTTAGCAGCTGCTACAATGGGGAGATTCAGAGAAATCAATTTGGATCAAAGGATTCCTGCGCGGACACATGACATGACCACTGGCAGGCTGGTCTTTTGTCGATGAGGGAAACTAGAGAGATCCGATTAAGGATGCTTCTTAGATACATAGTAAGAATTATTTGTCAGTTTGAAGCATCAGAGATGCTGCACTGGTTCAACGACTTCTCTGAAATGATCAGCCGCAGTACCATACTGGTGGCCAGAAGAGCAGTGAGCCCTTGTACTGACTGAGACGGGGCGCCCAAGCACAAAACAGAGGGCGTTCCAGTGATTCGCATCACTGGAATAGTAGCCCTATCGTCAAAGTCTGCTGCCAGAGGGAGGCCGAGTGACGAAATCCTCAATCAGGCTGGGTGGAGAGTTTCAGGCTCAGAGAGAACACATGCCCACAAGGCTGTCGATCTACCGAACCCTCCACCAGTCGGCGCACAAGATGAGAGAGCCTACAGAAGGTGGCGATCGCGTTGACTCTTGAACTTGAGGCCTAGTCAGAAGCAGAATAACAGCATTGCGCCAGGCTGTGGTGAAGGAATCCAGGAACCATCAAGATTCTGAGAGGTCCTCGTGAAATTGATTTCAACGCTAACGTCTTTGTGGTTAGGAAGACCCAGAAGAACTAGTGGTTAGCGCAAAACTTCAGCCTTGAGGCTGTTGGGCTGCGTTTACGGTGGGGTATTGCAGCTGTTTCCGCAGGCTGCCTTTTGGCGCTATTTTGAACTGTGAAGCATCCTCGGGACGGACATGACCGGTCATCAATAAGACTCAATGTTCAACTTCGTAGGACCGTGACGCTTACTGAAGCCTTGAAAGCGACACGTGCAATCTGCTGCAAACACTGGCAGCCGCTACGTGTTATTTCGGCAGATCGCTCCAAGCCCCAACTGGCAATTTGTACAGGAAAGGCAAGTTGCACTAAAACGCTCTTAACTAAGAAGTCAACCCCTCATTCAATCTGAGCACGTATTCCTGATAGCTTGAATACTATAAAGCGGGCAAGATCTCGTCTTGTTTGTCCACGAGGACAAGTTACCCTCGGATCCTCTGTCGTCTTCTCCACAACCGGCTGCCTTTCAAGTTCGATGTGCTATTGTAGGTACTGCGAGTGAGCCAGTCATGCCCCCACCAACACACTACCTTCTGGCAATTTTTCCAGGCTATCAATTGTTGGACCTCGCTGGACCCCTGGACATCTTGAATATACTTTCACTGGTCAAGAGCGAAATTCCGTTTACACTGACTATCATTGCGGAAACTCTGGAGCCTGTTCCATCCAAGCCCATCCCTCCATCTTCTGCCAAATGGTCATACAACCTAGAAGCCGAGTTCCCTCAGACAAGTGGCAAAGTGAATACGGGTTTCAACCAGTATCTGCTTCCAGATATTACCTTCGGTCAGTTGGCTGAGACCCTAGATGATACTAGCAAACAAACGGGTCATTTCAGTCCAGTTGACGTCCTACTCATCCCTGGTGGGGTTGGAACTCGCCTGAATCGTGTGCAATCGGATGGACACGCCATTTCAAACGTGCGAGGATTACTAGACTTCATTCCCAAGATTGCGCCTCACATCGGAACCGCTATCATTACCGTTTGCACTGGTTCGGACGTGCTAGCGCAGACAGGACTCCTCGAGAACAGGCGAGCAACAACAAATATGTCACGCTATCAAGATGTGGTGGCTCGAAATCCAGGTGTGAAATGGCAGAATTGGGCAAGATGGGTGCGAAGCGTACCTGATAAATCCAAGGACCGTGCAAACATCGAGATCTGGACCTCGGCAGGTGTAAGTGCTGGAATGGATGTCGTTCTGGCCTTCATTGGACATAATTATGGCGGCGTGGAGCTGTCCAGAGATTTGGCGAAAAGGCTGGAGTATGACTGGAGAGAAATACCAGAAGGTGAAAAGGATCCGCTGTATGAGAAACATTGGGCTGCTTGATGATTCCGATTCATTACAATCACTCGAGAGTAGATAACCATTACTTGATGGGCTTCGATGGCGTGATAGCATGACTTCCACGGAGCTCCGCGCCAGAGGAAGGGGACTGGTCAACGAGAAGGAATACAAAACGTAAACCATTTAGTGATTTCAAGATATCTCTGCTACTCTTTCGATGGAATGTTTTTGGCTGTCGGTCGCTAACATCGGATCGCACTCACATAATTTGTTCCTCTAAGCTCGACGTTCTCGAACCATGTTGATCGACTTGCTTTTCAGCAACACGGTTCGATGAATCTTGGACAAGTGAATAACTTGAAAATTGCTTGGAATTGGCCAAGATATTCATTGGCATTGGAGCTCAAGGTCAGTCACCAACAGAACTGGACCGTTATCGCAGTACAAGTCTGTGAGTAGTGAGCACTGGACCGACTCAGCTCTTCAATGTTGATCAGTTTTAAGAGACCAGACATCTATGTGCCGTTTCTCAAAACCACAACGTATGAGGAAGGTTCTGAGAGTATATCCTTCTTGGCGCACATCAGACATTTCCGGAAGGCATCGGGATATACGATACCATATGGGTCGGTCGACGTACTCAAATCTGTGCATATGAAAAGTAAGACTGATTGCCTGCAGAATCTCGTTTACTCAGGTTGCGGCTCTACCGGTTGTGGCCCTCGCAAAATTTCACGTCTGCTCGATTAGTGGCATGGACTTTCTCACCGGTGGTCAGAATGTCAATTACAGCCGTGGCTGGGCTGTGATACTTGACGATAGTTTCACTGCCAGGTCGTCCATTCGTTCTCAAGGCGGTCTAGCTAATCTAGGTGAGCATGAAGTCAACGTCCTTTAAGATGGCACAGCTTTGTTCACTTTTGTATTCATCAGCATCATATGTTTTCACAGCGTTTGGCGTCGCAACCCAGCGGGCTGGATCCAAAATACCCATTTCCAACACATTGACTTGGACACCAGCTAGTTAGTCTTCGAATGGTCTCCCATCGATCACGTCTCCCTTATAGAATTTCTAGTCCTGATGAATTCTTCGGAGGTCGCTGGAGACGGCTTGACACCAACGACACCGTGGGACTTTTTTCATCTCAATTCAGCCTCGTGGAGAGTCTTGATATTAACGGCAACCCATTGAGGCATAGCACCAGACTCTGAAAATGTTTGTCCCCGGTCCTTGGCTTGCAGCTGCTTGCGACGCTTTAGCATGCTCATCCGTGGCAAGCGCTGCGGATTCTCCGTCCTCTTAACCAGAACCGAGTAGCACTGAATCACCAACGCAGACCATCACCGTCAGTTCCACAGTGACAGATACCGCGGCCATTATTTGAGCCCAACCAGTTCGAGTGCAGCCGCTCGTAATCACGAGAATGTTGGGTATGGAAGGTTGATATTCTCCATGATCTGTGACTACCTAACATTGGTAACGTGAACAAGACAAATGGGTTGGTGTGTGTTGAAGAAAGGAAACAGCCCAGCGCCGTTTGTACCCAGATGTTTTTTCTTCCAACTCACTCATGGTTCAGATCATCCCAGGTTATCGGATTGCAGAGCATTTGCTACATAGAGTTCGGTTCCTAGGTACTTTGGATGAATGAGGACGCGAATATGTCAAACTCGGCGAGTCGGGTCCGAGCCTTAGCTCGCTGCCAAGACCTGGAAGGCCCGGACGTCCGTTTCACCGGGGACAACACTGAAGGACGCCCCGAAGTGCTGGAGCCCAGCATGCCCAACAACGCAGCTCAAGAACCTTGGAGATCCGCGAGAAGCTCTGGCATTCGGCCACGAGGAGTTGCATGATGGCATAAACTCAGGGGAACAACGTGCAACTCGGCATGGAGAATATTCGACAAATGGTGCCTCAAGAATTAAAGTACTGCTCCACTCAGAGAGCACCTATATCTGACGATATCATCACATGAAAGTTGTGTCTCAGCAGTTCATTTTTGAACAATCATTTCTTGAGTTGATCTTGTTAGAGGAAATCCATTTATCAAGAATCCACTAGATTTTTGTCGTCTCGAACTGGAACCAAATGCCAATCAGTATCGCAATATGCGGTGCTGGCCCAGCCGGCCTCACCCTGGCCCGCCTTCTTCAAATTTCTGGCTTGGACGTCTCCGTCTCGGTATATGAAAGAGATGCATCGTCTACTTCACGACCAAGTCAAGGAGGCACCTTGGACTTACATCCCGACACAGGACTTGCCGCACTGAGGCAAGCCGAGCTATTCCATGCGTCTGTCCAGCATCTCAGATATGATGGAGAAGAGATGGTCATTGCTGATAAGAATGCCACGACATTCATCCACATGAAGGAACAACCAAAATGGGCAGGCGGGAAATTCGCAAGACCGGAGATCGACCGCGAGAACTTGCAACGAATTCTCCTTGACAGCGTTGAGGCGTCGTGGATACATTGGGGTAAAAAACTTGAAGACATCGAGGATGACACGAGGATCTTGCGATTTCGTGACGGTTCCACAGCAGGACCATTTGACTTGGTCGTTGGTGCTGATGGTGCATGGTCCAAAGTCAGACACGTTCTCAGCGATGTCCGTCCCCAGTATGCCGGTGTCTGTGGGTTTGCGGGCTTGATCACAGCCCCGGATGAAGTCTTCCCACATATTTCCAAACAGGTCGGCCAGGGCATCTATCTCGCCATATCTGACAAACGAACGCTTACGGCACAGAGACTGGGAGATGCGAGTATAAGTGTGCATGCCTGGCTCTCGCGAGAGGAGCATTACGCCGCAGACCTCGTTGGTACTTATCAGTATGATGAATCAAAGCTCAAGCAGAAGATCATGGACCAATATCACGACTGGGCACCGGAGTTGAAGCAGTGGATTGAGGTCAGCAGCAAGATAGAGGCTCGGAACCTATATGAACTGCCCGTCGGACATACCTGGGAGCACAAACGTGGTTATACACTCATTGGAGATGCCGCGAGTCTATTCACCCCGTTTGCGGGCGAAGGTGTCAACAAGGCAATGAAGGACAGCTTAGTCTTGTGTGATGCCCTCAAGGATGCCTTACAAGACGGCAATGGCAGTCTCGAAAACCTTGATATGGCGGTGCAAGCATACGAAACCGAAATGTTCGTTCGTGCCAAATTCTGGCAGGCAGAAACCATGAAGAACAAAACACATATGTTCGGGGATGGAGGTGTGCCAGATTTTCTAGCGGAAATGACATTGTCCGTCTTTCGGGAAGTTGGGATCGATCTGAGTAAAGGCCTGTGGCGATTTCTCCCTGCCCACTTCTGCGCGCGATGGATTGCCACATCGGTCCAGAAAGTCGGTTCTTGGAGGAGATCCATCCGAGAATGGTTCCGGAAATAAGAAGAGATTGATATCAGACAGTGCTGAAGGCGTGGTGAGATCTGCTGACGAACGCGCATATTGAGGGCCTAAGTAGGGATAATCATCGTACACGTGTGCATCATCTTGAGATGGGGTTTGTTTAGAATCCAGCGCATGAACGAGGCATTCACATTTGCCCCTCGAACATCAATGGTTCGGGATCCATGTCTGGTAAAACTTGAGCAGCTTGCGTGGAGGACGCTTGAAGCCTCCTCCATGCCTACCGGTATTCATATATCACTTAGGCAGTTACTCGTAGTTGAGAAGGGGTAGAAACCAGATTGGTTGCTCGATCTTTCTTGCGGCTCTTGTGTCAACTTCCGAGCTCTGGTGCCAACCGCAGGCATCACCCACTCCTCAAGAATGCGAACTTGGAATCTCCCCCCACCAGGACTATCGATACCTGAGCGAGGTAAGTACGAGGACTTCGTAGCCTGCAGCACCCCGATCCAGGTCCTCGCCATTACGGGATACGCTACTTACTAATTCAATAGGGGCCTACTCGTAGGGGCCTAGGGAGCCTCTTCGGCCTGGGCCTCTTCGGCACTTCCAAGCCTGCTTAGGGTGAACCATTTGTTCTTCGTAGGCTCGAATTTAGTGACCAGGGCAAATTTTGATTGAAAGATGCGCTTTCTTCTTGCCTGGGCAAGCCTGTCCCTCCAACACCAGAGTTTCAGTTGTCCCGACTCCCGAGTCCGAGTCGATGTCTACTACCACCTAGAGGTTACTGGAATAAGGCCGAGTTACCCACCACGAGCTTGAAATGGCCATGCCCAACAGTCAAGATACTACCGAGTACTAGGTACGAGTAAGGATTTATGTTTCTTTACCGACTATGACTGCTCCTTGAGCTAGTTTCTCTACTCGTTCACAAGTTTATCCCAACCTTACACCAAAAGGAGGCTCCGCCTTGCGAGAAGGCCTTTTAAGGTGTCTAAAAACAGCTATCCGCAACATCTAGGCTCTTGCCACCCCAAGAGTCTCGTTGGGATTGGATTGAAGAAGAACTCTCCATATAAGGCCGCCAACCCAAGCCACCCGTGTGCTCGGAAATGGGCAACCCGGCGATCAATTGGCCCCTAGCTGAAGCGCTTGTTCAGATACGGCGCTATGATTGCAAGGGCAGGCCTGAAACAGAGACAAGGCCTCCATCACGGCGAAGCGTGTCAGTCTAAACTCAATTATCGTATGATGGAACAGTTACTACTACTACAAGGCAGGGAGGAGTAGCCACGCGGGCCAGCGAAAAGTGGAAAGGCTTTTCACCAGATCTCTGTTTTGTTTTGTGCTTCTATCCTTCTCAAAGGACCTTCAACTGCGGCTTCACACCATGTATGAACTTTGGGTACCGCAAAAGCTGGCGCGACTTGTACCAGCACTCCTACTATTCATATGCAGCGCCCATGTATCTGCTCAAAACGCAAATGCAGACCCTTGGCCCATCATTTATAGTACAAACAACTCGATTGGACCAGATGGTGAGTCAAAAACAGCCCTCATCGCGCAACGACATCGCAAATAACAATCGATTTTCAGGACCGTGGTGGTTTCTCTCCCAGGCGACAGACTTTCCCGACCAGATCCTTAGTGTTTACCCTTCGCTTTCTCAATCAAGCATGATTATCTCCAAGAATACCTGCACATCACAAACAGCCGACTGCCCATTACCTGTACAGTCGGGTTGGACGCCCTCAGGAGCGTATGCAAACGTCAACAACGGCTCGCTCACCCAGAGCCCGCCTCTGAGTCCCAGTGAATGGAACAGCAATACTGCAACACTGCTAGGACAGGACGGTTACGCATTCTATACCCAACAACGCTTCACAATCCACAGAAATGGCGACCCCAACTCCCCAGCCTTCTTGGACAATCTTGCCATTCTTGTTTCGACCAACGTAACAGTTGGGTTCCCGGGCGGGGCGAAGTATACTTCGGATGTTGGCCTGGTAAGTTCTGGATTCGAGAGTTGGAATTGGCTTGCCGATGCTGACGTGAACCCAGTTCAGTCTGTCTGGGTCGACGGCCAAGGTGTCGTGGGCAAATGAGAACAAAACGACTTCAACAGCCAACCAACCGCTTGCTGTCGCATATAACGATGACCACATTCCAAGCCGATCTTTTGGCCTCCACATTGGCTCAGTAGAGCCTCAAGTCGAGGGCAGTCTTGTCCTTGGTGGATACGACAGCTCTCGTTGCATTACCGAACCGATTAGTACAGACGGTGATGCCTTCAGCCTTGTCGACATCTCGCTGAATGTTTCAAGCGGTGCATCTGCTTTTCTGAATTCCAAAACCACCGAGATCACAGGTCTGTTCAAGGTCGATGGACAACCAGCAAGCCCACAGGGTATGCTTCCTGATCCTGGTCTCCCATACCTGTATCTTCCAAAAGATACTTGCGACGCCATCGCTGCCCACCTTCCTGTGACCTATAGTTCCGACTTCAACTTGTACCTTTGGGACACCAAATCGGTGGCTTATGAGCAAATAGTGTCTTCACCGCACTCATTGGTCTTCTCGTTCACCGGTAGCGATGGGGCAAAGGGGACAATCAATGTGCCCTTCGCCCTCCTGAACCTTACGCTCACTCAACCTCTAGCCTCATCGCCAACAGCTTATTTCCCATGCAGCCCACACGAGGCCTCACAAGACGTCCCATACTATCTGGGCCGAGCGTTTCTCCAGGCGGCCTTTGTGAGCTATAACTATAACACGGACAAGTATTTCCTCGCCCAAGCGCCTGGGCCAGATGGTCTTCCCAAAAACATAAAGCGCATATCATCCACAGATTCAACACTTGCGTCTGCCGTCAATCCTCCAACATGGGACAGCACCTGGGCGAGCGCTCTGAAAGCTCTGGAAAGTGGCACTGCAACTGGCGGCAGCTCTCCTAGCAACGGCACAACCGTCGAAGCGCCTGCTGATAAGGGGCTCTCTACTGGTGGTATTGTGGGCATTGTCATCACCGTTGTTGCCGCAGCTGTAGCCGCCGTGGTATTTTTCGTCCGAAGACGTAAAATTCAGCACAAGAACCGACAAAATCAAAGCCCACCGTGGGGCGCGCCCGCATGGGAGCAGAAGCCCCCTCCATCAAACAATCTCGAAATGCCAACTCCTGCAACCGTACAGCAGCCGTATGATCCAAACCATGCCAAAGGATACTACGGCTATGGCCAGAATGGTCAGCAGCAACCGCAACACCAAACTCACTTCACCGAAATGCCTGCAACGCAGCCCGTGTCAGAGTTGGAGTCGGACTCGAGGAGTAGGGCCGTTGAGCTGGGCACGGAGCGGTAAATGACCATCTGTTAGCTTCTTCCGATTTTTGGAACTTTTCAGCTGGGGCCCTTTCGGGACCTTGTGTGCTTGCAGGCATTGTTAAATCAGAGACTTTTGGTTGCATTTTGTCGTATATCTTTTTCTTAGCGAAGGGGGAGCATTATGACTGGACCAGTTCATGGGATAAAAGGGTGTACATTTCCTTTTGTGGCGACTTTAAACTGTATATAATCGACTCGAGTTACTTTATATGAGGTGGGCGGAACCAGATACTCCAGGAAGGATGGATTATCATGACAACTCTCGAGAATTGATTTGATGAAATGATCAGAACGCGTCTTATTGGGGTATTTTCACCAGTGTCAATTCTTTGTATATGTCTCACCATTTAACAGTACAACAATGCTACACTGCCACGCCGAACAGAGACGGTAAAGGTAGATACTAAGTACCTAAAGTATCTGGGTGTCACTAGGTAAGTAAGTACCTAACACTAAGGGAGGGAACGGAGACAACAGACGATGTGCTTAGTCATAAATAACGCCAAGACCACTTACTATGCTCCGCTTGTGATTGGATCGTAATTTACGTCTTGAAGCAAGCTGCGCGACGGACCTCATCGTCACTATTCTTCAAGCTTCCCGTCAACGCCCCTCTGCTTCAACATCTTCCATATTCCACAGCTGAGACCTGCTTATACCGTCAACATGCGGTCTCAGCTCCTTCGCGCAGCAGCGCGGTCTCGCGCCTCCCTCCCTGCTGCAACCACTAGATCATTTACTGCATCTGCAAGACGGCCCGCCGAGGTCGAACTCACAATCGATGGCAAAAAGGTATCGATAGAAGCTGGTTCGGCATTGATCCAGGCTTGTGAGAAGGCCGGTGTTACCATTCCCAGATATTGTTATCACGAGTATGCAGCCTCCAACGCCAGCCATGGTTTTCTGGACTAACGTGGCGACACCCTAGAAAACTCCTGATCGCTGGTAATTGCCGTATGTGCCTGGTCGAAGTCGAACGAGTACCAAAACCTGTTGCCTCGTGTGCATGGCCTGTACAACCCGGTATGGTCGTCAAAACCAATTCTCCACTAGCCCACAAAGCAAGAGAAGGCATAATGGAGTTTTTACTGGCAAACCACCCTCTAGATTGTCCCATTTGCGATCAAGGCGGACAATGTGATTTGCAAGATCAATCAATGAGATACGGTGCCGATCGAGGTCGATTTCACGAGATCACGGGCAAGCGTGCGGTCGAGGATAAAAACATTGGTCCATTGATCAAGACTTCAATGAACAGATGTATCCACTGCACAAGGTGTATTCGATTCGCCAACGACATTGCTGGCGCACCAGAGCTTGGCTCGTCGGGACGAGGCAACAATATGGAGATTGGTACATATCTTGAACGAAATCTTGACACCGAGTTATCCGGCAATGTGGCGGACTTGTGCCCCGTGGGTGCTCTTCTCACAAAACCCGGCGCTTTCAGCTACCGGCCATGGGAACTGACCAAATTCGAATCGATTGACGTTTTGAACGGATTGGGCTCCAACATCAGAGTCGATGCTCGAGGTCTCGAGGTCAAGAGAATATTACCCAGACTAAACGACGATGTCAACGAAGAATGGATCGATGACAAGACCCGTTTTGCCCTGGATGGTCTCAAAACCCAGCGCTTGACTACTCCGTTGATTCGACGAGATGGTCAATTCCACCCGGCCACATGGGAGCAGGCTCTCACAGAGATTGCGTCCCAGTTCCGGAGGATAGCACCTGCCGAGAACGAGTTCAAAGCTATTGCTGGACATCTCATCGAAACTGAATCCTTAGTAGCCATGAAGGATCTTGCCAACAGACTGAACTCGGAGAATCTTGCTCTTGACCAACCTGGCGGTAGTTCGCCGATTGCCCACGGTGTCGATGTTCGAGCCAACTATTCATTCAACTCCAAGATCTTTGGAGTCGAAGAAGCAGATGCCATGCTCATTATTGGCAGCAACACACGCTGGGAAGCCGCAGTTCTCAATGCAAGAATTCGAAAGCAATGGCTTCGCTCACCGCTTGAGATCGCATATGTTGGTGAACCATTTGAGACCACATTTAAATACGAGCATTTAGGAACCGACACTGCCGCCATAAAGAAAGCACTCGCCGGTGAATTTGGCAAGAAGCTTTCTGGTGCGAAACGTCCCATGATTATTGTTGGATCTGCTGTTACTGAGCACCCCGATGCTGCCGCCATCTATGAAGCTGTCGGCTCTTTTGTCGACAAGCATCAAGGTGTATTCAATACTGCAGAATGGCAGGGCTATAATGTCCTACAACGCGTCGCTTCTCGTGGTGGTGCTTACGAAGTTGGCTTCACAACGCCCTCCCAGAAAGTGGCCGACACGAAAGCCAAAATCGTCTGGCTACTTGGTGCGGACGAAGTGTCTGACAAGGATATCCCTAAGGACGCATTTGTGATTTATCAAGGTCACCACGGTGAGACTGGAGCACAATTAGCAGATGTCATTTTGCCTGGTGCTGCATATACCGAGAAATCAGGCACATATGTCAACACGGAAGGACGTGTACAACTTACTCGTTCCGCAGTCAGTTTGCCTGGCGCAGCAAGAACAGATTGGAAGATCATTCGTGCTACATCGGAATTCTTGGGGGTTCCTCTTCCATATGATGATTTGGAAGTTTTGAGAGATCGACTCGAGGAGATCTCACCAGCACTCAGACGATATGATACTGTGGAGCCCAGTGCATTGACAGCTCTCTCGAAGGTACAGCTTGTCGATGGCAATAAGGGAGCAAAGACAACAAATCAGCCACTTGAGCTGCCAATCAAGAACTTTTATATGACAGATGTTATTTCCCGAAGGTATGTTTACACTCATTCGAGTCCGAATTCGAGAACATTTACTGACCATTATGTAGCTCACCAACGATGGCGCGCTGCTCGGCGGCAAAGGAAACCGGCAACGCAGAAACAAACTTTCAAGCGCCTGGGGAGCCCAATTCACAGGTTGAATATGGTGGAACTACTGTCTAAAGAAGAGTGCCTACCATTCTGATTTTGCAATTTTATCAAGAAAAGTCCCATCGGACATGTGTCTTCGCGTGGCGGTGGTATTTTTACCCGACAAGAGGTTGAAGAAGACGAAGGACAAGAAGATCTTCAGCATCAAAACATCATGTATAGGGAAATCAACTGAATTGGCGTTTAGAGCGAGAGGAAGACTCGCATACGGGAGCGTCGTGCTCCTCGAGCCAGTAGGCGATTGTACATACTTTCATCAAAATCAAACTGAAAAGTGAATAGTGAAAGATGAAGAATCCATAAAAGCTCTTTCCTGATCTTGATGCGGCTCGAGGTACGGCTTTACGCTGTGCACTTCTCTACAATGTGTCCGGTCCATTCATGACGAGTTCATCAGGCTTTCAGCAGCCACTCGGCAGCGAGTCAGTATGGAAGTACCTAGGTAGAGAAGTAATCGTACATCTCCGAAAGCATCAGTCCACCTGCAAATATTGCGCCATCGATCAAATACCCATTAAGTAATATCTTCGTCTTACAAGTGCTCCTGCACACCTCTGAACCTGGGAACTGAGACAATATACCAACACGGGTTTGACTAGCGACGTAAAGATGCATGAGAACAAGCAACAAACATGTCCATCCCCACGATCGACCTAAGCCTCGCAGCCGACGCAACGACGCGGCCAGACGTTGTTCAAAAACTCCGACACGCACTGCTCGAAGTTGGATTCCTGTATTTGACGAACCACAGCGTCGAGGAGTCCACGATCCAGGATCTGATCGATATCCTCCCCACGCTGTTTGCGTTACCGGACCGTGTCAAGGAGTCGGTGGCGCTCGTGCAATCGCCGCATTTCCTGGGTTATAGTAGGTTCGGCGCAGAGACGACGGCCAAGGTGCAGGATGAGAGGGAGCAGTTCGAGTTTGCCAATGAATTGCTCGATCGGTATGGTGATGGAAGTGGTGCTGGTGGGATGACGCGAAAACTCCCATTGTATGTGAGATTGCAGGGTCCGAATCAGTGGTTGGCGTCGGAGGAGCTTCCGCACCTTCGACGGGTCGTGGAGAAGTATATTGAGGCGCTTCAAGATCTTGCGAGGAGGTTTCTGGATGTTGTGACGGAGGCGCTGGGCCTTGAGGCTGGGACTCTGTCGGCGTTCACGGGCCCGCAGGATCGGATCAAACTCGCGCATTACAGGCCTGCCGCTCATGCTACTCTCGATGCACAGTCGCAAGGCGTTGGCCCGCATAAAGATAGTAGTGGGTGGATCACGTTGCTGCTGCAGGCGTCTGATCCGTCGATCAAGGGGTTACAGGTGTTGTCCAAGGACGGCATATGGCTCGATGCGCCACCTGTGCCAGGGTCGTTAGTAGTGAACATGGGCCAGGCCTTCGAGGTGGCTACGAATGGAGTGTGCAAGGCTACGACGCATAGGGTTCTACTGCCGCCGGGGGACTACGACCGGTACAGTGTGCCGTTCTTCCAGGGTGTGAGGCCGGATTTGACCAAAGATGATCTGAAGATCTTGTGGGGGCATTTTGACAAGGAGAAATGGAAGACGAGGGAGTCGGAGGAGGGCCAGAGGATTGATAGTCCATTTTTGAGGGGGAACTTTGATACCTGGGGTGAAGCACAGTTGAGAACCAAGATTCGCAGTCATAGGGATGTTGGGAGGAAGCATTATGCTGATGTTTTGGATAAGTACATCAATGATGAGTGATGAAGGAGCAGAACTTTTGACTGTGAAAGATTCTGCTCTTGAGCTTCACAGAGAAGGAAGCCCTACCTATTCCCTCGACATGCCTTTTTGAACTGTGCCGGCTTTGGGCCAAGTGGATCACTCAACAACCACGTCCTTGCTGGTATCGAGCTCTTCGTATCTTCTCAAGTCCATCTTCCCGCCTTCCAACAATGGAATGACATAAGGGTCGAATGTCTTCCAGTAAGGATTTTCGAGGTGGTATTTCTGACTGCTCTCTTGTTCGTAGCGTTCAACGATGGTGAAGTCTCGTTTGTCATGAACAGATTGCATGACAAACCATGAGACCGTCTCCTTGTCTTTGCTGTAGACTCGAGAAGCCTCAATCAACTTGTTTGTCAGTTTCTGGATGACATCTGCCTCGTCAGATATTGCTCTGAAGTGGACGACAAGGGTGTAGACCATGTTGAGACTAGATTGTTGAGACCCTGATGTGAAATGTTGATGTTTTCTGTCGGATATGCTATTTAATGAAAGTTTTCAAGACGATTGAATGGAAAAGATAGTGAATATGGGCTCGACGCTGTCATAATATGCTTTGAGAGCTGTCGTCTATATTGACTACTTGTAAATCTGCCCCGCTTGACTACCTTGTTTGGTGATTGCTGAGTCGGGGTAACTTAAGGGAGCTTCCAGTCAGGGAATCCATGCCTATTTGCGCCTAAAGTTGTGAGGAGTACTCGCTACCTGAGGTACCTGATACACGTGGGTGATGACTGTACCATGCTGATCAATGTACCTTGAATGGCAATGACTTGAAGAGGGAATTGGTCAGCAGAATGAATATTATATTCTTGTATCGACTTTTTCCTTGAGTGCAATCCGAGATGATTTTTTAGTTACCTTGATATCTACATGCCTAGATACCTAGGCGATGACTTGAATAGTCGCTCGTGAATCGCTCAAGGATCCCCGGAAAATTTGGGTGGTGTAACGATAAACGAGCCTATTAACGCCTAGAGTTTTACTGGGCAAAGCCACTTCCATCAATTGGAGGCGTCCATTGCGGACACGTGTAAGCCCATCTACCACGGCCCACAGGCACACATACCAGTTGTCCAGCACCAGGAACCACCTGCCCTGGTCCCTGGAAACCACTCGTGCTTCTGTGCTCGGTAGCTCCTTTGACCCCGTAATAATAAATTTCTCCACTTCCAATACCTCACCTTGGACTGCGCGCACCGGTATGACGCTGTTGTTCACCTACCTTACCTGTACGCTCGTTGCTCCGCCGTCATTTCCCTTCTTTTTTCTCTCTCGCAGCCTGAATCTTTATCTTTATCTTTGGGATGTTTTGATCCTCGTCTTGAGAGCATGGCTAGCCGTTTTAGCCTCTTCAGCGGGACCTGCTCCATATTCTTCTAGTGGAAGGAAATGAAATTTGCAAAGTACCTACTCTCCCTTGCTGCGCTCATGGTGACACCCCCAGCTAACCAAATGACATTAGAGAATTAGAGGAGGAGGCGGTCCCAGAATGGCGGGTCAAGTACCTCAACTACAAGACTGGCAAGAAGAAGATCAAGGCCGTCTCCCGTGCCCTACGAACCGTCAATCGCACTCCAGCCACTCCCTTACGACCACCATTGAACCCAGAAAACTCCTCGGAGCGCATTCCATTCACTCATTATGACTTTACAAGACCTACTCGCCCAAACACTGCTGCTACCATTCAATCAGTCCCGGAGGAGGACGAAATTGGGCCGGAGGAATATCCAAGGGGTGCCACAATTCGACGAGAGAGTCAGACATTGTTTGCCCGTTCCCCACCAGTCCTGATTCCCGATCCTGCCTTTAGCAACGAGCCCAGTACCAAAAATTCCCCAGAAAGACAGCCTCTACAGCATGCCAATGGTGTCGACGCAGGTGGTCGCCGTCAGATGAATTATGGAAGCATCGTCGGCACCCCACCCTCCGAAGAAACTCCCGGCTATTTTGACACTCTTGAACTCCCAGATCCTGCCTTGAGTCCCGCTCAGAGTCGGAAGTTGAAAGAGTCGGACGAGTCCCCCGCTATTGGGCCTGCGTTGCCTGAGAGCGCCCAGCTCCCCGTCGATGGTGCTCCTCCTGATCCTGTCCCCTCTTCTGATGCATATCATGTTGGCCAATCCACTCATCCCCCAGAAAGAGGCGGCAGTCTATCACAACGCATGTTCAAGAAGAAACTTGCCGCCAAAAATGCTTCCGGAAAACAGGCATCGCATACATTTCCACGCTCCAGACTAAGGCGAATCTTCACACCCCATGTTTTGGATTCACCAAAGGTGAATGATGTTCAGCTCAGCGCCTATCGAGATTTGGATACTCGACAAGCCGAGTTTTTTAATTTCTTGGACCATGAGCTGGACAAGATCGAAACCTTTTACAAGATCAAGGAGGAGGAAGCGTCTGAGCGTCTGCGCGTCCTCCGCAACCAACTCCACGAAATGAGGGATCGCCGCATCACAGACATACAACGAGCAAGACAGCGTGGCCGTCCACCTGACGGGGGCATTCTTAATGGCATCCTGCCTGCTACGCCTCTGCCCGGTGCACTTCTCAAAGAACATGTTCACCCCAAGGGCAATGGTGTCAATTTCATGCGCCCCTTGAGTGATGCGTTGACTCGTGGTAGCACAATCGGCAAAACTTCACAGGCTATGATAGGTCAAAGTTCGCCAATTGGCCCACACGCTCAACAGCGTATCAAAGATGCCAAACAGGATTATGTTCGACAGAAGCAAGGCAACGACGTCCCGTACTTGTACGCCAAGAAGAGGTTGAAGCTCGCATTGCAAGAATTCTATCGGGCCTTAGAGCTCCTAAAGTCATACGCACTACTAAACCGAACAGGATTTCGTAAAATTAACAAAAAATACAACAAAGCTGTTCAAGCTCGACCACCACTAGGCTACATGACAGAAAAGGTCAACAATGCTTACTTTGTGCAAAGCGACGTGGTCGACCATCATCTTACTGCCGTTGAGGATCTCTACGCCAGATATTTCGAACGTGGTAACCACAAGATCGCCGTCAGAAAACTCCGGTCAAAGATAGGACCTGGTGACTTGTCATCCACCGCCTTTCGCAATGGCTTATACGTCGCTGCCGGTGCATGCTTTGGCATTGCAGGCTTGGTTGAGGCTGCGGACCGATTGTTTAGTCTTGATCCGGTCATGGCAGTCAAAACAGGCTACCTTCTGCAACTCTACGGAGGTTATTTTCTCGCCCTGCTGCTCTTCTTGTTATTTGTTCTCGACTGTAGGGTCTGGTCGAAAGCGCATATCAACTATGTCTTCATTTTCGAGTACGATACACGACACGTGCTTGACTGGCGACAGTTGGCCGAGTTACCGTGCTTCTTCTTATTCTTGAACGGAATATTTCTATACCTTAATTTTCGACAGAGCGAGGAAGGGTGGTTCTACCTCTACTGGCCCGTTGCCTTGATTGCCATAACGTTGGCCATCATGGCCTTTCCCGCCAAGTTCATCTACTACCAAGCCAGGCGATGGTGGGGCTACTCAAATTGGCGTCTTCTTTTGGCAGGTTTATACCCAGTCGAGTTTCGAGATTTCTACCTTGGGGATATGTACTGCTCGCAAACATACGCTATGAGCCAAATCGAGCTTTTCTTCTGTCTTTACGCCAATGGATGGAATAACCCAGGTCAATGTAACTCCAGTCATTCACGTCTACTGGGCTTCTTCGCCGCCTTACCAGCTGTTTGGCGCGCCCTTCAGTGCCTCCGTCGATACTACGACTCACGCAATTGGTTTCCCCATCTCGCCAACTTTGCAAAATATTGCTGCAACATCCTTTACTACATGACCCTATCCATCTATCGCATCGATAAAACCAATAAGCATAGAGCGGTCTTCATATCATTTGCATTGGTAAATGGGCTCTACTGTTCCTTCTGGGACGTTGCCATGGATTTTTCCCTCGGCAACCCTTGGGCCAAGCACCCCTTTCTCCGCGACCACCTTGCCTACAAGAAGATCTGGGTTTATTACTTTGCTATGGTTGCAGATGTGGTGCTGAGACAACAGTGGATAGCTTATGCAATCTTCACTTCTGATCTTCAACATTCTGCGATCATGTCCTTCATCGTCAGTTTGGCAGAGGTACTGAGGAGGGGCATGTGGAGCCTTTTCCGCGTGGAAAATGAGCACTGTAATAATGTTGACAAGTTTCGTGCTTCAAGGGATATCACGCTTCCGTATGAGATTGGTGCCTCACCAGAGATCGCACAGAAATCATCGACCAGGAAACAGGAGGAGGGACGATCCACAGAAACACCACAGATTCCTGCAGAATCAACCCCAGAGGGGAGACCTGAGCTTCATCTCGCAACAGGTGCTGATATTGAACGAGCAGATACTTCATCATCATCTCTTCGCCCACGCAGGACGCCTCAGGGTGTCACCCTGGGGACTCCACGAACACCAGGCTTACGAGCTCTTGCACGTGTGGGTACATTCATTGCATCCGCCCATTCGCAAGATTTCGTCAAGCGCAGGAATCCAGAAAGGGACGGTCCCGCTGGTCATGGAGGTTCGGAATTAGGAATTGCAGCTGTTGGTGGCAGTAGCGATGATGACGATGATGACGACGACGATGACGACGACCTGAGTGAGGGAGACGAGGAGAGGCGATTACAGAACGAGAGAAACGAAGAAGAATTGGCGCAAGTAAACCAGTTGGTCGGACATGCTAGAGAAGGGCTCCCTAGGAGATAATATCGTGTACCGCTACGAATTTCCCAAACTTAACTCAAATTTGTATGTGTCAATCGACTGGAGGGGTCTGTCATCATCACCTGGAGCTAAAACGTAATGGCTAATGATGAACTTGTAGTCTGTTCATGACCATGTACTATAGAAGCCTACTCAAAACCATCCTTGCTTTCGGCCTCTAGTTCTCCACTATCTATCGAGCCCAAGTCCGCATCGAATGCCTAACAAGAGCTAACCCAGAGCTCCATTTATTCGTTCTTTCGTGATCACATATTCAACTGGAACTCCAAAATTCTTCTCAACGGCATCGGAATCGATGGCAGACGACAGACCCTTTTTCTCCGTCAGCTCGACCTCCGCTTTCTGCAAGCCAGACCAGTCACCACCGTTTCGAAGACTTTCGAGTACCAACCTCGCAACATGACGACCACTGAGCGGCGCATTCGGCATGCCGTGGCCGCTGTATCCCGCGGCGAGGAACATGCCGTGGTGGTCCGGCACGCCGCCAACCCAGGGGAAGCCGTCGATTGAGGAGCCGATGATGCCCGTCCAGGAGGCGAGGAGCTCGAGGTGGGTGACGCGAACAGAGCCCTGAGCAGCGAGATTCAACCGCTCGGGAAGCCCACGCAGATGGTTCTCCACATCGGGATCGATATAGCTATCGTCGCTCACGCCCACGCCATATCCCTTGGCTGCATGTCGGCCGCCGCCGTACATGAGCTCTCCTCGCCCTGTCGCACCGTTCTCTGAGATCGGTCGTTGCACAAGGTAGTCTGACATCTCGTGGTCCATGCCTGGGATACCGACGAAGCCGTAGCTCCGCGGGATCAGGTTCGAGGAAAACGGAGAGTCCGGGGGCGGGAGTTGGGCTGTCATTTGCGCCTGGGTCGGACTTATCAGGCTGCTGAATTGGGGCAGGAGGTGGGAGGTGTAGCCGTTCGTTGCGAGGATGATGTGGCTGGCTATGATTGTTCCTCGAGCCGTGGTGAGAAGATACCCAGGATTACCTTCTTTGCTATGCGGAGAGAGCGATGTGACTGGCGTCGTGGTCTGAAGGTTGAGTCTCCCCGTGCCCTCATGCTTTTTCAGAAGATCCTGCCAGAGCCACGTCACAAGCTTGTATGGACTCAGGCTCGCGGCAGTGGTCTGCACGATCGCACCGACGGCACCCACGAGATTTAGCTCTTCGAGTTCCGCGGCGTCCTCCACGACACGCACTGCATCCCTCGTCTGCTCTGGCGCCAAGGCCGCCGCTTCCTTCAGCGCGGCCTTCGCTTCTTCAAAATACGTTTTATTCCAGAAGCCAAGGCAGCCGTTTAGTTTCCTGAAATCGCATGGAATCCCCGCCGATTCAATCAGTGCCGCTACGTGGTGAAAGTTGCGGAGCTCCCACGCAATAATTCCTGGTCGCTGTTCATGGATGATTGGGACCAGGTGCCCGCCATTGCGACCGGTTGCTGATGAGCAGAGGGTCCGCGCCTCCAGCACCAGGACGTCAATGTCCGTTGACTGAGATAGGATTTCGTGGGCGGCGAAGACGCCACTGATGCCCGTTCCAACGATCACTACCGTTGCATTGGAGGGAAGTGACGATGTCGAGCGATGCTCGGCGACGGGAACTGGGTGGCTTGTCTGCCAGTATGACTCTGTTGGGTTGAGGCTGGGCAGGCCTGCAGGGCTGCTTGAGCCGATTTGAAAGCTTGCATCTCCCATGATGGACACAAGTTTGAAGATGACAGTTGAGATGTCGTAGATATGTCTTGAAACGAGGACTCCAAACGTGGGGTAAGACCTGTGATATTGAATGTACTTACCTAGATTCCTTACCTATATTTCAAAAACTCTCTCTAGCTCGATGTAAATAACGGTTGTTAATACTCAAGGCCTGCGAGGACTGGTATCGGACTACTCCGAAGATATCGTTGTATTTAGCCTCTCCATTATCAATCTTAGTCTCTTAACGATGAGGCTAGGGTTGACTTTAAAAGCTTATGGGTGCTTCTGAATATCTAAAGTGGTTTTGTATGACGACACGCCTGTACGCGTCGCGTATTCCGCGTACTTACCACAAGAAGCGCGCATTTTAAACTCGCATCTCGGCGTTTCAAAAGTCTTCTCTGACCAATGTTATATTTACCTACCTACCTACCACTCGATCAGAAATGATCTGCGGGCTCTACGAACTCGTCAGCAGCCTTGTTGGAACTACCCAGAAGTTGTTCCTTAATCACGTACTTGTGCCCGCACAAAGGTGTGTGCAGAAGAAGAGTCTCCTAGCTAAGGCATGTGCTTGGAGGCTGGATAATCTCCGCAAGAAATCCCCAAGCTTTAGTTTGGCGTTCATCTCTTCAGGTGAGTCTGGGCCTGTCCAATGCCGGGGTGATCTTTGGGATGGCTCAGCAATGCTTGATTTTGGTTTGGATGCTTGGTGAATTGAGACCAGGAAGAAAGAGGCATGGCCGATCATGAAACCAACAAGGATCCTGGGAATCTGAGTTCCGCCCATTGGCCACAGACTTACTTTTATAATCAGGTACGAGGCAGAAAAGCCCAAAGCCACTCCAAGCGATGCTGACTAAAGCTTGCCGTTTAGCAGGCTTGTTACGAACCACTTCGGCGACAACCCTTCTGTTGCCGCAAGTAAGTATGCGGGAGAAGGATTCCTATGCTTCTTACGGACCCGAAGGTCTTCAGCTTGTGCGCCGATTAGATTTCTTCGCAATGCAGCCTATGGACTGGTTATGGCCTTCCCTTCTTCTACCATCGACGTTTTCCCCGTGGTCTCTACTCGAGTTGCATCAATAATCACTCCAAATCTCCCATTTCGTTCAGGTTACTCTCGCCCGCCAGCTTCTGACAACAAACCAGCACATGGCTGAGACCACTTGGACAGAAGCGGGAGAAGATGGGCATCTTAGATACGAGAACCATGACAAGGATCGCCAAACTTTCTTATTCATCAACACCTATCCCGCGGAACCTCCTGCCCAGTCCTTGCGACCAGATCGACAGACAATAGGTTCCCATGTCCAAAGACGAATACATCAAGAGAAACGGAAACGCTCTTCAATGTTTCTCCGCCCTTCTTGGAAAAGAGACCTAACAAAGACGAGTACAAAAACATTCGTCCGCATTGCTGCAGCACCAAGGCCTACTGAACCAGAATCGGACATTGATAACCATCAACAAGCAAGCATAACCTATGGTAATCTTCTGCCTCTGTCGCCAATGTATGGAAATTCCGATCCATTTAGCGCTGCAGCCATAAAGATTACAGCGACTGCACACCAGCTCTTAAAGCTCTCCTACCATTGGCAGTTATTCCTCGATTACCCTGTCTGGGCCAGTGAGCTCTACAATGATGTTGCATCTCAAAAACAAGATGTTCGCATACGAATGCTTCTCAGCGACCCAGCAGCTCTCCATTGCCTTTTGGCATCTGGATACTACATTAGCTCGCAGGAAAGCCTCAAGGATCTTCACGCTCTTGCTCACAAAACTCTTGCCATCCAGCTTGTCCGCAAGCGTATCACTGCACAGCCAATGGTATATGTTTCCCACGCTGTATATCAACTTCTAGCACTGGAGATGTTTTGTGGCGACTACAACGCTGCAGCTGGACATCTGGAAGCACTACGGGTCATTATTGCAGCTGATGAGTCCGATATCTGTGTAACTATGCTACCACACTTATGGATCTCAGACGTCTGGCTTGCGTACCACCTCAAACGACGAACCACAATCAATATTGACACATGGGATACACCTCTCCTCGCACATCAACTTGAGGAGAAATATCTCGCGATGTGTCAATACAGCGAGAGCTCTTTTCCCAGTATGTTGAAGTTCTACGCTGTGGATGATCCTCTTATCGAGATACTTTGCGATATATGCAAATGCAGAGCATTGAGACGCTGGGCCTTGGGAGCTGGAAACTCAGACTTACGACATGAGCTCATTCATTGGCTGCATCTCAGAACAGCTTCGGTGGATGGGCGCCTTATCAACAGCCTCAACGACCGGATTGATCTATCTTGCACAGATAGCAACAATGTATCTGGGTTAGACCTCACGCAGGCGCAGAATTTGGCAGTCATCTTGGCCGTGATATGCTACCTCCATGTGGAAAATACGAAAGCTCAATATGGTGGGCCTGGTAAAGTGACGATACACGCCATGTTCGAGCCACTCTTACAACATATCTTTCGACTATCGACCATATCAAAGACCAGCGTCAAGCATGACCTCATGTTATGGCTTGTCTTCATGGGTGCGATTAATGACACTCTGCTCCCCCATACGCCAACTGCACAGTGGCCGTTGCAGGCGCTTCAGATCCTGCAATTTTCACTGGGTTATCGAAGTTGGAGCGATGTGCGCCCAATACTTCGCAGATTTCTATACCTCGAAGGGATGGAGGAGCTCTTGCGAAATCCTAAGACAAACAGTCTATCTATATATCCTCAACAGGCAATGGTCAATCTCATAGGGGACAAGTTCTGGGGATCGAGCTGAAACTTGAAGATTGATTTGCTTTCCAGGTGACCTCGATCTGGCGCTGGTGTTTACTTTCTGAGGCCCTCGTCGAACCTATATTTGACATCTCCGAAACCATCGGTTGGGAAGATGTAGAGCCATTTTAATTCTGCAACAGGGTCAACATTCCTGATCCCATGCCTCGCATCCCCTGGAATATAGACCACACTCCCAGCCTTTACCGGGTATTGGGCTCCATCAATCTCAACGACACCATGGCCATTGATTATGTGATATATCTCTGCTTGCAGGTGTCTATGGGGGCACAGATGACCTGTTTTAGGAGGACATGTCGCAATTCCAGCTGTGAGCGAATCGGTCTTGGTCTGCGGCGATGATATGAGCGTTCTCCATGTGACATCGCCACGTCCAGGCTGATCGAAGGATTCGGCCTCCTGACTGTGCATTGACTCCGGGTCGATGATCAATGGCTCTATGACCGTCTTGAGGTTCCTGGTGAACAGTTCTTTGAGGAATGCCCAAATTTTCGTTCCGAGACTTGATTGAGACATAACCGGGCAAAACGAGTGTTGAAGTCTCAAGTCGAAGAAGGAGTGTGTGCAGTGCAATGGTGATTTTGTTCATCCACAATCCAATCTCGAGTTTTAGGCTTTACCGCCATAGTCATTTACGGATATATCACCCTTCATCTGATGAGATTTACAGCTGCCTAGATAGGTATTCCTCTCCGTCAAACGTTAGGTGGGTGGATTACGTATCGACCAGCACCCCCAAGTCGGCCCTCTTGTCGAAAAAAGAAAAAGGCTTCCCATTCGCATGGCATGCTGATATCTACTAGATCGGCGTCTATAAAGCCTAGTTCAGAGCTACACATGCCACATACTACTCAATGCAAGCATTCGACTAGATTGCTAGATGACGAGGAGAACTGGGGTACAATCTATCGCTCGGGGTGGGTTCCTTCCCAGCTAAAATTTGTCCTAATCCGTCCAGAAGTGCTTGATTCTGGCGGATTGTCCTGGAGATAAGTTCCTGAACTCTCATTTTCACCTAGCGGATTAGAACGATTAGCAGGACAACTGCAAATGAAGAACGGCTACCGGACCGGTGTAGCCTTCCTCCGGCGAACTGGGGTCGGTGGAGGGGACAATGCATTGACAGCCAAGGTGTTCTCCGCAGCATAAAGATTCGACCTCAAAGTGGAAACCCCCACGTCTCTCACAGCCCGTGGTAGGTGGAGGGTATTGTTGGCCAATTGCCCATCAGCTGTTTGCTCTGACCTCGACACGGCTATTCTTACTGCTCGACAACTGACTCTCGTACTCGTCTTGAGCCTCTTCTCTCCAACGTCTCTCATGCGAAGACAAAGAAGACATGGAGTGTGGAACCTGACCTTTCCACTTCGCTGTGAACGTTTTGCACGTCATGGGCCTTACAATTGAGCCATCATGGTTGTTCTCAGGTTCGGAGACTTATCAACTTCACAGATCATCAATCGTCGCTCGGAGTCATGATGTAGTCGTTCACATAGGCGGCACGCCCAGGAGAAGAGTTCACCGGCATACACGGTAGGTCACCAGGGAGGATGGGAGAAGCAAACTAAGACTCGCACTCGGAGTGAAGGGCTCAGCATTTTCTCCATCGTGCTGACCACAGGAACAAGCCATCAGTCCGTGTGGCGGCTGAGTTGCTGGACTTGTGACATGGGATGCTTTGACTTCTCAAGCCATCATGTTACAGTGATACATCAGTCTTTAGTCAGACCCCTTAAGTTGTGATGGAGGGGAACTGCTCTTATCGACGGCGGAAGAAACTCCCGACAAATGTGCATTTCTTCGAACCTGTCCATGGGACTGCTTGTCCCTTGCTGTGATTCCATTCAAGTACAACATGACTTGGGACATCATCCCACGCGACGAGTTGATGACTATGGGTGTCCCGTTTGAACTCAACTTGACTTCATTTCGAGGCAGGCCGTCAGACAAATGGTGAGGGATACCTCTGTCAAGAGAGTGTCCTTGACACAGTGCCGTGCCGTGACAGAGAGGGCGCAATAGCCACCCAGCCACGCCATAAGTCAATTTGTTCAAAGACACATCCCATATCTTTTGTTTGATGCTGCACACTCTCCAAGGCTGCGACCGCGTCGCAAAGATCCAGAATAGTGAGTATGAAAAGTGGCTGTCCCACCAAATCCCCAATCATGGACTTGCGGTCGTTAAATCAAAAGGAAACGAGTGTTCACCTTCAGGTCTTGTGCTCAAAGTCCTTGAAGTCAGCCTGTATCAGGTATCCCACTCAGTCCCTCTTCCCTTCGTCATAGCCCGAGAAAAGGGACTCACAGAGGACACGACATCACTCCGCGGTCAGTCATCATGACCACAATGACCATCACGGCCACGACTGTCACAAGATACAGCCTCGCCAAAGCCTCTTTTCCGAAGCTATAAATACCAGCTTGATTTCGCATCAAATCTCCATTCTCCCTCCCTTCCTCATACCATAACCACTACCACCTCCAAATCTTCTAAACCAAAAGCCCTTAAACCTTTCGAACACGTTGAACCAAGATTTCCCGAACCTTCAACAACCCTTCATTCTCAAGACCCACGAAAAACAAAAGTCCACCTGCGCGATGGAAAACTTTGGCCTTGGCCTCGTCGATGCTGGTGGGGATAAACCCCCTCCACCTCCACCAGCGCCCCCTAGGCCGAAGCCTTTGCCCGGAACTGATTAATTGAGTGGTTGCGCCCGACTATGTCAACAGGGATGGAAAGGCCGCCCCTCGAGAAGCCCCAGGTTCTCACCACCGGCCGTTGGTGCATGTGGTCATTTTACTGAAGTCACTCGAGTGGAGGATATATGGGACATGGATCTCCTGCAAGGAACTGGGCTTGGGTGTTTCTTGCTGTCCCCGATTTGTATGCACATGGTTTTCCTGGTTGGTTTTGTTGGTTGATTGATGTGGACAGCTCTCAGCTCGAGAGAAACTACAGAGCTGCGGAATCACTCGTTCCTATCTCCTTTGTTCAGCCATCTGCAGGCTCGCTGTGGAAGGAGAGTCACTTTTGGGGCTGCTGGGCCAGATGTGAACTTGGTTTGGAGTGGAATCTGAATTGAGGCGAGAAGATCGCCAACTACATTTATGATATTGGCGCTTTCTCAAGTTTAGCTAAATAGCCAGTTCCAATCCATAACATTTCTGAATTGATCATCTCATACATGCAATATACCATTGACTTCCCTCCTGGTTGATCCATGCGCCCACAGAGAAAAAGCTTCAGTAATGGGCATGGCATAGTGATCTATCACACGTGTGCTGTTCTCGTATCATAAGCTGTCTTGGTCTAGAACCTTTTGCATCTAATCTGTGTCCCTCTATGACTGTACATAAGGCTATGGGTGTATCTCTTGCCTGATGCCAGAGTCTGCTTTAGACTGAGAGCCTCGCTTGTGTATAAAATGTCATAAAGCTCAAATGAATCGATTCACGTCGATTTCGGAGCCCTCAACTTGCCAGGCGCCGTCGCTAAACGCTATGAAAATGCTAGGACAGCAAAGGTTAGACACGGACTCCTCGAATAGAACACCGCAGGCAATCCGGAGAATATGGGACTTGCATAATTTGTATGATTGGCCATGTAGCAAATGACCGCGAAGCATGTGAGAAAGATGTTGATCATATGAGGACCCATTTCTTCTCGGAACTGTTGCGAACAGCAATGTTGGACAGTGTATCCTTGATGGCCTCTTTCGAGCACTTGGGAAATTGGTTTTTGAGAACCTCAATCAACCCCACCTTTGACAAGGTGCTGTCTTCCACTGCAGTCTTGAAAGCTGGTAGGAGATCTGACGGAATAGTCTTGACAGGCTTGCCAGAAGCTGCGTGCGCACCTTTTGTCTTCGACAGGGCCTTTTTGACATTGCTCTGATCGTACACAATAGGATAGCCTGTAACAGGTGGAGGAGGGGCCAGGCTCGCCGTGTTGTTGTCAAGTGTCATTAGTGGTACACGTGGTGGTTGCATGCCAGCTGGACTGTTGAGAGGTCGCTTCTTTGGACTGGTTTTGCCGATGTCTGACCAGTGGGCGGTGGAATATGGGTCGATAGGAAGCGTAACACTGTCGTGGAGAACATCCAATCGATATGAAGACAAATCGCTCTCGATTGCAGAAGGTGAGCCTGCGTCCTCCCAGCAAAGACCAGTTGATCTTGGTTCCATATCAGTCATGATTAGTCGACGCTTGACAGGTTCTCCGTCATCGTCTACGAAATCATCCATTTCCTCTTCCCCAGCATCGTCTTCTGATAGCTCATCCTCATCCATCAGGTCGTCATCTCCTTCTTCTGGTTCTTGCCATTCCGCTTCACTGTCGTAGTCATAGTTGGTATCGGGAAGGCCTCGATAGGTAGGATTGCGAGCAATCTTTCTACTGGATTGTGGAGAGACAAATCTGGTATATGTTCCTTGATATGCCGGGCGTACATCGTGGTAAAAGAATAGACATTTGTATGGGATTGATTCGAGGTCGTCGTTGAATCCGATGAGATCAATCGACTCTTTTGATGATAGGTCCGATTTCTCGACGATTTCTTTGACGGATTTGATTTTCCGTGACCTCCGTCGCTGTTCAAATCGAGTACTGATGTTCTCTGGGGAGATGCTTTGGTTCATCAACAATTCCTTGCTGAAACTGCTTGTCTTGTAATGAAATCTGTTGGCGGGAGCTACCTCGGTGTGTTCATTGACGAAGAAAGGCAAGATCCACTGGTCATACTCGGTACTTTTTGACTTTGGCACAGGACTATTTGCAATGAGAGATGGAGCCATGTCGATGGATGCGATTGACGATCTTCTGCTAGAAGCACCAAGTGACACATCATCGGGAGTTGTCGGAGGGGTAGACGCCAGAGCAGGTCGACCAAAGAAGGCACCGATACGAAGTTGATTCTAGCAATGTCAATACTGCAACATGACACTTCGGGGGTAAACCATTACCTTTTGCTTCTTCAGAGCCTCGGCCTCTTTGCGTGCCTTTTCGGCATCCTTCTCTTGCTGGACGGCATCCTTCGCCTTCTGCCTCTCAGCTTTCACGGCGTCCTTGGCTGCACGCGTAGCTTCCCTTTCTTCGTCCTTCCGCTTCTTCTCCTCGTCTTTCTTCGCCTTAGCTTCAGCTTTCAGCTTCTCTTTCTCTTCCTTCTCAGTTTTCTTGACTGCCTTTTCCACTTCCCGCTCAGCGAAGGTGAGTTTACGCTTCTTGGATTCCGGAGCCATGTCTTCCCTCTGAGGACTGACTGCAGGCGTGGCACCCAGTTCAGTTAGTGGGGAATCAGCACGAGAGAAGTCCACTGAGCTCAAGTCTTGTTGGTCGAGAGGAGGTATCAGTGAGTTTGCTTGTGAGACAAGTGTTCCTTCGTAGTTTCTCTTTTTGGAGGAAGGAGTGACCTGCTCAGCGGTTTCGGCAGGAAGGGCCAGTGACGGAAGCGATTGAGTCTCCATGATGGGGACGTCGAGAGGAAAGAGTGAGCGAGCAACAAAAGATACTGCTACAATAATATTGTTACAGGGCTGACTGCTGACATCAGAATGACCTCGCCCACAGTGCACGTCTAGAAACGGTGGTGCGTGAGGCAGTATAGTATCTTGGTCAATCAAACTTGGAAGTCGATGGCGATGGCGCGTGACGCGTGGAGAAGACGCGCTGTCTTGGCACTGATCGCGCGTTCACGATATATGTTCCACCGTAGAAATTGGAGTTTCAATTCTTCTCATGCTATCAGTGATCACTGCCATAGCACTCAACCAAGTCATAGGATATCTTAAAGTACCTCCTAGCTAAAGGACCAGTTACAAGAAGGAATACCATTAAAAAGAGTATCATTCACTCAAGTACGCTGAATATTAAGTGATGAAGATTGAGCATAACCACAACAACAATCTGTACAAGAACCATGTGTCTTTGTCTCTAAACTTCTCTTATGATGGTCATCATCAATATGACATCTTAAGTTTTGTTGAGATAGCTTCCTGATTCTAGAACTAACAAGGTCAAGCGCAACCGATTGCAGTTTGAAATCTTGCCTGGCGAAGCTCAGTCGGCTCAAGCGCAGACATTTCTTGACCTTGATTGTTCTTCTCAATTCCTCCTTTCCTGGATAGTCGAAATCTGCCTCCTAAAGACAGATGACACTGATTATTTCGCCCCAGTCCCACCATCAACACGACCCTTCGTGAATCTGTTTACTAACAACAAGTGACCACCTATCGTAAGTCGTAGCCGAAAGAGAGAGGGCTTGTCAAAGCGAGAATGATGACAAATGAATGTTCATCATTCTCTTCTGCTCCTGGCAGTGAGAAAAGTCATTTCCAACATCGAGAGGCAACCTATTCTGACCTGGGTATCCCTTGTTTGATCCGAAAGCGTTCACAAGAACGCATCTCGCCAACCCCCACCACCTCAGCGCAAAAAAAGATGCAATTTGTTCAAACCAATTCAGAAACAGTCGAAGCAGAATAGAACAAGCAGAAGGAGATTCGTAAGTCAGCGTTCAACGATCGTGGATGATGATAAATCGAAGAAAGTCCAGTCCATAGACCATTGGATGCAAGAATCGAAGGTTCGTAGTTCATGCGCATGCACGAACCGAGTTGTGTGCCCTATTTGTTTCCGGTATTTTCATTTGTAAAGTGTCAGAATCCCTCCTGTTACATGTGACAGGCACCAGCCTGTGACACCAAGGCGTGGATTATTCTGAGCCTGGTTCCCTTCACGGTGAGGTGATCCCTTCTGATAGCGGCGATATACGCAATCGGAAATGACAGGTGGTTCTTTCAGAGAGAGGAGAAACTTCAGCCTCGACCTGTCCGAGAAAGCCGAGACTGACGTGTGCAGAGACAGTCGATAGCAATAGAAGGAAAGTAGAAGTGTTGTCGTCGACAAGGTTGGCATATCCTGGCGTGAGCCCATATATCTCTGTTTGTGGTTGTTTGTTGATGAACATAGGAAAACATGGATTACTCCCAGCGAGACCAGCAGGCTTCGAAACGAAAGACCCTCCCAGTCAAGTCGACTCTGGTTCCCTTTGTCAAATCAAAGCCAACGCTTGCTAAAGTGGCACACCCAGACATGCTAGACAAAGGAGACAATTGAGAGAAGAAAAATCGCGTCAAGAAGGTGGATCGAACTTCAAGTTCAACCCAAATCCTCTTCACCATCTTCATCGTCATCCTCATCAGCGCTTTCACTGGCAACTTTGTTCTTCTTGCTGGGAGTTTCATGGTCTAGGTTTCCAGCCTTTCTTTTGGTGCCTGATGTGGCACTTTTGGAGTCCTTGATGGCAGGGGTGCCATTTTCACCAAGAGGATTTTCACCTTTCTCCAGAGCGGCGACCTCATCCGCTGTCAAGAATCTACCTCCGGGTCCACGAGGGCGTCGCATTGCATGGTTATGTCTCGATTCGTGCAAGTAGGGTTTGCGACCCTTGGAAGTCAACCTTAGTTGCTCTTCGAGCTTCTGTCGAGCAACACGTCTCTTGAGAATGCGGTGAAACTGTTTTGCGTTCACATACAGTGGTGATTCCTCAGCACCACCGGCAACAATTTCTTCTTGTGGAGCTTGCACAGGTTGTTGAGGTGGAGGCATTGTAGGCGGAACCGATTGTCGAGGAATGTTGTGATTCATGACTGGCTGCGAGACTTGCCCGTGAGGACTAGTAATGTGCTGGCTCATTCGTCGCTGCTGATTCATTTGATTCGCTTGGGGGATATTAACACCCGTGGCCATGGATGGCATTTGTCCTACACATCATGTCAGTCTGTTCGTTTCATACATTAGGCCCAGTATTGGAACCTACCGGAAGCTGCCGCGGTCGCCATGGCCGCGGCTTGGGTGGGCGAGATTCCATAACCTTGTGTCATGCCAGTGCTCACGCCATACTGAGGGTAACCCATCGATTGATGGACACCACCAGCAGACTGAGGGGTGTAATGGTTTTGAGTTTGCGAGGGAAGGATGGGAGAGGCTTGATTCGGGTTGTGTTGCTGCAAATGCGACTGAGGCCCGGAAGGTGATTGCAGGGAGCCGGGTCCAGCACTTTGAGGGGAGGTCTGATAACCGCCCTGCAGATGTGGATGGTGAGATTGTTGCTGGTACTGCGGAGGGTATTCCATCATGAGTACAGACGGCAATGAAGTCTAGAGCTTGCACTGGATATCTTGTTGATGCAGGGCTAGAGGAGAGGAAGATGCAACGGCCCGGAGGGTTCGTTGTCTGGTCGCCTTAAGCTGTTGCGCGTATAGGAGAAGCAGAACTCCCGGAGGCTAAGCTGACTGTTAAAGATCTGGGGGCAAGCCGGCGTGATTGCTGAGACGCGCTTCGGGGGCTGCTTGTGCCTTGCAAAGTTGCAAAAAGGCGCCTAGAGACTCTGATAGGAGGGCACAATAGAGACGGTTGGAGCCTGGTCATTCGCGTTAGCTACTAGTGCAGGACTTGCTGGTCACTGGATCACTCACGATGAACCAATACTTGATGATGATCTGCCGACAAGGGCTGAATCGTCAAGTGCCAACGGGTTTACTCTTTGGAGTAGTGAAGTAATTGACGCAGATGGTCCACTATATTTGACAAAGACAAGTCAACAAATGAGGCGGATGTTGATCCAGGTCTGGAGCGCAAAGCTGTTGGAAGCCGGCTGAAGTCGCCTTAGATTGGGCTCCTGTGCAGGAAGCTGGGGTCTGGCGTTGCGTAGCGCCTTTGATGAGTTGTCACCTTCGCTCTTGGGCGGGCAGTGCGAGCGACAGAGTGGCGCGGATTCTGAGGTATGCCTAATCTTGTAAACACCGTCGCTCGATGATCTCGAGATCCAGCTCTTTTGCAGATGAAGCCCAGGGTCGCGGATCTTGATAGAGATGTAAGATGTTTGTTGATAGTGCTCCCAGAGAACCCAATTGCGTGCGCGCACAGCTAGATTGAATTCTGTGGATGACGGCGAGGGCGAAGACTGATTCGAGGGCGGGTAAAGAGCAATCAACGATTCGATTGCTAGACTACAAAAGAGAGGCGGGGAGGGTTAGTATTGGCTCTGTTGAACAAATAAAGGCAATTATTGGAGGAGAAGGATAAGTGGGAGGAATAAAGCAGCGTCATTGGCGGCGTGTGCAGTTGATGTGTTGGCAGGTCATGCAACTCACCTTTAGTCCCGTCCCACAACAAAGAAAGCGAGCTGTATTCTATTCTTGTAAGGCAGAATTGCCCTTGTAGATCTGCTCGATGATGTATGTTGCTGTTCCGTCGGTTTCCTTGCTGCCCGAGGTGTGAAGCAAACTGGCGCGAGAGTGACGGAGCAGCGGGTGGTCTACAAAAGTCTGAAGTGTGAATGTGTTGCTGACCGTTGGACCCGGAGGAATAACTTTACTACTAGGTCGCGTCGACGATGATGTTAATCGAAGGTGCGATAGGGTGAGCGGTCGCAAGTTGAAGGAATGAATGCGACAGCAGTGACGCGGAGGTGGAATTGTGCGGTGGTTGGTAGTAGTGGTGGGATCGGAGTGGTTAGTCAACCCAAGTTGGATGCTGTGGTAGGCAGGTGGAAGGTGTGTGTCGGGCTAGCCTGAGGTTGACAGTCCCGGGAATTGGCGTAGCGGTGGAGTGTGTGATTGCCAGCGGTGAGTGCAGGGATTAGAAGATCAGTGTCCCAGGCTTTGCCGCGGAGTCAAGGTTAATTTGTGTGCGTGGGCAGGGCTATTGGAACTTGAACAGACCCTAGGCTCCTAGGCACGATGGGACGGTCGGCTTTGTTGGCAGCGTACGATTGATTGCTGGCATGGAATGCCTCGTACGGGGGAATGATGAGAATGGTTTGTGCCGGGTGAAAGCTGGGAGTTGGAGGCCGGCTACGGTAGCGATGTAGTGCTAGAGCTGGTGAGATGACGAAACTTCCGAGGTTAGGATCAGAAAGGCGCGGTTGAGAGGAAAGCTCGAGGTTGAGTTTTCTCGAGCTTCTGCTACCGTTGGCTAGCGATTGTCGATGAGCTTGCTCACTCGTCGATTGACGCGACGAGGCTCAGTTGATAAGAATTGGTAGGTTGTGAATGTTTACCAGGGACGTGGATCGTTGGCAGAAGGCGGCCACTCAAGAGTCAAGAGGGTGATCAGGCCAGTAGACGGTGGTTGAAGTTTGCCCAATGGTGAAAAATCTCGGGCAAGGCCTGGGGTCGACAAACAAGTCGCAATTGATCTGTTTCTGACCCCACGTGAATGTCGGTAAGTCTATTTGGATGACTTGCGTTGGAGTGTCTCGTAAGGCGGGTGGATAGGAGCAGAATCCAAGGTGAATGGTTGAAGTCGATAGGCAAAAGGAGTTGGATTGCGAAGAGAGGACTGATTGGAGAGAAGTTGAAACGTGATGGGCGATTATTGGGTGATGATGAAGTACTGGGGAAAAAGCAAGAAGAGCGAGTCACGGAGGTCAACTCGAGTCGGATGGCTGGGCGATGAAAAGCGGTGGGCAGTGGGCACAGGGCTTGCCTGGGTTTGGGTTTGGGTTTTGGCTCGGACTTGGGCTTTGAACAACACACTGGCAGTCCGGCACAGCACAGACAGAGAGAGACTCGGGCTCAAGCGGCACAAATGCAGAGTACGGATACGAGCTGACCTAGTCAGAGAGGGAGCTAGTCCGCCGTAAGCCTGCCTGGACGAGCGGCAACTTATTACTACTACTTCAAATCACGGGGCAGGCACGACCTTGAATCGGAATAAGGATGCCTCAGGCACTACCAGTGCTTGACTCCCACTGGCAAGTACTAACGAAAGACCGGCTAGCCTCAGGCTTCAGCGAGAATTTGCAACTCGAAGGGAAAGTGGAGTTTCAAAGCGCGGGAGTGGAGCAGCTGGAAGAGTGACGCACTGCACGCACGCTGACGACGAGGTATTCTTCAAGTTCTCCGTCCGAGTATCCGTAGTCAGGTCCCCCTCTGCAAAACACATACTCGCTTCCTTTGACCACAACCAACCTAGCCAGCCACTGAGGTGGCACCCATGGCGTTTCTTCCCACTTCCCTCGTGACTTCAGCCATCATTTCTTGGTCTTTACCGCCAGTCGAGCGGGGCCTTCTAGTCCTATTTTGGCCATCACCCTTTTCATCTTCGTCTTCAGCTTCATCTTCATCCGAGAATGACAACTTGACAACAACTCATGGACTACTATCCGGCATGAATGACGGACTCGAAATCCAAGCAGGGTTATCGCTGTTGCATCCCAGGAGCACGTCCGCATTACCCGCTGACAGACAACATTCAAGTTTTGGGTTTGACTCGGCAGTTTGCCGTGCGCCCACTACCAGTGGCAGTGCCATTTGTCAGATCATGTGACCAGACCTCCTCCCAGGACCGGAATAATTCTAAGCCAGTCATGCCATAAGCAATTCTGTCAACCACCATGGGCACCTCCTGCATGACATGCATCTCGAACAAGTTCCAAACACACTGTAAATTTCCCAGTGACAATGCTCAAACGTGGACAGCACTTGTTCGAAGGAGAAGCTTTTGTCAAGTGGAAGCAGCGTAGCGTTGCACTCGCCTTCGCCTGAGAATCCAACCTTCTGCACAATCCCTGGAACGCACTTCAGCACCAGACCGGTTCAACCCACTGTTGCCTCTCCGAACCCTGAAAACTTGAGGAAGCGAGAGGACATTGTAATTACGATCTGATCCTGCCTACCTACGAGTATCTAGGTTTTCTCCCCTAGTCGGAAGAGCTAGGTCGCTGATGTGGTTCACAAAATAATTGTATACGATGGCCAGACAGCTGCCCGCCCATCAATGCCGGGTCCATACAAGACAAATCTTCAATCATCTGGTATGGAAACAGCCATCGCGATCCGGACCAACGGCTGTATGTGTCGTCCACGAAACTACATCTCCTGATTATTTTGGCTATGATAGGCGCAACCAGACGAAAAGGTAACTGTCCCGCTCCATTCGTTTGGGTATGCCAGGAGTGCCGTCGTCCTGAAGTCTCAATTGATATTGGCAATTGAGCGAGGTCAAGTAATCTCATTCATACATGGTGCCGTTCTGCAGCAAGAGTTGGTTACCAAGATTCCTCCCACCACGTTTTGGCAAGCTTGGTCGTTCATTCACCAGTAATGGCTTGTTTACGCGCAGTCCGATGTGCGAGCTGATGGTTGTTGGGGAGCTTGTGACTCCCAATCGGTCTATCGAAGACCAGATATTCCATGTGGCGAATGTATGTGGCAAAGCCTCCTTCTACCACGAGACCATCAAGGTGAGAAGTGAGCCTCTCTAGAAGCCTTTGTTTCTATCAGATCCCCCAAATAGCGAACACATTGAACAATCACATCACCAAAAACATGGCCCCTGGTACGGTCAGTTTTCCCTAACCGTATCTGGACCTGCTGAACCATCCAACCGCATACACTTCGGGTTGGGATGGAAGTCGTGCAGAACAAAGCATTATACTCATCAAGCAGCTCTTTCCAAACCACATCCTAGCCTCCTGCTGCTACTGCCCTCGTACTTACTCTTGTGGGATCTCTTTAGCAATCTTGGTCATCCTTGGGGAGAAGAGAACAATATTCTCTACTTTTCCACAGGGAGGTTTTGACTCTATTGCTGCGGTCTGATATTATTATAACAAGACCCAGCAAGACGAAATCACTTTTATCTCGGCTGTCGTGAATGCAATTCGAGTAACCCATGCAAAGCATGAAGGAGGGTGATGAGCGAGTGAGCAGGAGGCATCTGTCACCTGCCCTCGTACAAAGATGATCTTAATTGCTATTGGCCTTTGTTGGTCTACCATGCATTGCAGCCCAAGTGATCGCTATTTCCGTTTGAGGTATAATTCTACCGTGCCTACCTGGTGTATTTACCTCAGAATTCCGACAACCAACCCTACTGTCATCCCAGCTCCCTGCTGTGCATCGGCGTCCACCACAGCTAAACACCAAAAATTCCTTGACTACTTCAAGGTGGAGGGTGCCGCTTTGCTCTTCCAGAGAAGGCCCACTCGACTTTAATTACCCAAAGCTCTCTACTCCCGCTCCCGCTCGAGGTCTAGAGTTCGGAACCTGTTCAAAATTCACATGCAACCAACCAAGAGAAATGATCCCAGGAGACAAGGATCCCAGCCTCATTTTGGGCTCTTTGGCCATCCATCATCCATCCATTCATTCGTGGAGGATCCAAACGGCAAGTTAAAGAAAACCCCACAACTCTCAACCAATAACCCACTACAGCACTCGAAAATTCCCTGGCTTACGACTCTGTCACTGGCCGGTAAATACCTCTCGTTGCCCAATGATTTGAGATCTGGTGGGTTCTTTTTCCCTTCATCCTCCTATAATTCGCTACAAGCGCGAAAAGGCAGGTTTTCCTCTCTTCCTGGGAATGCCTTCCAGCCTTAACCGCCTGGATCTTTGGTCCAATGATCCAAAGCGCGTGGAGCCTTGGGTGAGAAACACAGAATCGCTGTCCACTCCGAGCATTCGGGTTACACTGGGCGCTTGATAGACCACACGACGCCTCGTCCTCATGCCTCGTCTCACTGGCTCCATTATGCCTCCTTCAGTAAAGGTATTCTGGAAGCCTCAACCCAGTCCAAACAACAGAGGATCTAGGCCAGACTATGGGCTCAACCTCGCATCATCAAGCCCGTCACCTCGCCTGCTCGGTATATCCATGAGATTGCGACGTGTGATATCCCCCAGGCTACCCGGCGAGGGCGAAAGACCTCTCTATCCACTGTGCTGGCTGACTTGGTTCCTCAACCTTCCGGTCCTCGCCTCGCGCCGGTCCTCTCTTCCATGTACTGGATCCCGTCTAACCTTGCCGGTGCTGCCTGGTCATCTGTTGCAAGTTGTGAGGGAACGGTGGGTCCGAACGGATACTAGAAAACTAGGATCATAGGACTTCAAGTTGGCTCTGTAACTGCCTCCTGCTCTCACCAAACCATGTCGACTCTTACAGAGTATTGGCCAGCACATCAGCCCCCAATCTGAATTTCTCGTTCTCTTGTTACTTCTTTCCCCTACACGAGGTCCCCTTGGTGTTGTTTCCTTCCCTCAGGGCCAAGCTGTTTCCAGTTGGTTACCGTTTGAACTCTTGTCGTATTACCAAGATGAGCTCGCCTGGTCCAACAGCTAATAGGAGCGGTCTTCTTATTCGTCGTTATCGCACAAAGGACGAAAGGGGCCATCACACTGTACCTGCGTACACAGCGAGCTGACAAAAGTATAATCTCGCACTCCGAGACATTCATCATGTGAAATTGACCTCTTCATACATACAGACATTGCGAAGTGCGACCACACATACTCATAACGGTAAGAGTTGTTCATTATTCTTTTTGCCCATCGAGGACCTCTCTAGCTCGTTTCATGGCTCTCATCAGTCTCTTAAGGGTCATATCAAGGAACAATTAGCCGACCGAATGCCAACACCGTCATGATAGTGTTCAAATTCTTTTGCTTGCTGGCGTGGCAATATTACAAGCCACTGCGTAACACATTGTTATTCGCCCGTCATGAAGCCGTTTCTCCAAGTCTCAACATAGGCATACGGAGTAGAGTGTAGAGCTCCCTGCTCATTTCATGGCATGCCGCCTCTGACAAGAGAAGGCCTAGTCCAGGCTAACTAGGCTACGTCGCTCAATCATGTAGCGGCCTCCAAGGTAAAACGGAGCTGACGAAGAAGCGATCCACTTTGTCGTAAAATCACAGCACTCGTGATCTCCGGAGAAAGACAGCTTATCTAGTTGATTCATTCAAACCAATCATTCGCTCAGCACAGCTCTCAGCATGGCGAGGAACGCCTCTTTCAATTTCAGGACCTCCGAGACCTCGGGCTTGACGGGCTCGCCGGCACTGCGACGGAGGCGATCCTGTGCTTTTTTCCGGCGGCGCCGCTCCGCGCTAATAGGGTCGAGATCGTCGGCGGCTTCTTCCTCCTCGCTGTCGGCGTCGTCTTCTTCGTCTGATATCGTCAGGTCCATGAGGTCGGTCTGTGGTTGAGTGGTCAAGTTAGTGACAATCATGAAACAAGAGTGGCGGGAGTTGGTTGGTTAGTTGGTGTCACAGAGGCAAAGGAAGTAGAAGAGATGCGTCACGACATACCTCGTGCAGTCCGAAGTCGCTGCTCTTGAACGCCGACAGGCCAGGAATGCCCTCTGCAGTATTGCCGCCCGTTCCTTCCGCCGCCATCTTTTGGCGTGTCTTGTCACTGTGCCATTTCTTGCGCGCCTCCTGCCACTGGATCAGGGAGTTGATCTCGGCGATCGCTTTCTCCTTGTTGATCATGCCGACGTCTAGCGCGCCCTGGAATATAGCGTTCATGTCGAGCTTGCCGCCTTTGGGTCCCTTGCGCAGGAACTCGAGAATGCCTTCGATCCAGCCCATGAGTGCGGTGAAGAGGCCGTTGTCATGAAGATGTACTTCGTGAATGAACTTGTAGAGATTGTGTTCGTGGCGGGCGCACAGGTCGATAAAGCTCTGCACCGTCTGATTCGGGTCGGCCGACACGTCTTGCCGTTGAGCGATTTCGACAGTCTTGATGGCGTCGTCCACGAACTGAGCAAAGTCCGTAATGCTGTTGTAGACGTTCGCAGACTTGTATACTCGAATCAAGGGCTCGTAGAATATGGTAAACAGGTCTCGGAAGAGTTGCAGTGTCGTGGGTTCCTCAATCATGTTGGCCATCATCGCCTTGTCCCGTTGGCGAGTCATCAATTTCAGTAACTGCTTCAGGTGAGAGAACAACTCTGCACCTTGTTTGAGCTCTTCGTCGTCATTTTCGACCGCGCTATTCCATGCCACGTAGGCATTAAACACACGTTGGATTTGGGGACCGTTCAGGTCAGGCTGGAATGCTTCAGATCTTAGAATCGCCACAACGACGTCAACCTGTTCATCCTCAGCCTCGGTTCGTAGGATGAGCTTCGTATCTTCATCGCTGTCGACAAACGCTTTCAGCTTGTTGGTTAGAATAGGATCTCCAATCTTGGTGACCAGGTCATCAATGGATTTCTGAAATTGTCGTATGCCGTCTCCCAGGGTTTGAGCGAAAATCCTCTGGAGAAGTGATCTGGTTCCGAATGGCTGAGCGAGGAACAAGTCAAGTACACCACTCATGACTGCTGCCGGATTGGCGATGCGTATGACATTCTTCAAGACCGTATATGGGACCAAGGAATGTATACGCTTTGCCTGTGCAAACAATTCGGGAGAATTATCCTCCGCAAGGAAGAGATGGTATATGGTCGCAGCAACCTCTATCCGCAACCATTCAGCGAATTTCTGATACTCGGGGCTCAAGTCTTCGATTTTCTCTTTGGTCTTGATCTCGGAAAAGAGCTTGGTGAGACCGTTACTCTCAACAATATCTCGTCGGAATTTCTCCATGTAGGTATCGAGCTCAGCTGCGCGTTGCCGGGCTATGTCATAAAATCGGCGTTGTTCTTCCACACGCCTAGCATCCATCTCCTTGCGACGATCGATATCGTCCAATTCTTCCTCATTCAACTTGACAGGTTGTAAGCTCAGGAAATCCGCTATTGATCGTGATTCCGCAATCTGAGGATTTTGCAGAATTGTGCGCAGGAAGGCTCGTAGAGATACTCTCTGATCCTCACGATGTAACTTTACAGGGTGTGGACTTGGACTGCGATCTCGCGATAAACTGAGACGTGGTGAAGATCTGCCTTTTGGTGAATTTGTTCCAGAGCCGATACCCAAAGTGTTACCCGACTTGAGACGGCGGTGTATTGGAAGCATGTTTCTCGAAGAACTTGCATCGTCTAAGCTCGCTTGAGTTGATACTGACGATACCGATGATGCATCATCATCTCCTCCTCCACCACCAATCAGTGTGGTCGTATGAGACTTGTTCTTTCTTGGGAGTGGCGGGAGAACTTTGCCTGGCATCTCAGTGCGCAACCTCTTATGTAACCTGGTGAACTCGCTATATCTCCTACCCACGTACACCTCGGGCTGGTCTGGTCGCTTGACGCGAATTAAGAATTCTGCATGTTGATGATACCGAACGGTCCTCTTTATTGATGTGGTTCTTACACCAGCAACATTGACATCCCAGCCGTTGATGTAATTGCCCTCGGGTATATTCACTACAAGACCTTGTTCGTTGGGGCCTGCATCGACCATTTCCATCTCGGCAAATCGTATCCTCTCCTCATAGCCAGATGCTGTGGGGATACCAGACACCATCATCAGCTCGACAAGTTTCTCACATTTCTTTGCGAGCTTTCTTCGTTTGGTCTCTTCCAATCGGTCTTCTGAGGAGGAAATGTATTTACTCGCGAACGACTCGAGAAAGACTTGTAGTTTATCTTGCCAAAACTCCTTCTCCTGTGCCTGGTTGAGGAAGGGGAAATTCCGCACATGATTGACGAATATATATCGCAGGATTGGTAGCTCAGAGTCCATGGGGGAGACTTCGCCATATTCTGAGCGGAAAGGGGCCCCGAAACGTTGGAGGGCGGTGGGACTGTTCAACTCTTGAATCTCTCCACTGACTTGACTGGAGACCAGTTCTCGCTTGAGATAATGTTCTTGCTTCCCGGTCAGCAGCTGGCCCGGGGGTGGTACCGAGTCTTGCGAAATGGATTTCTGAGGGGGCCTGGTAGGCAGAGTGACACTGCCATTAACTGTGGGAGCGGTTTTGACATCTCCTTGCGGAGGGATGGCGGTTGTAGTCATCTGGGTGTAGTTTTTGGGAGAGGAGGGGTATATCGTAGGGGAGGCAATCAGTGACGTTTTGCAGGTTTAAAGGTGCCTTCAATCTGAAATGGATCAGATCGAAGAGAATATCAGACGCTCCGGCGGCAATAGAGTATGTTAGCTTTTGGTCCCGCGGCTTCTGAATGAAAAAAAGTCGCAAATGGCCTAGTAGTTGATGGTGAACAGACTTCCAAGTTGTAGTTCTTGCGACAGGGGGCCACGGGCAGCGTGAAGGGTGCAGATGCGGGTATAGGCTGTAGGTGCCGTGCCGACTCTGGAATGGAACGCAGGATTCAATACGTATGAGTGGTGATGAAGGTGAAGTTTAGGAGAAGTTATACATTCTTGGCCATTCCTTTCAGACTCTGATGCTCGTTTATTTGAAGCTTGGACTACCTAGGGAATTCTGGTATTGCGTCGTCGTACATGCTACCTCACTCGTTGCCCGTGGCTGAAGTGCTGAGGCTGCACTGCATGACGGTGAGTTTTCGTGGATGACTGCGTCATGGGGGCTATTCAGGGAAGCTTGGCGGCCTTTTGGCTGTGGTTGAGTCACTTGGCAGGGCCCGAGGGGCCCCTCGGGCACCTGTAGGGCTCAGGGTGGGGTGAAGTCGTTGGTGACGGGTGGGCACTCGGTGGGCACTCAGTCGACATGTAATAGGCGATGGAGCCGGGTGACTGCAGACGCTCGTCTTCTGTTCGGCTCACATGCCGCCCACTTGGTATGGTGCTTACGACAACTCCCACTTGGATCTCTTGGTCCCCTCCACGTTCAGTTGGTCTTCGTCCATTCATCAATAATAGTTCAGTCTCCTTGTTGTGGCTCACGTCAAAATTTTCATTGCGTGGTGAGAACTGCCAGCGCAAGTTATCCACCCAGATTGGCTTCGCAAATAATATCATGTATGCAGTTAGACTTCTGGCGCATCTTTCAGCCTTGCAAATCTTCACCTTGGGCAATCAACCACCAAACCTGATCATCATTCATCTCACAGCGTGTAGACCAACTTCTTCCCACTAACTTTATCATGCCTCAGAAGATCAAGTCCTTCAAACACATTCTCAAGCCCATGATTGACCAATGGTGGATGAACCTTTAAGCGACCCTCCGCCAAAAGAGGATCAGTCACCTCCTTGACAAACTTCTTCATCCACTCAAAGTCTGCTGTTGTGTCTGGGTAATCAAAACTCCACTTCTTCACAGGCTCTCCGACCGCCGTATAGCCGAGTGAAAATGTGGTTTTCACATCATCTCGAGGAAATTCCACCTGGAGAATCGATCCATACGTACCTCCTGGAGATATCGCCCCCGCGCATATCTCAGCTGTAGGTGGCAACGCGATTGTGTCCCAGACATATTTAAGGGTGCCATTGGTATACTTCTTGATCTGGTCAACGACATCGGAATCCTTGTAGTCGAAAGCCGCCTCGGCTCCAAGCGACTTGACAAGATCAAAGTTATGCTTCGATGCCGTGGCAATGACACGGTATCCAGCGCTTCACACACATCAGCCTGTTTGCCGCGAGTTGAGCTAAGATACTTACAGTTTCCCAAACTGTATCCCCATGGTCCCCATTGCCGAAGAGCCACCATAGATCAACAAGAAATCCCCACTGGTTGATGGATTGGTTGGCCAGTTGAGCTTCATCTGCTGAAACAACCCCTGACCAACAGTAACGAGTGCGACCCCGAGTGTCGAAGCATCCTCAAAGGAGAGGTCATTGGGGATCTTATAGGCGATATCGGCTTTGACCGCGATGACCTGATCGTGTTAGGCCTGGAATCAAGATGGCTTGGGGTCTCACGCGGTCGCGTGATTCACACACTTCTGAGAACGCCCCATCCTCATGTTCCAATTCATTACCTCCGTGGCAGAATCCAGCAAGTCTATCACCGACTTTCCAGTCCTTGGTGTAGCCCTCACCAGTCTCCTTGACCACGCCAGCATAGTCGCATCCGCTTAAGGCATTCTTCGTATTGCGATAATCGATGTGTTTGAAATCGGTAGGGTTGAGAGCTACAGCCTTGACATCGACAAGTAGATATCCAGGCCTGTGTCTCGGCCGCGGTCGATCGGTCACCAATTTAGCTTTGCCGGGCTCTCCTTGAAGTACGATTGCCTTTTGTGTAGCCATGTTGGTTGAGTTGGCAGATGATGTGGTGTATGTTAAAGACCGGAAACCCAAGGTCTTGCGTATCAATGAATATCAGGTGCTGAAGGAAGGGAGAAAGGGTTTCCAATTCTTGGCATTCGATGCTCGTTTATATCATATCCCGTTGTAGATCTGTTGCTTGACGACATGCCGAAATCCAATACCTCGACCCCACCGACTAAGCCTCTCTGGAAGCCATGCTGACTAAATAGCGATTGTAGATACTGGGACAACCTGACCAGTTATTGAGCGTACGGATGTTTCTGTGAATCATGGCCAGTATCCAGTCCTCGGGATTAGAGGGCTGCCAAGTTCAATATCCGAGGTATCTCCTCCGTATGGTGATTTAATTCCGGGGGTTCCAAGCTGCCAGTGGCAGTAGAGAGACCAGGACGTTGTAACGTCAAGGAGCCGGCAAAGTCGTTTATTGGTGGAGAACAGCAGCCATAGCTGAGAAAGAGAATCAGGATAGTGTGATATTACCAAAGCAATGCTCGTTTTATGCTTCCCAGATGTTGTGACAGAGGGCATTTCAATACTTGGATATCTCGATTACCAATAACAGCGGCTCAACTTCTCACCGGGTGTTCACCGCGTCTAAGGCAAGAAGAAGGTTGCGCTTCATAGTGTCAGGCAGGAAAGATGTCATCGGATCCGAGTATCAGTTGATAGGTGTTCCCTGTCGACAAAGTAGTGGGTGAATGTGGGAGGAGGGCTGGTCGAACCTCGGTGAGTGAGGGGCATCGACGGGGGAGCCAAGATCAAAAGTTCGTTATCTAATCTCTTGGCATCAGTGAACTTTTTCCCCGACAAGATTTCTTTGTACCTTGAAAGACGACGACCATGCTACCTGATCTCTTCCCTCATCAAATCCCACCTGCCTGTGTACCACCGCTGCCATCATGGTCCGTAAGCTCAAGCATCACGAGCAGAAGCTCCTCCGCAAAGTCGATCTGATAAACTACAAATCCGACGGGCCATCACACCGCGAAGCCGCAGTCCGACGACGATACCACCTCACCCACCCTCTCGACTACAGCAAATACAACACACTATGCGGCCGACTACGGCAACTCGCCCACCTCCTATCGAATCTCGATCCCAGCGATCCGTACCGCGTCGAGATGGAAACCATCATGCTGGAGAAACTGCATCAGATCGGGATCCTGAAACAAAACAGACAGCAAGGCGCCGGCCTTTCGACGGTGGAGAACGACATCACGGTCTCCGCGTTCTGTCGGCGCAGGCTGGGGATTGTCATGGTGCGGATCGGAATGGTCGAGCATGTTAGCACGGCGCATAAGTTCGTGGAACAGGGTCATGTGAGAGTCGGAACGGAGGTGGTGACGGATCCGGCGTTTTTGATCAGTCGCGGAATGGAGGACTTTGTCACCTGGGTTGATGGGAGTAAAGTCAAGAGGCAAGTCTTACAATATCGTGACAAGCTGGATGATTTCGAACTGTTGTGATGGGGATATTTGGAATGAATCTATCGACCTTGAGTCGGAGGTAATTGCCCTCCGGAACACGGGAGGCAACAGGCACAGAACTTCTCCCTAGCAGAACTCGGTATTCTGATAGGCCCAACGAGAGAAGCGGAGGCCGCTGTGGCCACGAAGAACATTCGTCACATTACCTGACATTAGCACGATTCTACGATCCACCTTCCTGCAATCAGCAATTATCTTTATCGGTCCCACGACGACAAACGTCGAGATGTCGAGGCATGCCTTATGCATCAGCAATTAAGGAACAGTGGAAGGTCACCCACTTGCTGTCGAAGAAGGTCACCATTGATGGCGCCCAACCACGCGCAGAAGTCGACGGGTATTTTCACAGTCAAATCCTGCATCACGCAGCATATAGCGCATTGATGCCCTTGTAATTCAACAGCTCTACTGGATTTCACCACAGGCGCGCCTCCCAAGCCTTGCCATACCTCAAATTGAGAGTGAGAGGAAGAACCAAATGCGGAAAAGAGTGGAAATTCTGCTGTTACCAAAGGCATCATGGTAGCACCCAAACGAGCTCGATGCGCGGTAACCCTATTTTACGCGATACAGAGAGTCGGAATAACACCCGGAGATCAAGTGATGATGGATATCGCCTCGGTCTGAATGACCCTTGACTATCTGAACTCGCCGTACACCACAGTCCGTGGAAGGAGGACCGGCCCAGGGGAGCCATCGAGACCGAACACATTGAATAAACGGATTATCGGACGATTGCACACTTTATCATCCCGAAAAGTTCTAGGAAGTTGAGATGTGCGATTGGAGGCTTCAGGACCGCGAGGGGAATCATGGCCGTACAGTGTGGCTTCGACTCGATCCTCTCTGCTTGCGATGTCCGTGGGAATGCAAAACAGATGCCATCCGTGCGGGTCCATTTGAGTAGCCATAGCACCAGCATTGGGACGGAAAACAAAGGTGGCCAGTATCTCATCCTCTCCTCGTCATTAAACCATCGATCGACAATCGGTCAAGCGCAGGGCATATAATCAGTGTAGTTATCTATCGAATATCCTTAACAGGGCCAGCTAGAGAAAGCACGTGTATGAATGAATACATCAGTATGGAGCCAGGATAGACAATCAGATCTTTCAGACTGAAGAAATAAATATAGTTATAACTCAACATGGATATCTAGCATAACCTTCTCAGGTGGATTTGGAAGGAAAATAAACGAAAAGAAAAAGATATCAGAGACCATCAGTATGTTGTTGGTGCAGAGCCCATTATGGTCATATTGTTCAGGCGCTTGTTGGCAGGCGATTCGCATCGTGTCGTGAACATCACTTCATATCGTGTTGTCTCGTTTCTCTCCTCACACATGTATGTCGTTATCGTCTCAGTACCCAGTCAGAAACAGAGCCATTTCCTTCGCCATTCCGTTTGCGCAGGTCCATCGCTCTCACCATGCCCCTGCTCTTCTCGGCCTGGCTGCACTTCGTCCACGGCTTCAGGCTCAGCAGACACCCGGGCTGCAGGTGAAATCGCAAGTGTATTCGAATCTGCTGAATCCTCAACACGATCGCGTCCCTCCTTGCTGCCTTCAATATTCTCGTTATCATCAGCAACGTCCATGCGAAACCGTCGGACACTATCGCCATCACACTTGCCCGTGAAGAAATCACGGCGTGAATTCCTCGCCAGCAGAGACTTTGGCACGAGAGATCGAAGTAGGCCTCTGAATCCGGTGTTGGCACGGTCAATCTTGGCATATTCTTTGCGCCGTGTGGCGTCTGATGTCCAGGAGATGACGGTGTTGAAGGGTGGACGTTCGGGAAGATGGTTCGGCTTGTGGCTTTGCGGCTCACTGCTGGAGCGGCGGGAGTGCGAGGATGATACAAGCTGGCCGTGAGGGGGGTTTGGCTTGGTGTTGAGATCGCACTTTGGGCCGTGGAGTGATATGGAGGTTGTCGAGTCTGTGTTGAGGGAGTAGGAATAGGAATAAGTGTAAGCAAGCTTTGCGTCGAGCTTCTCACACATTTGAGCCATGTTGTTGGCCGTGAGCGTGGCGGTGTTTTCTTCCTCTGGAATCAATGATGGATGTCGTGTCGTCGATGTCGAGCTGGAAACACTGGGTAACGGGGTGATTTCTCTGCTCAAGGCGAGTACGCCATCCAAGGAAGAAAAGATCTGACAACTTTGTCGATGCAAAGTACCAAGGTTGGTAGGCTTGACTCTTCGAGAGGATGACGTGCCCGTTCTTTTCTTCGCCACCAGACTACTTTTACGTCTAGGGACGCTTGGGGAAGATTTTGACGAACGTCTTGACGATGGACGTGATGATTGACTTTCTGCATTTTGGTCATCTGACGTCTTGGTGGTGCTGGTGGCGGTTCCAGGCCTGGAGGTGCCACTACTGCTCTTTCTCGATTCGTATTTGATCATGTAGGTGGTGTGGGTTGTATGACTGTCTCTTGGACGGCTCCGTACATTAGTAGTTCCTTTGGTTGCACTCGTGATGGCAGAATGGAAAGATTCGGCGTCAGATTCTTCTCCTTGATAGATTGAACCGTGGTTCAGGTCTTTTGCGTAACTTGTTATACGTATTGTTGTCAAAGTATTCATGTTCTCATTATCACCATGGGCCTGCATGGTTGGCCAAAGATGTCTGGTTCAAGATTGGACTGTTTCAATCTGATTCGTTTTGGACTGTGGAGCCAAGCTGTTTTCAAATTTTTGACACGGGCAATGGTCCATACAACATGAGAAGCTCAAGCTTGAGTGTGAGTAAAACAGTGTCAATCGATGGTTGACGTTGAGGTCAGCCAAAAGCTTAAACAGGAAGTCCTTGATTTAGTCATGATGGATTTTATGTCATAAACGATCAACTGCCTGACAACTCATCAATGCCTGAGACATGGTGCGATATCTTTTTGGGCACTGAGGAAGGAAATGAATGGTCAAACCTGAGAGAAGCGGGAAAAGGGTCATAGATGAGGTCGGTTGTTTGGCGAGTCCTCCAAGGTCTTCAAGGCATTTCATTGGAAGACTCCGATCGACTTGAGAGCGGACCTCCTGATGAAGCTACCTGTGGGCGGCTGCATGGACGACATGATTAGGATTTCCAAAGGCGCTTGAAGAGGTGTTAGAGAAGCGGTAGACGAGAATTCAACCTGGGCATCGGCAAAAGAATGCCGACATTTCTCATAGATTGGAAAACCCAGGTGCCATGTGATGCAGGACTACAAATTGATCGGGAAAGATGAAGTCTGAAAAGATGCAGGTTGTGAAGCTAAAGACGCAGGTTACTGTATGATGGAGGAGACGATTGGGTGTGGGAAAGACAGCCACGGGCGAGCCAAGGGGTCATCGACGGGTCTCGGTTCGAGTGCGGCAAGCAACAGCTTCATGCAGCTTGCACACCGCCAAAGATCGCCAATCAAAGAGGAGAAATTGCTCCCAAATTAACCAAATGGGACACGTCGGATGTCCCTGGAGTTTCGATCCTTTGAAGTTGGAGTATGAGGGATTGTATCATCAGATACTGACTTGATTAGGTACGTCAGTAACAACACATCAATAATCGCGGCAGGTGTGTTGTCTCAAATAAGTACGAGTACCTCAGGAATAATGTATTTCCGACATGGATCTTCCACCGATCAACAAGGCTATCGGAAAGGATCCCATTCTAACCACGGTACGAGAATTCCACTTCAGACTTCTATTCTCTCCTCATGCCGCAGGTTCAGGTTCACTCGATTAGCATCGTCTTCCTGACTATGCTATCTATTCTCTTTCCCGCTTCTATGCATTTTGGGCAGTTAAAGCCGCCACCAGCCATCAAATGCATCATCCAAGATCATCACTTGGTTATACCACCCAATGCAACAAGCCTCTAGATCCATCCCAGGGGCTAATATTTTCTCCAGTTGGTTGGTGCAGTTCAAAAGGGCCATGTCCTTTATACCTGCCTCCTGTGTGTAAATGCACAAATGCAGAATTTGACCAGTTGGTTGGTACGGTCTTACATCGAATGACAATCCGGAAAATGACAGTAGTCTGCATGCTCGTCTCAAAGCACGCCGTTGTGGTCGCGTAGGGGTATCACTCTTAAAGTCATGCACGCTAGAATATGCCGAATTTCTTTTTCTTTTCTCCTTCTGTAATTTCCATGGTTAGTAACTGTACACTCAGGGACTGATATACCGGGATATGCTCACCCTGCGGTCCAATATTCCCTGCACTCTTGCTCGCGATTAACGCGCTCTTTCTGCTAGCAGAAGCAGCAGTGAGTGGATCGGCACCGTTGGAAGCCGCTCTGATTGCGGCAATGCGATGTTTGGCTCTTTCTTCACCTTGGTCCGCAGCACTTACGTACATGACGTTGGCTTCTAGGGGGTCTCGACGGCATCCTATGCCCATCTCTGTGAAATATCCAAGAGTATATTGTGCCTTTGCTAGACCTTGGGCCGCAGCTCTTTTGGCCCACTCATATGCTTCGCTCTCGTCCTTCTCTAGAACATTCTCGACACCCACCATATACCAGGCGCACAAGGCCATTTGGGATTCTGCATGACCACGTTCCGCAGCGCCTGTGTAAAAATGGATACTTAGCGCTGCATCCTTGGGACATCCCAGTTGGCCAAATTCGTAGGCTTTACCAAGCCGGAAATTTGCTTCGACATGACCTAGATCCGCCGCTTTGGTATATAACTGGGCAGCATATGCTTCGTCGGCAAACACATCGGGCCCGTATCCTGTCTCATGGAGACAACCTAAATCGTATGGACCTTGATTGTATTGATGATCGGCCGATTCAGCGGCCCGTTTGAGCCACCGAACACCTTCTCGATAACGTTTGACCAGTCCCATATCGCCCATCAGACAGGCGCGTCCGAGTCGAAGCATAGCACCCGGGTGATTTTTGCTGGCGGCTTGTTGGTAAAATTGAACTGCCTTGGCTGCATCGATCCGGGTGCCCCAACCAAACTCGTAACACAAGGCAGTGCGGTACCCCGCTTCGGCATGGCCATGTTTGGAAGCAGCGAGGAACAGGGGGAAAGCTCGCTCCCAGTCTTCACGTCCTTTGTTGAATAAGCCAGAGGCGTAGCCATCGGCGAGGTAATACTGGGCAAAAGGATAGGAGCGATCGGACAATTTCTGCAGGATGTGCTTGGCCTCCTTCAGAAGATCTTCTCTTACAGAGGTATGAGACTTGTCAGACACAGCCGACACGGAAGCATGATCTGCCTCGAGACCATCTTCCTGGGCAGCACTGATCATGAAGACTGCAAACTCATACTGGACGGCCGGATCGTTTGTTTTCTTGACATTTTGACGATACATCTCAAGGGTTTTCCTCGTGGACAGGAGAGAGGCATTTGCTCCAATAACGGTACGCAGGCCGGAGTTGATGAGGTTCTCTGCCCCACTGGGTGCAGGCTGGGGGTAGGGGACGTTCAACAAGTCGACATATGACAAAGGCCTCGTATCAGGGGATCTGGAATGTCTGGATACCGGCCGGGCCGGCGAGAGTTGTGGAGAGTTGGTACGACCTCTGAAATCGGAGGCATTTGAGTAGGAGGAGATTGGTCTTTGCACGTTATAGCCATAGGTGGAGTTTCGAGCGCTGTTGCTGGGCCCTGAGCCATCAGTGGCCACGGTAAGCCTGGAGGCTCTTTTACTCAAGTCTTGCTCATCGAGTGCATGATGATGGTAGCGTAGAGGTTCGAAAGATTCGGAGGATTGCTCAGAATCCAGGACGGAGGTGGAAGCATGTCTCATGGACCGCTTCTGAAAGGGGGTCAAAATTTCACCGTCCTTAGGGGTGAGGTTCTCGGAAGCAATTCTTCGATGTTCGGGGGTAAGACCGGCGGAACCTTGACCCTCAACGGGCCTTCGCCTGACCATCACCTGGGGAGATGGTGATAGTCTATTGGGATCTTGACCAAGAGCAGGCTGGGGAGTCAAGGATCTGTTGGGAGCAATGGGATCCGAAGACCTAGACAAGGCGGCTTCGGGAGGAAGGATGTGACCATCTCCGTCTTGAGATGTGGAGAGGGACTTTGAATGATGGTGATCATAAGGAGAGTAGGCGGTATTGTCCCGGTCTTGCGAAGGCGGCTCTATTATACGAGGAGAGTCGGTTCGGAGTGGAGGGGAGTAGATTGCCGGGGGAGGAGTCGGGGGAAGTGGATGGCCGAGGAGTTGAGCCATGATCTGGTTATTGGGAGGGCATCTGAGATGGAGGATCGATTTAGGTGGTGAAAGAGGTGGGAGGAGAAGAGGGAGATTGTCTAAGGTAGACGGGACGTATTGATGGAAGGAATGCAGTGGCGCAGGCAGAGTGGGAGAACAATGTCGAATGGTTGATTGCAGTGTCGGATTGACAATTGGGAAGGGCAAGGCGAAAGCGAGTGACTATGGGCTGAAGAGACCGGAACAAGCAAGATGCAGAATCAGAACCAGAACCAGACGAGAAAGTGCTCAATGGTGCAATGCAGTGGTGGAAGTGGTATAGGCAAATATGTGGGAGTGGAGTGGAGGGGATGGGATGTATCATGCGCAAGTCCTAGTCAGGAGTAGCAGCCAGGGAGTTGAAGGGGTTGAAGAAAAGAATTCTACAGCGTTACGGCGTATTGCGTCGGTCGCCCCACCACTGACTTGACTTGTCGGAGGATTATGTATCGAGCGGATTCAAGCCATGGTGGCTATGGTGGCTTCTTGTTGTCTTTGTCTTGGTGGTCTTTGATCTCGGAATAGTATGTCTTTGTGATTGCTTTGGTCTGGACCTCGGATTTACTGGCAGGTCAAAGGCCCGATTTGACTTGACGCTGTCAGGGCATGTCAACGACCATCATGATGGAGTGTCCAAGTCGGTGTGAAGGATCGAAAGTCAGGAATCAAGAGGTATAATTACAGTTTTGAACGGCAACATCCCTGTGCATCTGGGTCTAACTCCTGGCTCAACCACGGATGCATGCGGGAACCAAAGGAAATAAAGGCATAAATCACGACTCACGAGTGACGGCTCAACACCACCCCGCAAAGTACGTCCGACTACTGGGACTTACTAGTGAATTCGCTAGAGATGGCTGTTTTCAGAAATGGGAATAGACCAGGAATCAATGTTACCAAGCCTTTAGCCTGTGAGAGGACCTGGGAGCCTGGGACACGCTGGGCAGAGGACCGAGTGCTGGGCAGGAATTATTATGACGCGGCAACAGAAGGAGCAGGAGAGACCAGTGTGCCCCGAACCGCTGCCAGAGCAACGTGTGTTTTTAAAATAACCCTGGGGGACGGTCCTGAGAGGCTGAGGGCTGCACGACATCCCAACCACCAGTTACACGGAGGCCCCTCGGCCCTGTTGTCTTTGCACGGGGCCCTTTAGCCAGTCATCCACGCCCATCAATCGTCCCTGATGTTCGTCTCTGCTCAGCCACAGCCGCGCCTAAACCAACACGCCATTTGGCAATACTCGTAACTGACACGATCGATTTACGAGTAGAGAACAACATTCATCATGTTCAAGTTGTTGAAACACTCCACACGGGCTACTCGCAATCAATTATTCACATTGACTGTATAGCCAGTAGTAGTGGCATCACCATTGCCTGGTAAACTCCCTAGTATTCGTGTTCATCACAAAGTTGCACAACCAGTCTTAATTCATATTCGCCTCCTTCGATCCACTCTAAACTTAGTAGACCCAACCCTGAAACCACTGACTCAATCCGGTCACTGGCAACCACAACTTGAACCTGTCGTTCAAGTTTGTCGTCGGTCGGATCACCACCAACTCGTACGCCTTCACTTTGTTTCCCCGTCCAATTCATTCCTTCCAGTTCAACACAGTCTTTGACTGTCCCTATACTGTACCATCACAGTCACTACTGTATCTACGCCCTGCCTCTTCACCCTCAACACTCGCTGAAGACGAATCACTCCATCACTCTTTCTTTCGCACTCTCTCACTCTCTCACGCCACTCGCTTTGTCCTCACCAATTCTTACCTCAGTCCTGATACAACCTACAGGACACTGCCCTTGATAGTTGAAAGTTGGATGCTGGTATGTCAAATCCCAAGCAATGTCATTGTTGATCCACTAACCAACATTCCTTCACCTTACAGCACCACCACCACCATGGCCGACCAACCACGTAGGCCCCGGCCTGCAACTTCGCCTACACGCGAAAAAGCCCATTCCCCATACCGAGACTCGCCTTCTCGAAGACTCAGGGACATTGAGACTGGTGCTCACCAACAACCTCGCAACTCTCCCTATTCTGCACAACGCCCGGCCTACGATCACAACCCCCCTTCTCCCAGTTCCAGAACTGGCGACTGGGAACCCATCATGTCCAATCCTGCCAATCAATCCGACTTGGGTCGAAAGAAGTCTCTCATCCGTCCGGAAAGGAACCGTATCGATCGCGATCATCCTAACTACCATTATCGCAAACATGCCCAGAATATGGAGGTTTTCCCCTCAACTACCGGCAATGATCCCGTTCTCGAAGATGTGACCGAAACCCGAACCATCAGTTCTGGCAGTATGGAGCATGGCGCCACCCCGAATAACCCACCTGTACCCAGCCATGGCCCACAGACAAACAAGGCTCGCGCTCCTGGAAAAATCGAACCCGTCGGCAAGAAAGGTCCTCCTCGCAAACTGGTAAGAAAAGAGACCCGAAACATGACGGAGGAGGAAAAGAGACAGCAAAAAGAGTTGGATAAAATCAAACCACCAAGTGCCTGGAACATCTACTGCGCCATCATCACCTTTTGGGTCCCTGACTTTGTCCTTCAATGTTTTGGTATGCCCGCCCGGGCACAGCGACGAGCTTGGAGAGAGAAAGTCGGCTTGATCAGTCTCATTATTGCCATCGCCGCTTTCGTCGGTTTCCTGACCTTCGGATTCACACAAGCCGTCTGTTCCGCTCCAGGTCTGAGATTGAAGATCAACCGTGTTGATTCAGGGTATATGATCTTCCATGGCGGTGCATACAACCTGGACGGCTCAATGCATCCTGCTGCTCTTGGTGTTCCACTCGATACCAATGTTCTCTATGATCTCCCACACAAATACGGCGGCCAAGATGGTAGTTTCATGTTTCAAAAAGTCAACGGCCAGTGCAAGGATCTCATCACACTGGCTGAGGGCTCCGATGTCCCAACAAACGCAAATGGTGAACTTGCCTGGTACTTCCCATGTGTCGCATTCAATCAAGATGGTTCTTCCCCCGTCAATACCACCGTACCTTACTATCTCGGCTACTCGTGTCATACCACCGAAAAGGCTCGTACCACTTTCTATCATTTGAGGAGAGCAGGTGATGTCTTCTTCACCTGGGATGACATCAAAAATCAATCTCGAAACCTCGTCGTCTATTCGGGCAACGTCATCGATTTAGATCTTCTTAATTGGTTCAACGCAAGTCAAGTTGTATGGCCGAAGCAGTTCGATGAACTCCGAGAGAACAAGGACATCCGTGGTATGGATATCACTCATGTTTTGCAGTCAGGGTATGACAAGAAAGTTGGCAAATGCCTGTCCCAAATCGCCAAAGTGGGAAGCATTGATACCGAATCAGTTGGGTGTATTGCGTCAAAGGTCGTTCTTTACGTCTCCCTCGTCTTTATTCTGGCAATTGTCTTGGCCAAATTCTTTTTGGCATTGGCTTTCCAGTGGTTTCTTTCTCGGAAATTCGCTGCTGCAAAATCCACCTCAAAGATCGACTCGAAACAACGAGCCAAGCAGATTGAAGATTGGAGCAATGACATCTACAAACCTGCCCCGAAAATCACCGATCCAGCAACTACAGTTTCTGGTTCGGACGGCCGAAGCAGCAAACGTGGAAGCATGTTGTTTCCCCAGACATCTCGATTTACCAGCCCTTATGCCGTCGACCGCGCTAACAAGACCAACCGCTATCCACCAACAACCATGACGAGCCAGTCTTCAAATGCCAAACTTGTTCAGCCGGGAAGTGGAGTTTACAAACATGGCCAGAATGCTAGTCAAGCCACCCTAGACATGCACAGAATGAGTGGTGGAGCTAGTCGCTCTAGCCTGTACCTTTCTGGCTATGACACTCGCCATTCTACTGTCATGGATGACGGCGGAGCAAATGGACCATTGGGTTTCATTCACGAGAACGTCGTTCCGCAACCTCCTCCCGAGTGGCAACCATTTGGTTATCCCTTGGCTCATACCATTTGTCTCGTCACCGCATATTCTGAAGGCGAAGCTGGCATTCGTACCACTCTGGACTCCATCGCGACAACTGACTATCCCAACAGCCACAAGGCCATTCTTGTCATCTGTGATGGTCTGATCAAAGGAAAGGGCGAAAATCTCACTACCCCTGATTTTGTTCTTGGTATGATGGGTGACTTTGTCGTTCTTCCCGAGGATGTTCAGGCTTTTTCCTACGTTGCCGTGTCCAGTGGTTCTAAACGTCACAATATGGCCAAGGTCTACGCTGGCTTTTACGATTACGGCCAAAACTCTCAGGTTGATCCCACAAAGCAGCAACGAGTACCTATGATGGTTGTGGTCAAATGTGGGACGCCCGATGAAGCCACTAAGAGTAAACCAGGAAACCGAGGCAAGCGTGACAGTCAAATTATCTTGATGTCCTTCCTGCAAAAAGTCATGTTTGACGAACGTATGACTGAACTCGAATTCGAAATGTTCAATGGACTCTGGAAAGTGACTGGCATGTCACCCGACTTTTACGAAACGGTTCTCATGGTCGACGCCGATACCAAGGTCTTTCCCGACAGTCTCACCCACATGATATCCGCAATGGTCAAGGATCCCGAAATCATGGGTCTATGTGGTGAAACAAAGATTGCCAACAAAAACCAATCTTGGGTCTCCCGGATCCAGGTTTTCGAATACTTCATCTCTCATCATCTTTCAAAGTCATTCGAATCAGTCTTTGGTGGTGTCACTTGCCTTCCAGGCTGCTTCTGCATGTACCGCATCAAGTCACCCAAAGGTGGCCAGAATTACTGGGTTCCAATCTTGGCCAATCCCGACATTGTCGAGCACTATTCCGAAAACGTGGTTGACACACTCCACAAGAAGAATCTGTTACTTCTTGGTGAGGACAGATATCTTTCTACATTGATGTTGAAGACTTTCCCCAAAAGAAAACAAGTTTTTGTCCCTCAAGCAGTTTGCAAAACCACGGTACCTGATGAGTTCAGCGTCCTGCTTTCTCAACGTCGTCGATGGATCAATTCTACCATTCATAATCTGATGGAATTGGTCTTGGTTCGAGATCTTTGTGGCACTTTCTGCTTCAGTATGCAATTTGTCGTCTTCATCGAACTTATTGGTACATTGGTGCTTCCGGCTGCCATCTCTTTCACAGTTTACCTCATCGTCATCTCGATTGTTAAGCGACCAGTGCCTGTTATCCCATTGATTTTGCTTGGTCTCATCCTGGGTCTTCCCGCTATCTTGATTGTTCTCACAGCGCACCGATGGTCTTATATCCTATGGATGTTGATTTATCTGTGTTCTTTGCCAATCTGGAATTTCGTCCTGCCGGTGTATGCATTCTGGAAATTCGATGATTTCAGTTGGGGTGATACTCGGAAGACAGCGGGCGAGAAAACAAAGAAAGCAGGTATCGAATATGAAGGAGAATTCGATAGCAGCAAAATCACCATGAAGAGATGGGGAGATTTTGAAAAGGAACGACGAGCCCAAGCCAGCGGCATTCCTTGGTCATCGCGGCCGCAAAGCGGGTATAACTCGACACAACAGTTTGAACCATATTCTGACTACTAAGCATTTCGAGCACATGGTTGAAATTGTTACGATTGATCTACGACCGGATTAAAAATAACGTAAGCGAGCATTTATCTTTGGTTCTTTGTGTGCCCAAGGCAGATTTCATCGGAGGACATCATCGATCCATCGCGGTAAAACATTTAGAAGTGCTAATTACCTTCGCTGAGGCTTTATTGAATCATCTCATCTGGATGCGAAGGCGAGGCTTCTCCAATGTATTGAGGTTTAAACTGTGTGTATCATTCACGAGACAGCTGCATCGAGCTCGGTGGATTTCTTTTGGGGCGCAAAATATGTTGGGGTGTCAATTGTGTCCAGCTATCCGGAATCTGGGCTTCCGAAAATTGCGACTTTGTCAAATCCTCGACTTCCGGTTTATATTGGTACCTGGCTTGTAAGCCAGCAACGGGTCTGGGTAGTGAGTATGTAGTGAGGCGGCCGTGCAAGGCTGTATAATGAATGGAATTGATGGATGCCGATATTCACAGTTTTTTTTCCGGAACCTCCCCGAGCCTCTGAAACGCGATTTCTTCATTCAGGAGCCAAGACGAGGAAGGAAAACGCAGTGATGTTTAGAGCAATTTCACCTAGAATGCTCTATACCCCCGCGACGTTCGTTGGAAAACACTTCCAGCAGAGGACGACGAAGACCACCGCAGACAACTCAAAGATCTGGAATTTTACGGATCGACGCGCCAGGGAGCGTCAGTTGCCAGGTACACACTCCTACCCGGCGATGCGTAGTATCAGGTCGTCGATGGCACCGAGTATATCAAATATAGGTGCGAGTTGACCACGGGAGTCGATCTTGTTGGACACGCATTGTTGTTCGGCTAGATCAGAGATGTGGCTCCGCTTCTCAACGGAAGTGAGGAATCTAGTCTGATCCATAGATACTGTAATTCCTGGAGATTTGGTTCCGGGAGAATACACCGAGGTCTCTTGGTCTTGTGTCAAGATCCGCCTGACTTATGAACGATCGGTACTTTGCCTGGCGGAGATATCTGCAGCTCTAATATCCCCGAGGAGACGATTCGTTCTGTCAACACTTATAAAAGGTTTACCATCGAACTGTTATGATCACATACGAACTCTCTCTACAGTCAGAGGGTATTTCTTCCCCAAATAGCAAAACACCAATCGACATGTCTGGTCCGGATCGTCCAAAAACCATGCTCGCATGGCGGAAAGAGTACAAGAGTAAAGAGCCGGTAAGTACACGAGGATGAGTTGCCCGACCCGGGTAAGCAGGGCGATGTCGTACCTTGATTTTCCAGTCCAGAACTGACATCACTCCTTGGTAGATGCGTGTTGAGGTACCAGTCCCTTCGGCCGCTGAAGATGAACTCCTCATAAAGGTGCACGCTGCTGGGGGTGAGTTTATCTTTGGACTCTTCTCTGATCACAGACGAGCAAAGGCTGCTATTTCCTCGCCTCTCCATGACAAGGACACTCACCATCTACACTTCAGTTTGCCACAGCGATATAGCCATCCTAGAATCTACAGAACCACCCCCTGGATTCCGACATCTGGATTCTTTTACTCTAGTAAATCTGACCATACTCTTTCCGACCATGCATCGACGTCCACTAAAGCGTACTGACAAACGCATGGTGAGCACTAGGGCCATGAGGGATGTGGTGAAGTGGTTTTCACCGGTGCGAAGGTGACCAACTTCACCATCGGCGACATGGTTTCGATCATGAGCTTCGCAGGATGTCTCGAACCCACCTGTGCGGAATGCTCTAGAGGGTTTACGCAACTATGTGCCGACGGTCATCACTATGGCCTTGACATCGACGGCTCCTTTGCTCCATATATTGCCATCAGGGCAGCTGCAGCCATCAAACTCCCGAAAGGGGTGAGCGCTGCAGCGGGCGCCGTTGCAACCGACGCAATCACCACTGCGTACCACGCCGTTGTCGAAAGAGCACAGGTGAAGTGCAGAGAGACGATCTTACTCTACGGTCTCGGCGGGTTGGGTTTCAATGCGCTACAGATCATCTTGAGCTTAGGCGCAAGAATCATCGCCGTCGACAAAAGACAGGCCGTCCTGGAAGAAGCGATCAAACTCGGGGTTCCACGTGAGGATGTCGTTCCACCTGATGCTAAGAGCGTCACAGATTGGATTCAAGAACGGCAGCTGGTCATAGACAAGGTGGTGGACTTCCTAGGCCTTCCAGAGACATTTGAGTCAGCTATCCAGACAGGTTAGATTGCTCAGCTTCCATTGCCCGCTGCCATGTTCGCATCACTGACGCGGAGCTCATCTTAGTACGTTACGGAGGAAGGGTGGTTCTCGTGGGCTTACTCGGAAAGACTCTGTCGTTTTATTCCCAGACCATAATCTTCAAACGCCTCGACATTCTCGGGAGTTATGGAGGAACAAGAGAAAACTTGGAGGCTTGTTTGGGGTTGATCGAGAAAGGTCTCATAACACCCCGTGTCACGACAGCCAGTCTTGCAGACTTCCCTCAGACTTTGAAAAATCTGCATGAAGGGAAGATCCAGAGCCGCATAGTTCTCGTCCCTGAAGGTATGGAACACCAGGTCGGGCTTTGACAAAGAAGGCGATGCAAATTGGGGGACAGTTTCCTTAACACTCGTCAAGTTTTGATAGCTCATTGCATGCTCAAAGTCTACATTAAAATACTGTTTCTCATCCTGCTCTCCCAAGAATGTCTAAGCGCATAACATTAATCTATTATGCAGCAACCCAGCGAGGTCCGCCGTGGCTAAGTGGCTCCGCTGATGCCCCCTCCCAAAGTGAATTAAAACTCTTTGGATCTCTGGCAAAAACCATTCTTGTGCTGCGGACTTAGTCCTGAGACATACTGTCGATTGTTGTGCAACATAGAAACCAGAACATGGGGCCCCCTAGTCACCCGCTAGCTAGAAGACGGGGATCAACAAGTCGGGGGCGGGCTGGCGGGTTCGTAGTACAGGCTGTTTTTGGAAGCATATTTCGGACTTTGTCGGAACCTTTTACATCCGGCTCTGGATCCGGGATCTAGAAGATCACCTGCCTTAGCCATGTATCGTAGATAGGTAGAGATTGATGTCGTGGTGGGGAAGAAATCCCGGTAGGGAGAGATTGATCCACCACTTGGATACTTCTGGATTGAGCTAGAGGATTTCAGCGATGTGTCATGGCACATCCAGCCTACCATCATAGCTGGACTAGATCTTGCATATTGCAGTACATGGCTCGGCCGGTACTCGGTGGTCCTGAGAGATCCGATATCAGGTTGAAACGGGCCAAGGCTACATATCAAAATGAGTAAACCTCTAGATTAAGTGGCGCCATATTATAAAGGCTGATTTATTCTCACACCTAGCCCCTAGGCCAAACTCGGGCAACGCAAATCTCGATCACATAGAGCGCGGGTGGCACGAGACTGAAAGAATAGATTTTGACCGCACAATTGCGGGCCCATAGTCATAATGCCTGGATTTCCGGCCTAAGGATACTTCACGGACCAATAGGCTGCCAGTGGCGGGTCACCCTCGCAATTGGTTTCTTGAATCACCCAAACCAGGAACCCAGGCTCATCGGAGAGCCTGTGCCGTGTGGTGACTGCCACAATAGACGGCTGGTACTACACCTCGGCCCTCTGATTTTTCTATGGATATCTCGTCCCCCCACACAATACCCCATGGGGAGAACCGGAATTATCTAGTTCCAGCCCCTCATGGCTGGTTTTCGGCGAGGGATGAGTCAAGAAGCTCTCAAATCCTCAGAAAAGTACAGCAGTCTGAGAAGTCAAATACTCACCAAGAGAAGACTATTTGAGACCTTTCTGACTCTGTCTTTTCTGCAAATCCTACTTTGCTTCTACTCAAATTTCTCGGTTTCAACATGGCAAGCGGAAAGACAAGGCAATGGAACGGGTGGAACTTCTTTGTTTGTTTTCTAGTCTCTCTAGGATCGATCGCATTTGGATATCCATCTTCGATCATCGGAGTGACTCTTGCTCAGCCGTCATTTCTCATATACATGGGCCTGGTTGATGCATCGTTTAAGCCCGTCTCTAACGCGGACAGTATCATTGGAGCAATGTCTGGTGTATGTTCGAACGCCACTTACTGCCGACCATCATTTCCACTGACACTCATTAGGTGTTTCAAGCTGGAGCTGTCATCAATGTGTTCGGTACGGCATGGCTGGCCGACAGGTATGGGAGGAAATCGGCACTGCATTGGTGTTCGTTTCTCTCCTTGATCGGCGGCGCGCTACTCTGTGCCTCAACAAGTTCTACCATGTTCATCGTGGCCCGTCTTTTTGCAGGAGCTGGCGCCTGGGGCACCTTGGCCGTTGGTAGGTCTCAGTCATCCTGTCAAGCTTCAGGGATTCTCCTCTAACGACTGCCAGTTCCAATCTATACGGCCGAGCTTGCCCCTCCGCGGCTGAGAGGTCTCATGGTGGGGCTAAACGGGGTGAACATCGCCATAGGTTATGCCCTGGCCACGTGGATGGGACTAGCATTTTACTACGTTGACAGTCCGGCGGCTCAGTGGCGTGCGCCATTGGGCATTTCTTTGGTCTGGCCTCTGGTCATGATTGGAGTTTGCTTCATTGTGCCAGAATCACCAAGATTTCTCCTTATGAAGGGAAGAGTCGAAGAGGCAAGGCATATCGTGCTTAAGCTTCACTCGATCAAGGGCGACACGCGGCAAGAATTCGCACGAAGCGAGTTTTACCAGATGGTCAAACAGGCCGAAGTGGATCGTCAGATAACTCCAGGTTGGGTAAGTCAACTCGTACCCTAGATCGTCCTTGCGGAGCCAGACACTGACATACCCAGGTTGAGCTCTTTCGGAACCCAAGTTATCGAAAGCGCGTCTTCATGGCGGCCGCTTATGCGTGCTTCGGTCAAGCGACGGGCATTTTGGTCCTGAATAACTATGGCGAGTTCGCAACTGGGACAAAATAGTTGCTCAAGTTGACGTTCAATTAGGTCCGACAATATACGCGGCGCTGGGCTACGGCACGGAAAAACAACTTATTTTACAGAGTGGATGGGTGGCCGTAGGTATCGTCGCCAACCTCCTAGGCGCAGTAATTATGGACCACGTCGGTCGAAAGCCCCTCTTGCTGTTGGGTCTCGGAGGCTGCTGTGTCTGCTTGATAATTGAAGCAGCCATGGTGAGCTCGTTTGCAGAAGCTGGAACCAACAAGGCTGGCTTGCAGATGGGCGTGGCTGCGACCTACCTGTTCTTGTTCATCTACAGCTTGGGTGTTGATGTAAGTCACCTTGCCTAGCCATCCCAACTATACAACACGTTATCAGCCTCTAAAAATTGCCACAGGTGGCTGGAATCGTCTTCTACAGCGAAATCTTTTCAAACCATCTTAGAGCTCGCGGTCTGGCCTTCACAATTGCCGCTCTTGGCCTTACAGATCTGCTTTTTCTCCAGGTCGCTGCCACTGTAAGCATATCTCTCGACATAATTTGATTGATCAATCCTTGCCATCGAAAGGATGCGGAAGAAGAAAAGAAGATCTCTACTGACGCAACTTTAACAGGCCTTTAGGCACATCGGGTGGAAGTTCTACTTGGTCTTTATCATCCTATCTGCGATAGGAACGGTGTGGGTTTGGGTTGCAATTCCCGAGACCAAAGGCGTTCCCCTCGAGGAGGTCGCCCGCATCTTCGGCGACAATGTTGCGGTCTACGAGGCCGATGTCCACGTTGATCATGAGGCCAACGAGCTTGTCGTTGACCAGCATGGAGCTAGCGATTCTGAACATATCACACGGGTCGCAACGGAGGCGGGCGTACCAGGATATCCAACGGGCTTCTTTGACGGTGAGAAGCGAGTCGGTGGCTCGGAGATGAGAAGCGAGCATTTGGACGACGTTCGGAAGTATTGAATACCTAGTGGATAAGAGGGAGTGAGAAGCACCGTGCTGAGTAATCTCGTTGATCTTATATCACGGATAGAGAACAGAACACCACTTCAAGAGCTTCCTCATACCATATCAGCATTGAGAGGAGACTCTTCCCGGAACCGGTACTTCAACTGCGTAGAGTTGGCTTTGGACTGGACTCTTCGAAATCTTAGTGAGTGGAGTTCGACTCCGCCTCTGTCAAGTAATCTTATAAATAGACTTTCAATATATACATAGCCTTAGCGCTTACTTTTACACGTTGCACAAAGTATTTAAACTATCTATTTTGCCGTTTACGAGGACGTTATATGTGTTGACGAAAGTGGAATCGTCCTTGCGCTTCAATTTCACCCTCCACTGCTCCCCTAGCCGCGTCCGCCTATAGCGCGGTTCTTCTCGTAGCATACGAATTCGAAATTATCGAGGGACTTGGTTGCCTTGCGTGCAAAGAGCAGACCCGCGGCACCCACGCCGACAAAGATGATCCTCAAGGGCTGCGATGAGTACTGAGAGATAAGCTGGGACATCACCGGCCGTGTAGGGTGTCTCGCTGACTAAAGACATAGTCGCATGGATGAAGGAACAGTGCGCCGACAAGTGATACAATAAGGTACCTACGCTGCCTTGGAAACTAGGAACTGGAGATACAAACCGCCAAACCCTTGTCAAGCAGAAGACCGTACTACAAGTACCCGTATCAAGACGAACGAAAGTCCAGGGCAGTGGTGGAGTTCAGTGGGGCCCTGTTCCTCCACTCGGAAAAGGGGCTACAGCCTCGGCTCAGGACCAAGGCCGGCTCCGGAATTATTTGGTTTGTTTTAGACGAACCCCACCACCGACTGGGCGTCAGGAACTCCGTATGATAGGGCCACTTTCGATAATCCGGATTCCCGCCGTACTCCAATGCCCAACGATCAGCCTGTGACCACTCGTGGCCCAACCGGCAAGACGAGGCTCCTTTGTTCGTTGGCCTCGGCACCGGAGATGCGACATGGAATTACGGTTGTGACTCTAGAGTTGAGTCTTGTCATTTGCTGCCGACCACGGCCTAATAACGTGATGAGCACCACTACAACGTATGCGGTATGCCCTCTCACAAAGGACATCTACTGAAGATTCAACTCATCAACAACACATTCGGAATCGCCCAACATGCCCACTATGACCGACAAAGAGACTGGGCTCCCAGTGGTTCCTCTGTGGATCAACGGAGAGCTTGTCACGTCTGCAGAGGCTGGGACTTTCCCCGTATTCTCGGCGGCGCAAAACAAGGATGTTTACCTGGCACAGAGTGCCGATGCAGGCCTGGCTGCGAAAGCTGCCGAGTCGGCTGAATCAGCCTTTCAACAATGGTCAAACACGCCTGCAGCGTCGAGACGCGACATAATCAATCGAATGAAGGACCTCCTCACGGAGAGGAAGCAAGAACTGATCGCAGTGCAGGCGGAGGAGACCAGTTGCTCTCTCTCTTGGGCCGAGTTTAACATCCCATATACGACGTCAACCTTGGCCGAAATTGCTGCCAGGGTCACCACGGCCTGTGCAGGCGAGCTGCCTGCAATTTCAACACAGGGAGTGATGGGTTTCGTGTTCAAGGAATCGATCGGTCCAGTCTTGTTGATCGCTCCGTATGTCGGCCAGTGCAACAGCTGCACAGAAAATAACATGCTAACATGGACATCAGATGGAATGCCGGTGTGGTTCTGGCCACCAAGAGTCTTGCATCGATTCTAGGGGCTGGCTGTAGTGTGGTGTTCAAAGCTTCCGAGCTTTGTCCAAGGACTCATCATCTATTAGTGGAGCTCTGGATAGAAGCTGGCGTTCCTCCAGGAGTAATCAACGTTGTCCAGTGCCGACGCGAAGACTCTCCGGCGCTGACGGAAGCCTTGATCTCACACAAAGCCATCAGGAAAGTCGAATTTATAGGTAGTGCTTCGGTGGGAAGAATCATCGCATCGCTGAGCGGCAAATATCTCAAACCGGTCTTGATGGAGCTGGGAGGGAAGTGCCCGTCGATCGTTCTCGATGACCTTAACGATGCGCAGCTCGAAGAAGCGGCAACCAAGACAATAAGATACGGTCAGTGTGAAGTCAACCCGGAGGGAGCCGATATCAGAATTGATACTGACCGAATATGCAGCTTTCATGAATCATGGCCAAGTGTGCTTCTCTTGTGAGCGCATCATCGTCCAGAGGAAAATCTCGGACAGATTCATCCAATTGCTGAAGCAGAAAGCGCTCGATTTCCCGCAGGCTCAAGGCGCCAACACGCGGATCGTGAGCAATGCGTATAATATGCTGGTGGACGCCGAGGCCAAAGGTGCCAGGTTCATTCTGGGCAAACCAGAGTATCTGAACGAAACCACTTTGGCGCCGACGCTCCTGACCGATGTGACCAAAGAGATGACCATCTATGACGAGGAATCTTTCGGTCCGTCTGCGACCATTAGAATCGTGGAAGATGATGACGAGGCCATCCGAGTTGCCAACGAGACGAGCTATGGCCTGGATGCCTTTGTTCACACGAGAGATCTGAAGCGTGCACTCAGCATGGCTCGTCGCCTCGAGGTTGGAAAACTGCGCGTCAACGGCACCACACATGAAGGCAAGTTCCAAGATTGCACCATATTCCTACACTGACTGACCAATCTCGATAGCCACGTTCCCCTTCACCGCTGTCAAGGGGAGCGGCTGGGGTGCCAACAATGCTGACGCTGGAATGGAGCAATTCTTGATTAGAAAGGGAGTCGTCATTGAAATCTAGTCCATGTTCATGGTTCGTGTCTTTCAGTTACTACTGTGGTTGGATAACAGGCGACCAGCATCTTTGAGAATTGAAACAGAAGAGTGTATACGACTCGAAGAAGACTTTGATGGAAGATGAAAGTCGATATAAATCTACTTCCAGATATCTAGTGAAAATGTGAACAAGGGCTGCCCATGTTAACGAGTTCGCTTATGCTTTCCCCATCATTTGCCTATCATATCTCGCTCAAGGCCGCAAGAGGACCCATATACCTCTCTCCGATAATCTGATTTCTGTCAAGTATTTCCTGCAGGCGCAACATTTCTGCCTCACTCAAGGTGATCTCTTGACAATTCTCGCGCACCCACTCGACCCTCTCGGCACCGGGAATGGGCGTGATGGAGCCCAGACCATTCTTCCCACTCAGACCCTTGATCCAGGCTATCGCTACCTGCGATGGCTTGCACCCCTTTTCTCGCGCCAACTTCTCCACTTGTTCCGAGAGCCTACGATTCGCTTGCAAAACATCGTCCTGAAATTTGGGAAATGCTCGCCGATGGGGGGCGAGATCCTCGTTTTTCGTAGGAAAGTCTCCTGTCAGGGCTCCGCGACTGAGCGGTGCGTATGCAACAATGGGGATGCCTAATTCTGCACATGTTTGAGCGATGCCGTTTCGTAGGATGTCCGTCGTCCAGAGCGACAGTTCGACCTCGACGACCGTGATTGGGTGAATTTGGTGTGCTCTTCGAATCGTCTCCGCTTTGACCTCGCTGAGGCCGATCCCGCCGATCTTCCCTTCCTGAACTAGCTGTCCTAGGACCGTGACCACATCTTCGATGGGGACATTGGTATCGACTCGAGCGCACGCGAAGATATCAACCTTCTTCGTGCCCGCAAGAACTCGGTTGCATTCATCAACGGACCTTCTCAGACCAGCTTCCGTGCCGTCGGGTATTTGTGTTCCGGGCTTCAAACCGCCTTTGATGCTTAGTAGGACCTTTGATGCATTTTCCGGGTATTTTGTGAAGTATTCAGCCACGAGGTGGAGTGAATTTCGCTCTGGAGTGCCGTAGAATTCTCCGCCATTCCAAAAATTGGCACCGCATGAGAGAGCAGTGTTCATCAGGTCGAAAGACTCGGCTTGCGAGGGGGGGTCGGCACGCCAAGTGAGTCCCATGAGTCCGTATCCGATAGGGCCGGCATCGCGTTGAAAATTGGTTGTCATGATCAAGGGCGTCGGCTTGTGAGCGTATGATGCCTCCTCGACCGTTCGTTGGTGTTGGTTTTGTCGTTGATGTGTAGTTCTAGATGGCATCAAACCGGTCGGAGGTGTTATAAGCCAACAGACCCAGTAAGCCTCCTCTGGCACCAGTCCTGAAGTATCAGGAACACGGAGTTATGGAGACTCTCAAGTCCAGGTGTAGACCAACCGCCGAGGGAGTTCCCTTGTCTAAATCGGTCCCAGAAACCCTGAGCTATCTCAGAAGAGTGGTGGAGTCTGGCTAGACCTCTAGCACACCGGAGACAAATACCTCCGCCGCAATACCGAGTGGTGCGAGGCAGCCGAGGGCGTAGCTGACCGTGGTTCAGTTCATAGACATTGGGCAAGCAATTTGACTCAGGAACTGGCTCGGACGCAGTACCGAACGGCATGCAGACAGTCGATGAGATGTCTACAAATGAGTACCATTGAAATTCAGCAATCTCAACTTAGTAAGGATATCTCATCTCGAGGCAAAGCGGTGTTCTTCGGCCTCACATCAAGCCAAAGGACTGACTTTTACCCCTAATAACTTTTCCGCGTTCTTGTAGGCAATACCCTCCAAGACTTCGTCCGTCACTAGTCCATCGTCTTTCAAATCTTTCAGAAATTGCAAGCCCCATTCATTACGTGTGAAAGGGTAGTCTACACTATAAAGAATCCTGTCAGGCTTGCACTGCCTCAAGACTGTAGCCATAGGTGCAATAGCAAACATTCCACTGGTTGTGATCCAGATGTTCTCGTCCCAGACCTGTCGCAGTTGCCGCTCTGGCTTGACTCCTACCATCGGCCATTGGTGGCTAGTGACACGGATAATGCGGTCGAGTTGAAAAGGGATCATCTCGCCCATATGACCGAGAATGATCTTGAGTCGGGGGAACTTGTCGAAGACTCCCGCGGCGAAAAGTCGAATGAAATGAAGTGCGTTTTCACTATGCCATCCCCAAGCGTACATACTGAGCGTCTGAGCGATAGCGTCTGGATAGTTACCGTCAAACATCAACGATTTGGTTTGATCGTTGTACGAGGGATGAAGATATATCGGAACATCAAGCTCCTGCGCGGCTTCAAAGACCGGCCAATAGTAAGGATCATCATAAAAACGACCGTTGCAATTGTTGTCAATTAAAGCCCCGAGGAACTTCAGCTCGTTGACACAGCGGCGGAGTTCCTTGTCAGCGGCTTCGGGTTGAACCATAGGCAAGGTCGCAAAACCGGCAAAAGACCCAGGCCGATCACGAACCGTCTGCGCCAGAGTGTTGTTGACCTTGATACAGGTGTCCAGGTCAAGTGCAAGCGAGTTGGGAGCATGCGATAGCACCTGCATTGATACTTGATTGTCCTTCATCGATTTCAGGCGTACATCCCCAACCTCGACCAGGTTTTCTCGGCATCTCTGCAAGAGGATAGTCTCCTTGTATGGGTCGAGGCGTGAATTGGCCGCGTAGAAGTCGATGACTGCATCCGCGAGAAAATGTTCTTCGAGCGTTATGGTCGGATAGGGGAAAGCCATTTGCACGGTAGATGTGGGCGACGCGAGTATTGCCAGTGCCAAACAGCACGAGCCTACCGAGGACAGATCAAGTAACTTCGGGAAGCAGAGAAGCAATCTTCACATTGACCATCTGCGCTGGCGAGTGTCGCCATGCAAATATGAGTCTCGCCCGTCTGCCATTTATTGCGGGGATTCCAAATTGCGCCGAAGTCTTAGACCGAGGCTGGAGCACACGGAATTATTCATTCCTGCTGAGAGGGGGGTCTAGGGCCTCGAGCAAGATGACGATTTGAAAAGGTGTCCATGCTGGCCGGGTCTGCAGATACTCAGAGTTCCCGGGGGTGACGAAGAGACAGTTAAGGATTTCGACGGCGTGTCGATGGAAAAGTGTCATGGGTGTCTTTAAATGAGACTTGGTATTTCTTGAGGGCGTCGTAGTAGGGAATTTTAAATGACACCGTTGTAACTGAGACACGTCAAATGCCTCGGTGTTGAACCTAGGACATCAAAAAGACTACCTAAGTACTTGAGAACCATACCTAGGTACCTAGGTACCTTGGTATTGCATTCATTACAAAACAATACGAATTACTTCGATCCTTGCTTCACCGCCTTTCCCTCATAAGCCCTCGGCTCTTGGATGTTGGCTAAACAGGTACGAGGTACTCTGGCAACACTTTCCTGCTATGATTGTTCTCGCCGCCGCGCATTCTCGGGACAATGAGGCTTAGATGCAAGCCAGCCGCGCCATAGGATCAGGCTGAGGTGCTATTCAACTCTTCAGACCGTATTGGCATTTGGTGCGCAGGTTTACGATTGAGACTTGTGTCAGCCACCCGGACGACAATACGTGGTAGGAGATCATATTCCTACCATCCTCCTTCACACGCGCTTTCGTTTCTTCCAAGCATCCCTAAATGGATGCCGACTTCCTGACGCGGAGGTAGTAATTTCATCCTACTGTCTGCAATAAGAGGCACTTTCTTGCCCACTCAGAAAGATGAAAGTGTCCTCTTGAGCGTCGCAAGGTGTGTACAACAATTCATGATCTGCGCTGGTCCCTGCCTACCTACCTACCTAAGGTAGCCATCATACATATACAACTGTCCTGATTTGGACTTCCCACACGATCCTTGCCAGGTATTGACCTGCACGGGTCCATGCTACCTAATCATGCGGCTCGATACTCGCACCAGGCCAGATTGGTTGGGCACTCGCCAAGTGTTTTTACTTAAACCTTTATAGGACTCCAGACATTCTAAGCGAATAGGATGAACGAATTGACGATTCTTTATGTTACGCACACCTCGAATCGAAGATGAAGGCTGGGTGGGATACGAGTCCTGTAGTTGCCAGAAGCCATACTTCTCAGCTTGTTGCATAAGGTATGGCACACATGCTACCAAGCATCACTAACATCCAAGAACCGTGATATCGCTGGCTCCAGTTGACTGCCCTTCTAACCCCATGCCGTTCGCTCAAAATGGCATCGACTTAAGGTGCAGCCTCCCGTTCGTTACGGATACAAATACCTGACTCCTGACTCTCAACATGGGCCGCTCCAGGGTCTTCGTCAGGAACATCATGCCACCATGTCTACCGAAGAATTTTCCAAGCGCTCTACACCTGTACTTGCCATGGTTGTTGTCCTGTCATTTACATTGTGGATATTCATTTCGCGCAACCATGAGTATTCTGGCTCGTTCCCATCAATGGTCGCAGACCATCGAGCAATTGTTGGTCTACTTGTTAATGTTGTCTCCTCCATTCTCTCTGCGCTTCAACTGTTTGTGATCTGCTCGATGATGAACTTCGCTTTCCGGACGAGACTATTTCGACAGCCCGCCGAGCTTTCTGATCTCAGCTTCTGGTCTGCAGTCTCCTCCGCCCGAGTGGAAGTAAGGCTACCGTGGCCCAAGGCTACATTCGTTTGCTTTGTCGCCCTTGTCGGCCCTATTTTGGCTGGCCTTTGGGCTGGCGCTCTTACTCCAGTGTTCACGACCAGCTCGTCCATCTCGCCCGGTCATGCTCTGATTCCGTTGTACCCTACCTCCGACTACTCAACCTTTGTGCTGAACGCTTCCGGCACTGTGTCCACCACGAATTGTCTATTTTCTTACCTCGATGGGTACAAGTCACGACGAATTACTTCCTGCCCGACTGTCAATCTGATGGCTGGGTTGCTCAATTCCGCAAGCACGGCATCCAACCTGACGGAACATCGAATTCATCCGAAGCTTAATAACGAGACCTGGAGTTTTCAAGATCGATCGTATGGGGTGGGCTCATCTATTGGCATTTACAATTCCACTAGGCAATGTGGACCAAACTGTGTTTCGATGTCATACGAAGAGACGGGATATAGTAGCTCGGTGACCTGCACCAAAAGGAATGACACCACCATTATATTCGACACGGTGATGAAGGACACTGCAGTCTTAGTGCTTCGGAGTGAGAGCATTATTCTGCCCGGTGGCGTCACAAGCCCAATTCCTGCATTCCACATTGCTCGAAATCTCGCCAGTGGAGCTGTTTTTGCGTGGTCAGCCAATTCATCGACAGATCTCGGCCACTATCTGGTGATTGAAGATGAAACCGGCGGATCGGATGCGAAGTTCTTCAATCACATGTTTTGTCAGCTGGCCTTCACTCCAACTTTGTTCAAAGTTACTGCATTCATGGAGACCAAATTGATCAAGGTAGAGCCGCTCACCACATCCAACGACCCGGTCCCCGTCTTTGACCCAACAGAAGGTGTTGCCAATCAAATCATGAAGGATCTAGATCTCCTATCCCGTGCTAGCGCAACCATGGTCGTGTCCTCGTTGACCAACGCCATCACAGCCAGCCTAAACATCGTCAATGCAACTCACATACCACGACTAGACATGAAGCGGGCAGCCGAAATCGCCATGGAGAACTCCTTGGTCGCACTCGTCGACGACCTCCTCCTCGCCCGCGGTGCTGCCCAAACGTCTTTCAGTGGCCAGCATCCCGAAAATCGAGGTGAGGCCGACGCCACAACGACCGTGACCGTAGTGAAACTTGGCTCGGCAGCCTTTGACATCATCCAGATGATCATCACATCACTAATAGCCGTCTTGTTCGTGGCGGAGGCATTCCGGACACGGTTCTGGGCCGCGCTGCCGAGATTTGACTTTGTGGACCTGCGTGCCGTGGTCGCTGCGTGCCTGTCCGGAATTGGCAATCCCGGTGGGCATCACGAGTATACTCCACTCAGCGCATCAATACAACGGGAGAAGAGAGCCTCTACAGTGATTGGACAATACGTGCAATCAGAGCCAACGCTGCGATGTGTTTCGACCACGGAGACAGGCAACATGCTTCGCCCCCGGGCACGACATGCCCAGCATGTTTCGAATGCCTTGCTTCAGTCTTCGCCATATCATGTCGAACCGGTGGATCTCCCACTCTTGACCGGGAGCTCGAACAATGTTAAGATGTTTTCGACGCCAGCCATCGCTACTTACGTTGAAAACAATGCTTATCGCGTTTCGTGACATATGGAAGTCAGCTTCCCCGTGATGGACGTGCTCAGATGACTTGCGGACTATTCCAGATCGGTTCATGACAGTCAGGTCACTTTATGCGAATTCTACTAAGGATTGCGAGATGGTCATGTCCACACTGGACCAATAACAATGTCTTCCCAGCTACGGATATCATGACTTGCATCTTTTCTTTTCAGTTCACCCTCGCAGCAGATGTGATCTGGTTACGCGGTGAGCTTCCGAATCATTGATCTGATAATTTTCTGTACGCAACTATGACCTTACGCACCTGGCCGTTCTTTGGGAATGTTTGCTGGCTTCATATGATAGTCTGTCGACACAGTCCAGAGCTGTCCTAAGAGTTGTACGGATGTGTGTTCGCCCGAGTCCTGATTTCATTGGCTTCTGGGAATGAACACTGACTCTCCTTCAAACCTTACTGGCGACCAGACAAACGAGAAAGGAGCGTCGTGGTGAAGACTTAATTTTGCGCTCCCATGACTACTTCTTTTCAATATTGCCTTTTCGGCAAGCCGTCATTATTCTGAAGTATGAAGCCACAAAAGCCATTTTCACCTGCTGTCCCGCAATGGCCCGGCTTTTACCGTGCTCTCTGTGCTTTCTCCTCAGCTGCTGGCCAGCTCAGCAAAATGCTTGTGTCTTATCTTGAGGCTACACGCCCGATTTGACCCGGTATTCAATTCAAGCCAGGGTGGTCTATCCACTGGTTGCAGTAGAGGGCGCTCTCGTACCTTAAAAAAGTATCTGCCCCGAGGTCCAGCTCAAGCTGGGTATGATCATCCGATCGTTTCCCAGTCAAAGTCAATCTCTCATCCGCAGGTTGAGGAGCCTTCGCGCCGAGTAGACCAGCTATCAAGTCGCGTTCGACTTCAGTAATCAGGAATGCATTGAGCAAGTGCTCGAACGTTTCTGATTGAGTTTGGTCCTCCAAAGGGGCCGGTGTTGGAGAGGAATTTGATGAGTCGCCCGAGTTCATCAGTAAAGAATCTGGCGAGGATCCGGAAGTCTCAGATGTCCAAAACAGTCTGCCGCCGTATTCAGGAGTCTCATAATCATGGTTTTGTTGCGGATTAATGTGTTGAAGAATATTCATGGGGGCCGAAGTCTTCTTGAAGTCCGAAGGGGTAGGGTTGCATGATACTTCGTTCATGTCTCGATCGGGTATGGTGGTTACGGAATCATGGGACAGTATACGGTCCACTTTTGAGCTTGGGGTGACCAGTCCTCGAGTGGAAAATCTCTTCCCTGGTAGCATAGCACACGGCTTCCCTGTTGGTGCGAAGAGTTGATGAATAGTGTGCTCCCAGCTGTCCTTCTGGTGAGCTCGCTGGCTTCTTGGAACTGTTCTCAGTATCGATTTATCGACGTGTTCTAAGTTTCTGTTTCTGCGAAAGGGCCTACGGCAAACCCTCTGTATGTTACCTGGCTTCACCTCATGAAATATGAAATGGGTTGAAGACATATTTGAAAACCTAGACATTGCGGGGAATATTGAAGCCACTCGTTCTTGAATGAGGTCGAAGGACACTTCATTGTGAGCTTCGTCAACCGATAAACAGAAAATCAGTGGTAGAAGTACTTGCAGCTCAGATGATGAAAGATGCGTAGGTAGTAAGCTCCATACACTCATTGATCTGCACGTTTCCATGGATAGTGGGCCATGGCCACTATCATGGACACGGATACCATGCAAGGCAAATTCACTGCGCTCAAGATGCCATCTGCCCACAGCGATTTGCTATTTCGACCAATCGGAGCTCTAAGATGAGCAGGTTCAAGCGACAACTTGTTGATACAGTACTGCTGTGTCGGTACCGAGCAGGCGAACCAAACTTGTGAGCTAGCAGACTGTTTACGAGCGCTCGCTTCAGGAGAAATTGAATTTTGCCGCACCTGGGAGAAAAACTCGAATGGGGTGCTTATAAATGCTCGGTACCGACCACCCAGTAGACTAAAACGTTGGTGCAAGTCAGTATTTGCGGTAGTCTGTCCGCATATCAGCTGTCGGAGACGAACGAAATGGTTGAGCCACTGGAGAAACTTTCATTCTCAAGCTTGCTCGCAGCAAACCTAAATCCTCCGCAGTCCGTGGCGGCGGGGGCGGCTTGCCCTTCGTGTTTCAGGTTACACATCTATACAATGCACTTGCATTCTATCTTGCCAGCCTTCACGACATCCTTTCGCCCGGTTGACCGAGAACATGCGATTTGTTTTTCTCGCGCGAATGGCCATGAAGATTTTCCCTTGTGGAAGGGGAGAACCAACCGTCTTATTCGAGTCCCGGCCCTAAATACACCTTCCATTTCCGGAAGATGTGCACATGATAGAGCCGATGATGGGAGCATGCGAAGGGGGAAGTGGACTCCACTGCATATACAAGGATCTTCTCCCTACAAGACTGATGTTGCGAAAATTCGTCAAGTATATCCATATGCTTGATATCGATCCCAGATTAATTTTTCTTAAGCCTGGGAGTCCGTTTGGACTTCTCAATGTGTTATGCTTACCACTCAGTATCGTCCTCGGCCCATGTTTAGCACTAGGGACTTATTGTTCTACTGTTCTTCTCCCTCCTCGGCCTTACCGATCATGCCGGACCAACAATATCACACAGCTATAATGGAGTCACATCCACCTGAGTACAAAGACGAGGTGCGAGTAATGTCTAGTAGATTTCAGCAAATCAACAGCGCTGTTCAATAGGTTTTAAACCCTGTGCTTGCATATTCCAAAGTCTGTATAGTGTCCTGTACAGCTGTGTATCGGTCTGTATTCATGTGCTTTCAGTAGTTTCACATGTTTCTGAATAAAGTCTACTTTTGATACCAATTCAGACGTCCTGCAGTGCTCTCACTCTATTCTGCACTGCCAATCTACTGCTCCAGATTCCTGGAGCCATTGTCTCAAAAGCATGTGGTACCCCAGGATATAGGTGAAACTCCACGCTCACGTCAACCTCAGTCAACCTCCTTGCGAATTCGATATCCTCGGCCTTGAATATATCCAACTCTCCTACATCGATGTATGTTCTTGGCAGATCTACAAGATCTGTCGCTCGTGCTGGAGCGGCGTAGTGTGATACATCTGCCTCAGGCTTCCCCGCCTTATCAGCCCCTAGCAGTGCTGTCCAACCCGTAATATTGCTCTCATTGTTCCAGAAAGCAAACGGCTCGATGGAAGGGATAGGACGACAATTGCGGTCGTCTAGCATTGGATATATGAGAATCTGCTTAGCGACCGCAGGTATCAGATGTCTGTCGCGAGCCATCAATGCCACACCGGCTGCAATACCACCACCAGCAGATTCGCCATATAGTATAAGGCGAGCAGGGTCGATATTGAGACGTTGGGAGTTTGATTGCACATACAGCAAGCCAGCATAGACATCTTCAGTTGGAGCTGGATGTGGGCTTTCAGGTGCCTTGCGGTAGTCTACGCTGAAAACAGGTAGACCATGCAGGGATGCGAATCTCGCGATGAATTTGGCAAAGATCTCAGGGGAGCCTGCAATCATACCGCCACCATGAGCATGGATGATGGCGCTAGTAGGATTGCCTCGAGATTGGGTAGACGAATACGTATGTAAGATGGACACCTCGGCGCTGTCGTATGACTTGAGAGTGAATCGTTCTTGGATGACACCGCTGGGGAACTGTATTTCTTCACTTATAGGACCGAAAATTGCATTCATGCTGCTGCGGCGCGTCTCAATGTCATGGACTTTGGCCACAGGAAGCGACTTCAGGATGGGAATGAGAGGCTCAGTAGCTAAAGCGTAGACTGGATCAATGGTGAGAGGCATGGTTGCGAGTGGGAGTTTCCCAGAGATCCTTAGGCATTGTATTCTGGGTTTAGAAATCTGATTGTGTGGGATCAGCCAGCTCGATTGTTACTCAAGGACTTGAGAGCACCGCTTGCATCTGACCATGCACAGGGATCACTTTGTGAGTCTACATCCAGACACGTCTCCATAGTCTCCGTCTATCTTGTATACCCCTCAGCCGAGAGACTTTCCCATAAATCTGTAATTTGTTCGACAGAACTTTGAAGATGTCCATCGTTGACAGGCGTCGGTACCGAGCTTAGTAATCTATTCAAACAATGGCCGGCTGGGGTCGGTCCTGCTCCTGACAGATCCACTAATTCAAGATTCCATCGGTAGCGCGTCATGCTGCAAAGGCGGGGGAGCTCCACAATGAGAGAGTTATACTTAGCTGATTCCTTATGCACACACCATGGGTCCTCTAAGTTATCGGGTAAGCCAGCCGACAATTCTAGTTTTATTTGCCGATCTGAATTAGCTGGCTGATCTATGCTCATGCATGTTACCGTTTCCTAGGATAAAAGGTTCACTCTTCTCCGATCGAGGTTGCTTTTTGACAGACTTGTTTTACGAGAGTGGCCCCAAACTCATGACGGCAAGACACAATACTCATGGTTCATAACGATATAACAGCCCTGCAAGGATTCGAACTGGTAGAGTGCAAAGGCTGTGCCAACGAGCGCCAATAAGTGGCTGCGATTATCCATCAAATCGCGCTCTCAGTGGTGCAAAGCGCCCATAACCAGGGGAAATGGGTTCGGAACGGTATCCAATTCGCCAGAATGGGATCTATCACAATTTGCCCCAGTTCGACCCAAAGATCAAGGATCTTACTGCAATTGTGACAGGTGCAAATGGAATCTCCGGCTTTCATACCTGTCGAGCTCTCTTGGAATCTCCAGACAGATGGGAGAAAATCTATGCCATGTCTCGTCGTCCACCACCAGATGCCATGATGGCGCTTCTGACACGCGAACAACGTCGCAAGATTGAGCATGTGTCCATCGATTTTCTCCAGAACCCTAAGGAAGTGGCAGAGGCCATGAAGAATGCTGGCGTAGAGCGGGTAGATTGTAAGTTAAACTGCTCATCGCATCGCCTTGACAATATTGAGCTTGAGACGATATCTTCATCTCACGGAGACCGCTTTTGACAGCGTGAAGATGGAGCTTTCATGTGATATGCACCGCTGACGAGAGAAACAGATGTCTTTTTCTACTCGTATTTACAACCTAGACCACCTCCAGGCTCACCTGCCTGGTCTAATGATGAGGAGCTCGTTGAGGTAAACTCTGCTCTTTTGAGAAACTTTCTCTCTGCATTGCCATTATGCTCTCTCCATCCGAGACGTATTCTTCTTCAGACTGGTGCCAAAAACTATGGTTCAATATATGGCCGGTCGCGGGAACCATGTATTGAGTCGGATCCACAGCCTTCTCACCTCGCCCCAAACTTTTACTACTCACAAGAAGCACTTCTCTTTCAATACTGCAAAGAGCATTCAGAGACTGGGTGGAATATAATAATGCCCTCATGGATCATTGGTGCCACGACAAACGCTCAGATGAACGCCTATTACGCTTTCTCGGTGTATGCTGCTGTGGCTGCAAAGCGAAGCTTGCCGCTTGTCTTCCCAGGTGATTGGACAACCTGGCAGGGTCTTGTTTTCCATTCCTCAGCCCGGTTGACCGGATACCTGAGCGAGTGGGCAGTGCTCGAAGATAAATGTGCCAACCAAAGATTCAATAGCACAGATACGGGCGCTGTGACGTGGGATCGATGGTTTGAGCGGTTTGCAGAGTGGTTTGGGATCACTGCGGGGGTGCAGCCGCCCTCAGGGAATTTAGAGAACCCGGTGGTGGTTACTGGTCTGCCCGGCGAGAAGTCGCCAATAGGGTACGGCCCACCAGTGGAGAATAAAAGCAGTTTCACATTCCAACAATGGGCCCTGGATCCGGAGAACCGGAAAGCTTGGAACGAGCTCATGGCAGAAAGTGATGGCTTGTTAACGCACGATCCTTTTGAAGATGGAAGCGAAACTTTTGTATTTGGTGATGCAGCGCTGCCAGTTTGGGGGAGACATCTATCGAGCAATAAGGCACGAAGGTTGGGCTGGACTGGGTTTGTCGACACAGTGGAGGGTGTATTTGAGATGTATTGGGTGGGCATTATGTTTCTTTCAAAACTGAGATATCTTGGTGCTAACTCCTACTAGGAAATGGGTGGCGACGGTAGAAAGGGCATGGGGATGGTATCAGCGATGAAGGTCAAGGAAGCGAGACCATTGGTATGAGGCCGGGAAAGGATAAGCCATGCTGACAGATAGGGCATGAAGTGAATAGAGTTGTGAGGGCTTCTAAGATGGTAAAGCCTAGAGGTCAGGAAATGGCTACATACTCTAAGCCGTAACCCATAGATGTTTATGCTCAAGCACATGTCAATCTTCGTTCAATACCAATGAAAAAGTTTGGAAAGTGAAATACCTGACTATGGATATAGAGTGGCGTAATTATAGTGAGGTTGAATCAAAGTAGATCATGGTTCAAACAGACTTGGAACGAATAAAAAAATTAGCAAGTCGTCCCAGAAAATGAGAGAGCACGGACCTACGAGTGGGGACTAACTTTCGACTCCATTAACTTTGCAATGCATAGTTCAAGGCCTCTTTGGGTTGGACACAAATAAGAGGTGCAAAATCTTGTGCGATGCTCACGTGAACCTTGTTAGTGACGTGTACCTTGTAAACGAATAGCTAAGTATTCATTGATCATGCATGGCTGTTCTACCGACGAGGCTGGATTTAAGATAGAGTGACATTGGAGGATAAACGTGGTAGTTTACCTCCATCAGTGATGTCCCTGTGCAAGGCCGGTTGCTGCTTCTTTAGCTACATAAACTTGAGAGCACCTTGGCTTTCCTGTCAACTCAAAGAAAGTATCAAGGCTGGATAGTGATCGGAAAAGCTTTTCGACATTGTGTTCATGATTGTTTCCACTTTGATACTCATAATTACATACAAGAACAAGAACACTGAACGGGGAGATGTGGATTTACAAAAGCCGGGACGAGGGAAGGAAATGGGCAAAGAAGTCTGACTAAGTGCTGAGGCAATTTTGTTGATTAAGAATCTAAGGGACGAGACGTCTTAGAGCTAGAGGCGGTGGCCACGGAGACCGCATCTAAGCTCTTAACCAGTCGAATAGAACCCCCCAGTAATATCGACATAGCATGGTGTCGCACTCCTGACTGCAGATATAGCCTTCCATAGACCGCTTTGACAGATCACACAGTTTCATCTTGGACAAGGTGCTCAACTCGCTCCGCAGCATTTTTTGAGTCGTCGATGTCGGTAGATTCTCCTGTTACCATGTGAAAGTCTCCCTGCTCGTCTCGCAGCACAGCCTGTTCAAATTCTTCTTTCTCTGCCTCAGTAGCACCGTACATATGAATTGCGACCTTTTCGCCGAATAACGCATTGATATCCTCCTGCTCGTGTTAGTGAAGATCTGACCGTCAGAGCATGGAGAAAAGAGATAACGGAACGAGATGTCACAAGTGTGTGTCACCTACCAAACTACGTCCTTTTGTTTCTGGACAGAAGAAATACACGAAAACCACGTTAAAGAGCGTTGGAACAGCCAGACAAAGGAAAAACTTCCACCCGAGAACGTTGAGTGCAGTAGGACCAGCACAGAGAGCGATTGTACTGCTGGCAAATAGAGCAAACATCGAAAGTCCCATGCCTGTACAACTCTTTCAGTAATAGTTCTTCTGAATAAGGACGATCGACATATGGTTCCTGTCATGACAAAAGCTTACCTTGACTGCGGATGTGAGTAGGGAAAATCTCGGAACTGGAATCGACCGTAAGCTTAAACGCCGTGAAGTATACACAAGGGAGAATCATACATGTAGACGAATTGGGTGGCATCCATGAAGGTACTCCAAAAGGGACAAATGAACTAAGCGGCAAAATTAGCTTATGGCAGTCGAAACAGATCCCATGATCAAGGCATTGCTTAACACTCACTAGGAATATGAAGAACACCCCAAACCCTAAAGCGACATGATTACTGGTACCAATGTACTTGGCTTGTATTGCAGCTTCACAGACCAGACAGATGAGGATGCCACTCAAGCCGATGAGCAAGAACCTCCTGCGACCAAATTTTTCGACGTAGAAAGCACAGAAGGTATTGCCCGGGAATGTCACCAGTACCCAAAGGGAGGTCAACAGCAATGGCATATATCCAGTCATGCCAAGTTGAGTATATAGAATGACTCCGTAGTTCGCGATGCTAACACGATAAGTTTAGGACAGCAGAGGTTAGGATAAGAGACTCACAGTCCACTGCCCGTCCAAACATTAAGAAACATTAAAGTGCAGCCCACAAAGAGCCGTCGTCGGTTAGGTGCTGTCTTGAATATCTCGAAGCTTGAGCTGGAAGCTATCATTTCACGGTCAAGCTCGACCTGCTTCTTGATCTGATAAAACTCCTGGCGAGCAAGAGTAGCATGGGTATCATCTTTGCTTTGGTGAAGACGTTTAATGACGTCGTGCGCTTCATCCACACGGCCTTGCATCATAAGCCAGCGTGGAGAGTAAGGCAGAAACTTTGAGCCCGCGAGCATGATCAATGCTGGTAGCATTTGGAAGGCAATTGGAAAGCGCCATGGAAAGCTCGAGGGTGAACCTGAGGTGGAGATGAACGACACTCCGAAGCCTAGGAACGCGGATAGTGTGTATCCTAGTGCGAACATGATGCCATGCATAGAGACCATGAAGCCACGGCATTCAGGGGTGGACACTTCCGCTAGATACATCGGGATGCAGGTGACTAGAAGACCGATCTGTTCCATTGTTAATCATCCCGAAGGTGACGCTATTGACACTGTTACTCACGCCAAATCCATTGATCTATCGTAACAGGTCATTAGCGATGGTGCACTTTCTGACCCACACAGACGCAACACAGGAGTGGCTTGACGGGGAAGAAGTAAGAATCTGGGCTGAAGCCCAACGAAAGTAGACTTACAAGACGTCCAACGAGGAACATAGCATTATCCACCGATCCACCACAGATAGCAGCACCGATTGACAGAATTATCGCACCGAGTTGGATGGTATGCTTGCGAGAGTATTTGTCGGCGAGATAGGAAACCGCACATGACCCAAACGCAGAACCGGCGCACGAAATCCCTGCGGACGGAAATATCAGCTCATCGCCATCAGGAGGATCTTGCGCATCTGAGAAGGTACCATTGAAGCCGCCAATGTATGCCGCAGTACGACTATACCCGGGTTCACCCTGAGGAGTGAGCTTCAGCGATTTATAAAAGCTGGGCTGTCCAATGGTTGAGCTATGTGTGCTTTAGTAACAGCTTTCTGTTGGGAAGCAAAGTGCGAGTACCCAATAATGGCCAGTCCGTATGCACATGAGCATGATCCTAGTGCCACAAATATGACAACTCCAAGAATGAATTTGTTGGGTATGAGCTTCCCCATGTCAAGGATAGGAGTGTTTGACTAGTTGTTGGCAGTTACACAAGGTGATTGGGGACGAAAGGTGGTAGTATCACCGGGGAAAACCACTAGATGGAGTTGCGGTTATCAACTTCTGATTAAGAGAATCAGCGAGATCTTTATAGTATTCTCTGAGGATGATGCAATTGATCTCTCTTCCATGGTTTTGTGAAATCCCCCTCGAGCCACAGTATACTTTACCACATGTGGAATTGGTGAATCTGCTCTTTCAGCGGCAGTCTTTGTTCTGAAGCGAGCTCCAGCAATTGCATCCCGTACTTCGAACGCGATTCGCATGAGGCGACGAGAAGCGCCCCCGCATTCTCGGCTCGTGGTAATTTGATAACTGGGGTTTCCCCCGGACGAGCAAGGGCTATTGTAAGCTAGTGACATCGCGCGTCAGGGAAGGCAATTCCATCGACTCCTCCGCTCGGTCCCGATAGCTGTCAATCTCACTTGCGGTCAGACTTAGGGGTCAGACGAGAGCAGGAAGACCAATCTCTATTTTCGACCTACCGAGCTCGGTAGCGAGCCAAGTGGGATTCTCATGTGCAAGTCAGCTCTAGACCTCAATTTCTCCTGGACACCCTTGACAGGGTCTGGACTCGGTTACACCTGTTTGAGCGATATGACTGGAAAGAGAGTCGGCTGGCGTCCTGCGCCGTCAGGTTACTGTCTTTTCTTGGTAAGCTCGCCATTGGCTTGAGGAGCCTGGCTTACGACTTGAGTGGTGCTACTGTTTCCGACTATGATTGAGTCTTTTCTGAGTATCCCCAAATCGTGAGAAGTTTGATCTATTATCATTGTGCAGGTGTTTTGAATACCTTCGATTGCAACCACTCTCCAATCAGATCGTTACATTGATTTGGTTTCTCCCATAGAGCCCAATGGCCAGCATTCACCATCCGAGTTGTTAATTTTGGAATAATTTGTACCATTTCCTCCGCCACTCCTGGTCTTAAGACCTCATCGTTAGTGGCAACGATAAAGAGAACTTCCTGCTCAAACTCGAGTTCTTGCATAACATCCTGACTCGACCTCCGGCCTTCCTCAAAAAAGTACTGCCACTCGTCCTCAAAATTGAGCTCGCGGCTACGGTACCAATTTAGAGGACCATTAATGCCATGACGAGCGTACTCGTCAACATAGTAGCTAAACTCATCAGCATCAAATACCTCATTTTCTCTAAGGCGTCTCTGTTTATCGAAGTCGACACGAGTGCAGACATTGAATGCCCTTTTCCCTTCTGGCGTAGTTGCGCCATGTATATTGTTGAAAAATTGGCGAATATCATGCTTGGAACGAATTTCGTGCTCTAACTCTCCAGAGCTAAACTGAATTTGATATTTATAGTTCGGTATGCGTTGAATTATCTGGTTCAAAGTATTATATTCAGGGGTTGGAGGAGTATAAGGCGTCCCAACTGCGAAAATCGCGGTGATCAGGCTTGGAAAGTAAAGAGCGATTCGATACACAATAGCACCACCCCAATCATGGCCACCAAGGATGATTTGATCTAGATTCTGCTGACGGCAGAGTTCCGCGATATCGTCACTTATGCGTTTGAAAGTGTAATCCTTGATTGTGAAACGAGGCGAGTCAGTCCTGCCATAGCCCATACAATCGATGGCGATGACGTCGAGTCCTAGGTCGCACAAGTAGGGGATTTGATTGCGCCAGCCAAGGGATAGGTCTGGAAAACCATGAATCAAGATGATAGTGCCCTTGTATGAGGTAGAAGGCGACGACTTGGCATAGAGATAGCCATATACATGCCCATTGAGATTTGCAGACTGTTGGGAGACGCGAGGATCATTATAGGGCTTGATCTTTCCTGAGAACATTGGACGTCCAGGAATAGATTCTCGTGCTTAGGGCTTGATGAAGTTTCGTGTCATGGACATTCCATCGTGACATACTATCGAGTCGGAATTTTGAAGAGAATGCGAGCATAATATGAGGCGCGCGCATGGTGGCATACTTTCTAGACGTGAGTCGGATCCTGATATTGCTATTGTGACCCGCAGACAACTCTCAGCCAAGAGATAATTTCAACGGAAATCCGTTCGGTACCGAGAGTCAAGCCAAATATCGCCACGAAAGTGCAGAAAGATGCTGACAAATTCCTCCATAGTTTAGTCCGACCTACGTCTGGTTGCATGGCCTGACTCGCTTTCTGTGGCTTCATCTTGAAACATTAAAATATTTGAGAAGTCACGTTCACGTTTAAAAGGGCCGGAAAGCGTACTCCAGCGTCGGCTATCAGCCTCTTCATCAAAGCTGGTGGTTTCACACTCGCACCTCAACATGCCCCCAAAGATCTTCATGTATGTGGCATTACGTCTGATCAACCCAACTATGCCGAACCCTAATTCCATTACAGAACCGGCATAACCGGATACATAGGCGGTTCTGTATTCCACGCTTTAAGTCGGCGCCACCCAGAGTACCAAATAACGGCATTCGTGCGGACAACACCTCGGAATTTTGCCAACCTTTACCCTGATGTTACCCTCATTCATGGAACGTGGGACGACCGTGAAGTCCTCACCGCTGCTGCAACGGAAGCAGATGTAGTAATCCAGTGCGGCAGCTCAGATCATCTGGGTGCAGTGGTGGCACTCCTTGATGGAGCATTAAGAAAGGATAAAGCCAAGACGACGTACTATATCCATCTTAGTGGAACTGCCGTGATATCGGACTATGGTGACGTTGATGGCGCCATTTATCGTGGAAGATCAAATCCAAAGGTATATGATGATCTAATCAATGTGGAGGAGGTGATCTCACGACCTGATGGCGTGCCGCACCGACATACGGATAAGATTATTCAGGAGTATGCTCAAAAGCATGGCGACGTGCTGAAGACAGCGATTGTGTGCCCCCCCGATCTTTATGGACGTGGCTATGGACCCGGGAAACAAGACAGTGTTTATTTTCCTGTGTTTGTGAACGAAGTCAAGAACCTAGGATACCCATTCTACTGTCATGAGGGGGGCAATACTAGAGGCTGGGCACATATCGATGATTTAAGCGAGCTTTACACGCGATTGATTGAGGCCGCAGTGAACAAGGAAGGCGAAGTCAGCTGGGGCAGGGAGGTAAACACCCTTGCCACGCAACAATTATTTTTCTACATCTGAAGTATTAATGAGATAATATGCAGGCATATTTCTTCGCAACCACACAAGAAGCGACGCAGAAAGATATAGCCACCGCTACAGGCAAAGTTTTGCACGCCAAAGGTGTCATCTCATCCCCAGAAGCCATATCCGTTTCTGAAGAGACTATAGCACCGATGTGGAAAGAGCTCGGCATCCCGAACGTTGCATTCTATCTCTTCGCGAACAACAGCCGCTCAAAGCCATTTCGGGCTGAGAAAGAGCTACGTTGGAAACCTAGGGCGCCGACTTTGTGGCAGGAGATTGAAAAGGAGGTTGAGGCGTGTATAAGCTAGGGAGCAAGGGGACTTCTACTTGCTGGCCGTACAGAAAGCATAGCCTCCTGCACAAGTATTGTAGAATGCCGAGGAGATGTATTGCCTCGCAGTCATGTTGAGACGATCACAGTGGGGTAAGACCTTGACTAAGGCGTCCCAATACTATAGTTGAATGAAGATGAAAGTACGGAATGTGGATCTTCAGCCTCGCTACTGTGAAAGTCTCAACTCATAGTTCTAGGTCTTCGGCCTGCTGCTGAGGTAATCAATGGCGGAGAGCCGAGTGTGAGGAGTATCAAGCTAATATTCATCTCCATTGGCAGCTTGGGCCGAGGGTGCTGGGGTGACCGAGGTCCTTGTCGTGGACACCCAGCCCATCTCAGGCGTCTCTTAGGTCCTCTTCTGTCCCAGATCTCGCTTCCGAGCACGGTATTATTATGTTCATTCGCTGGTGCGTGATTCGATAGCAATATGCTAAATAGTCGCAGCCCTTATGTTTCATGACTAACTCAAGTATCTCTGTCGAGCGAGGACCACGACGACGCCAGAATGTGGCCTGTTTGACATGCAAACGTAGGAAAGTACGATGTGACATTACTTCCACTAATGCCCCTTGTACGCCGTGCCGGCGAATTGGCTTAGGATGCAGTCCGATTGAGAAAGGTGCTGGGGCTCGTCGTCGCTTGCCGGCACCCAGGCAGGAAGCGGTGCTGAGCCCTTCATCCCAACGGGACAGCATGCGTGCCGGGTACATGCTGCCGGAAGAAGTCGCACAAACTCGAACTCCGACACCAGAGTACTCATCCAGACAAACGCTCGAAACCAGCACCAAACTCTTCACGTTTGTCGAGCATGGAATGGCCAACTCAGAATGGCAACATTTTTCGCATCCTACACGAGCAGCGTTCATCGGCACCTCCATCAGCAATATCGCCACACTAGTTCGCAACGAGTCACCATCCAACCTCATCAAGCATTTCCCCTTTCCTGCTCACAAAAAGCCACTGCCATGGAAGCCCAAGCCAGGCGTTCTCCCGTCCACCGTCAGCGACGACATTCTTCAAGACATGGGCTGCCTACCGACACGAGAAGTGCGTGACGCATTGGTTGATGCCTATTTTCAGCATATCCACCCGACCTTCCCAGTCATTGTGGAACAGAGGTTCCGGCTGGAGTACGCAGATCCACGACACCCTCCTCCACTGGTGTTGTTGCAGGCGGTTCTGCTGGTAGGCGCGCATGTCAGCGACCATCCATTGGTCAGAGTGGCCAGAAGCAGTGTAAAGAGTACTCTGTACCGTCGAACGAGGGAGCTGTTTCGCGTGAGGTATGAGAACGACAGGCTGTACCTTGTACAAGCTGCGCTCCTCATGACATGGTATGAGGAGAACGGAGACGACATCACCTGTAACCTCTGGGCATGGACAGGTGTGGCCACTCGGATTGCGTATGGTATGGGAGTTCATCGAGAATTACCTTTGCAGACATCACACCCGATGCCAATTGATTCCATTCGGAGGTATCACATCGTTTGGTGGGCGCTTTTCTACACCGAGACATTTGCTGCCTTGCACTTTGGCCGGCCATGCGCTATTAGAAGTGAGGATTGCGATGTACCAGATCTCGTCTCTGAAGACTACCTCGACTTGGACGAAAACATGGACAACACCATCCGGAGAGACTGTTTTGAGCTCAATGTCGCGCTGAGTCACATCGCACAAGATGCAATGCGATTGTTCGCACCGCGACCTTTGACACTACAGACCTGTCCGGCTGCTTCTCTCGGCTCGCGCTTGGCGGCTCTGGCAGTGAAGTTACCCGTCAGGGACGATCCTTTCTCGTGCCAGACCCGACTTAACTACCACCTTGTGCTTCTTCACAGCCACCGGATGAACCGACATGGCCACCTGCAGGACGAGATGCGAGACGAGGGCCACAGAGTTCGCTCCGAAGCAGCTTCAGCCATGCTATCCATCCTGGAGATCATGGTAGCCAGAGACCACATCCGGCAGTGCCATTTTACCTGCATCACAGCCTTGCTGGCTATTGTCGTTCAGTGCATGGAAGACATCAAGCTCGCCATCCAAACTAGCTCTGTGATTCTTGCCTCGGGCGCTCATGCAAAGCTCGGCAGGATTCTCAGTCCGGCCAAGGAAATTGCGACCTATTGGCCGATCAATGCGGAGTCGATATTGAAAATGTGCCAGCGGCAGCATGAGAAGTTTGGTGCCATCATCCAGAATTATGTCGAAGAGCCATCGCCCCGTCAACCAATGGGCCAGGGAGGTGTTGATGATGGATTCTGGACGGATTTGTTCTCGGCTTATGATGGGGTCGATTTCGGACAAGACCTGTCAGACTTTGGGTGGATGAATGTTTCGAGCACCGGTGAGCATATTATTCCAGGTTGTGAGGTATCGGCACAGGTCGAATAAGGCTGCCTCCCTCTAGCAAGTACTCTGCGGTGACCAAGTGTAGACTCTATGACAACTGTAACGAGTGCACGATCGACGGGCACACGATGGCAATATTAACGCAGTAGATTGTCCCGCGGATAGGAACTCGGGTCTAAATCTAAGTGACCACAGACTGGCTCATGTGATTTGGTGGTGAGTAATGCTTCACGTTCTGGAAATTCGCACAACCAGGCGCATGCACTTTTGCCTGGTCTCAAGTACGGAAAACATGATCTGTGATTGATTCCATTGCGATGAAATCCTATATCCTGTAGGGTTTGTTTGAGAACTTTTGCTCCCAGCCAACACGCTGGTCTCATTCACTTGCTGCCCCTTCGTGGATGGGTCAAATAAACTCCCGCAATATAGCGACTGCTCAAAAGAATGTCCCAATGTGAGAATATCGGTCTGAGGAGAGTAACTATTTTGATGGAATGCCCTCAGCCTGCTTGGCGACCTCCTCTGCAACCTTGGACTCCTCATCACCGAGTTCTTCACGACCCTCAGCGAAGACTTTGTCGAAGTCATACTCTCCCCATCTGATATCTGGGTTCAGACCGGCAAATTTCCATACACCGTCGACCTTCTTGTACCAATGCTGGTTGGAGGAGTGGGCGTGGCCTTTGACCAGGATTTTTGTTCTCGTGGCGTCGGTGTATTTCTGATGAGGCACACGGAGTTGATGGTATCCAATGATCTCGTCGTCTGAGACCTTCTCGTACTTGGAAGCACCGCAGAAATGTTGGGTCATGAGTCTTGGATCGCCGAGGACTTTGGGATCAGAGATCATCTTGATGAAGTCATCTGCTGGCATAGCCTCCCATAACTTGTTGAGGAAAGAGCGATAATCAATTCGGACGGTGGGCGCGACGATTTTTCGCAGGCGTTCCCAGTCCTGGAAGAGAGTTAAAGTTAGTCGTTGTCATTCCAACGTTGAGTATGAGAAGCGTACCTTTGAGTCGTAGCTCTCAGCCCACTCAAAGTAAGCATTGAGGACACCTTGATACTCTGTTTCAATTGCATGATGGTCAGTAAGTGGTCGGACAAGCAGAAACGTATGTCGATGGTCAGGACAGAGGGAGATGGCAATGCCGCCAGATGCACGTTTTTAACGTTCGATCGGGAAGTCAAGGCGCAGGCACAGGCACAGACCAGGCTTGGACAATTGCCTGTGTCATTCCCGCGAGTTTTGTTGATGGTAGAATAATGCGAGGGAGTTCTCACCTTCGAAAGTAATCAGTTTGCTGTTGGACGCCATGGCTGAGATATGAGAAGAAGAGGTAATTCAAGGGTGAAAGAAATCAAACTGAAAGATAAGTTTTGAGATCTCTAGAGAGGAAGGAGCGTTCTTTTCTACAGACGTACAAATAAGGGGAGGAAGGAGGGGACGTCAGGCAAGAAAGAGGGTCGCACGAGGACTCCGTAAGTTCGTGTGAATCTGGTGGAGGGGTTCCTCCTGTTTACTGCTACTCTACTCAACTAACTACTGGCATGGGGAATTTCTTGCACACCGCCTTCTTTCTTATAAGATGCTTGGAAGCACTGGGACACCAGATACGGCACTCCGTGCTCCGACTGTGGCTTGATTTGCAACTACCAAGTAACTAACCCGCCCGCTTGTGCATCTCTGCAATAGTCACGATCAATAAACCATAGCGGATTTGCTACTACGATAGTACCTCGCATGCCTGGTCAAACTATCTGCTCCGTTCAAAGCTAAGGGCTCGAGGCGGTCCCTGAACCCTCAACTTGTGCTACAAAGTGATTGTGCGCCGCGCGGGGTCCGATGGTCACCCAACTAGCCCTAATCTAGCCCTAACAAACAACTTGAATGGTGACGATGCCATTTTTGGAGTGTGGCAAGCCCGCCCAGGCTCTCAGCCTCCAGGGGGTGGGGTGGGGTCGGCAGAACATCAATGGCAAATACGAAGACATGCATACTCGGCCACTTGATAAGGATCGACTTTTTCATTCATATCGTGCTCAAATCACTACCTAGCTAGGTCTGTCTCACAATTGATATACGTATACGAGATCACTCACTTGGCTCACGCCAAACAAGCCACTCTCATCCCTGTTTCTCTTTGATGGACCCTCAGCAACTTCGCCGGCAAGGTCTTGTTGCTGAGTGCCATAGCAGGACGAGTAAATCCACAAGCAAGGCCAGTCTTACCATCTCGCTGTAATCCAACACATTGAAGATGTCCATTCTTGTCAGCACGGAGTCGAGCCAGACTCATGGCCACAAGACGGTAGTTGCCAAAGAACGCATGTGCTCGCACATCACCATCATCGGCAGACTGCGAGATGCCATGTCCGAGCGTCACGCAGACTTGCCCGCCAACCTCGATGGCATGAGCATCTGGAACTCTCGACGGAGCCAGCAGCACAGAATACACGCTGCCCTTAGATGGGACAGTGCGTTCTGCCACTTGTGCTGGGAACTTCCACTCTCCCTCATGCTTGATCGGATGCCAGGGAGTGACCAGGAGATTGCCGATCTGGCAGAGTCGCTGGTTATTCTCGCGAATGTTGGTCTTCAGGACCGCGAGGACCTGTCGTCCTCCAGTCGGCGTCCAAACGAGCATTCCGGGTACTAGTTTCTTGACCAGGACTTCGAACTTATCTGCCATGGTCACCTTGCAATTACCCTCGAAGCAAGGGTTGCTGGAAGAGTTGTATCTCCTCATGGAGATAATCGCGTGCTTGCCCTTTTTGTAGCTCACCCGACCATTTGTGTCGTAGGAGGCTACCATTGGTGGTGGCAGACTAGGCTTCGGTGCTGGAAGACTGTCGAACGCTGCGTCCAGCTCATCTCTGCACTGGATAAACAGCGGGCTATTTTTGCCGTACATCAGTGGGCCGGGATCTTTAAAGGTATTGCACATTTGTCGTTGATGCGCATGTAGCAGACTCGGTAAGTAGTGACATCCCCATTTGGTCCAGAATTGTTGTTGTCCAGTTGAAGTCAACGCCTTCGAGATCTGACCAGCAGGATCTTCTCCTGCGAGATCGGCAATCAGAGCTTCGACCCCCTCTCCCTTTGCTGGGCATGCGTTGATGCGAGCGACCAGCGTATCAAGACTCTTCTGAGCTTCTTGTACTTTGCCCGACCCAGTCACTGTACTGTGCTCCCCATTGCTCTTGAGCGGGAAAAGTGACGATAGGAATGCACAAATTTCGGCCCGATATCTCTGATACTCGATTTCCTCCTGGGGTAGAGCGACCGCCTCGGAGAAATGGACTTGTGCTTGGTAACCCTGAGAGATGCCGTTGGGGAGCCTATAGTTCAGTACGGCACTGACGACGGTGTCTTTGGTAGATTTGGGACATTCGACCCAAACGTCACGGGATTGACCGTATTGAATATTCCCCAATTTGAGGACAAGGCCACCATTGTTGCTGGCCTGGGTAGGTATACTGGCCGGCACAGTCATGGCCAGAGGCTTCGTTGATCTGCTGCCGAGCGTCTTCAACTCAACCGTGGTGGAGAGTCCAAAGGTGCTGAACAAGTTGGCAACAGCATGTACAAAGACCGTCCCGATCATGCCTGCATCAGGAATAAAGGCATAACTGCCATCGCCCACCTCTGCAATCGAAGACATGAGGTCCGAGCGAATGCTGTATCCAAAGCCGAAGGTATGGATCGTCGGATTACAAGCACCTTGCGAGTCATGTGCCGTCTTCTCAAGCATCGGTCTAAGAGTGTTGACATAGCCTTTCTGTGGACACATGTGGTTGGGCTGTCCATCTGTGAGCACGTAGAGTCCTTGAACGTTGTCGTTGGCTTTGGCGTTCTGGAAAAGGTGTAGTCCAGTCTTGATACCAGCCCATAGGTTGGTGCAGCCTTCGTCGCGGAGGGCCTCCACACGGGTCCAGGTTTCTTTCTTTGCGTCCGCGGTCATTGGGGTCAATTCTTGGATGATCTTCAAGAGCATTCGTTAGAGACAAGATCAAGAATATAGGAGTGTTCAGAGATCAAGGAAATGACTTACCGTGGCATCATTCGAAAAGGTCACAATTCCCAACCGATCTCCATCTTTCATAGTCTCGAGGATGGTCCTGGCGGCATGCTTGGTGAGATCGAGGATACTAAGACCTCCAGACTCCTTCTCGCTCTGGTCTGTCACGTCAGGCAAGGGAGCCGGTGAGGCCATACTGCCGGACACATCAATGACCAGCACGATATCACAGTGAGCTCGATTGAGTCCATTGGAAGGGAGTTGAGGTGGCTTGATCGACACCAGCAGGCCTTCTTCACTCCGCAGAGGAGTGAGCTTGACGCTGATACTGTCTGCCGGTAGTGACGATCGTTGTCGCAGTGGAAGGCCATTAGAATAATCAACCTGCTGCCAGTCATCGTTGAGCGTCACCTCGCTCACGCTGGGCGTGGCGATGGACGGGGCTGGGGTGTATCTTGACATGGTGGATGAGGTGCGACTCTTGGTCAAGAGAGATCTCAAATGCATTAGCAGAAATGGATGGGGGGTTTATGTCCTCACTATGATATGCAGGCAGCCCTTTGACATTTAAATAGGCAGACACGAGATGACTCCTGTTCCCGTCGGCCACACGAGATTTTCGTGTTTGCCTGAAGACTTACCGTGCACTTACTTCCTGACTGTCAAGACGCGGCTGTGTCGAGATTCAGTTTTGTTCAGCATATAAGCCGTGCCCATTCTCAAAGACCACATTTCCATCGCTTCGAGACCTGATATCAGTATATGCGGGGTTGTCGTTGTCAGTGAACGGGTGCCACATGCAGCCAATGGAGGCGCAGTCCAATTCTGAGTCACCTTTGGACTTTAGGCATCCTTTCAAAGCTCCACAAGACAGGAACACGATGTTTTCGGGCGCAACTCTAGTGTCTATGAGTTTGAGGTTTCTGGGCTTCGAGGTTTGAGCTGATGGTTCTAAGCCGGTCGAAATCCCAAAGAGGACACTCAGCAAAGCTCCATTGCACGCTAAGAGATTCTGCCTGGTGCGCCGGACGAGGCTGAGGCATGGCTAAATTTCGGGTGGAATCAAATTAAGCCAATCAAGCGGAGGAAGCCCATCCTCCAGGAAGGCAAAGTAAGATTTGAAAAGACGGATAATGCTGCGACAGATCATCGTAGCAGCTCGCATACATGAGTTGGATGTCTTCTTACCCAGGTCACCGCTCGAAACCTCACATCAACAGAACCTGGTCATGTCCCGTTGAGATCTCGCCCATAGCGGGACAAGAAGAGGGACACTGTCGCCGAAGCCCACTATTTGATGAAGCATGCTAGATTCATTCTTCCACGCTGCTGCTTGTAGTCGTGAGTCCATGACGGAAGAAATCACGCACATCTGGCATCAATGGGTAGCTCGTCAGCACACCGCTCCAGTTGACACTCATTATCACAGATGCTTTCACCAAGCTGGCCTCGAAGGGTTCTGTAAACTCCGGACTTTGACACTCCGATAGGTCAGGACCTGAAGCAGCACGAAAATTGATTCCAGATCACTCCCTGGTAGACATTCGTATTGATTTTTCAATTTCCCCTAACTGAAGGCCATGAAGCACTGGTACTTCCGTCAAGATTGCGGACGTAGACATAGTATGATGATCCATGCTTGATTTCATACTTGGCTTGTTTGTGGAGCTGCGCACGGGCGGAATGCTTCTTCACGAAATTGAGTAGTCGCAGGTGGATCGGACTCATCTGAGGCAAGGATTGCTGAAGCATGTCGATGTTTCTTGATCCGGCCGCCTGCAGACTTTCGAGAGAGGCCTGGTCAATAAAACCGACAGGTATAACGTGGGGGATGTGAGGGTGTTCGAAAACTGATCGAAAATCTATGTAGGCGAAAGGTGGGATTGTGAACGTACGGCCGGTTTCCAGATGGACTGCCAACGAGGGTTTGCGTGGGACTGGGCCGTCTGATGTCGGGGATTCTCCATACAAATGAACAGCCGCACAGCCATCGATGTCAAACTGAGCCTCAGCCTTTTTACTCCAGGAGTGGTCACGGTACCAGTTAACAAGTGGCACACAAGTACATGAGTATTTTCCCTGCCGGACGACTACCGATTTCACTGACCCCGTTGGGCTGGATTGAGCTTCCTTCACTGTAGTGAGGTCATGAGAATCTTCGCCATCGGGGAAGCATTTTTCGAAGATGCGGCCAATAGCGAAGAATTTCCGACGAGCCGCAGGTGTCCGAAGGACTAGAGATATTTGCCCGTCACGCTTCTCAGATACAACGCTGTTAAAGACGACATCCGGTATGGTTGTGAAATTTGAGGCTTGATCGACCACCGGGCAGAGAGACACCTCACCAGGCACAGGAACAGAATGATCCAAGGGCTGTTCTCTAGGACCAAGCTGTACGCCAAAATCAGAATTGAAGGCGCTTAGCGACAGACGTGGAGGGTCATCGCAGGAACGGTGTCCGTTCAGCCAGGCTCCAGTGGTGTGCAGAACGTCCGAAGAATCTGCGGTGTCGCTGGAAACAGGGCGCCATTCAGTACCCGAGATCATCTGCTCTTGCTGTTCTTGGAAAGCACTTGTCAACTCTCGAGGATTCCGTGTAGGATTCGGGGCACGGGCTGCGACTAATCTCGAAAAGTTTCTGATATTCAGCGTTTGTTCAACTTCCATTCGCCAAAGTGCATTTGTGGTCTGGTCGAGTTGATGCGAGAGCGAGTCAATCACGGCCCTATCACCATCGAGGATCTGAAGTCCTGTAGTGAAGTTCTGTAGTGCTATCTCGACAGAAAGCGTCTGTGTGGCGTTCGTAACTTCTGACAAGACAGCAGACTGGATGCTCTGTTCTACCGAGCCAAGGCTATGCTGCTGGGCTTGCACCTGTGTGTCTGCAGTCTTCGCAATACATTCTGTGATGGCCGTGAGTTCCGCCACGCTTCGTTGTTCGAGGAACTGCCTGGTCGTTGCATGTTCAACAGTAACGTGAGAACGGGTATCTGCATGCTCGGCAGCGATGGTGTTTCTTGTGATGATGGCCTCCTGAGAGACAAGTGCTCGTGAGCGGTCGAGTTCTTGTTGCATTAATGATTTGATATCGATGGAATGCTTCTCGGCAATGGCTTCCAAGTTATCGTGGTCATCTCGGATGGCGTTTAGCAGAGTCTGAGTCAAGATTTTCTGGGATGCATCGAATCTTGAAATGATTGAGTCTGTTCGACTCCCTGAAGATCGATTGTCGTACTGTTATGACAAATTTAAGTCTCTTGGCGCCTGAAATATATCATGACTTACAGTATCTCAACTTCCAACTCGAAGTTGTATTCGCTTCGCAATGACTCCAGCTGTCGGAGCCAATGCTCGATCTGGTTCTTCGAGCAAACACTTTTCAACTCCTTTCGAAGACTTTTCCACTTGCTCGGTGGGCCTTTAGATTTGACTTTGTCAAGGGCACCCAGTATGTCGTTGATTAATCGATCACACTCGGTCCGCAACTTTTGAGCGGCTGGGGATCGAATCGTAGGGTACGCCTGTATACGGGCGAGTGTGTCCTTGAGATGGGTGACTACTACTTCAATCGCCACGTTTTCTACCAGAGTTCCATCAACGCTGGTAGAGATCTCGTTGCCTTTCGACAGGATAACAACACCGAAATTGATGAACTGTAGTATGTTTGCAGCGAGTCCAAGAGCAGCAATTGCTTCCATTACTGAGGGATAGGGAAGCTCACAAGAATACAGGAGCGTGGTATTCGACCTCACTGGCCTTGACTAGGACATCGATCAAGCATATTGGGAGGGAGAAATGTGAAAGTCCACGGTAAGGCTGGGATGAATCTAAAGTTCGCTGCCCAACTGCCCAGCTGCCTTTCACGCTAACCAGGCTCCAGGCTGGAGGCTGTCTTTCAGCAAAATACTAGGCTCAAAGAGGGATAGCCCTGGTGGTACTTGTGGTCGGCACGAAGAGGAAGGCGGGGCAAGTCTGCCTCGTCGAGCCTGATGTTGCGATCCATGGATCATCTCAACGCGATAGCAATCAATAGGCACTATGAATGGCCCATGAAAGATGGATTACTCCCAGGTCTCACAATTTGCGTACGAGGCGACGACTCTGTCATATTGTGTTGTACTTTGAAGGCGGCTGGCATAAAGCCTGAAGAGTTCGACTGGACTGCGACACGGCCCGAACGTCAAGAGTATTCAGAATGGCTCTCCTCCCAATTTTTCCCTGGCTGAATGGGTGTGCAATAGAGGATTGTTTTATAGCATAAGCCAGGGAGCCATTTACTTGCACTTTCGTGTTGAAAGGCATTGATGGATGATTTTCCACAAGCTCCTTCTGCTGCCTATTGCCTGTGGGTGCCGAAAATGTAGATCACATGCTAGAGAGCGCATGTTTACCTGACAAACTTCTTATTGGATGTCGTTCATTTTGCTGTAACAAGGATCGAAGAAGACTGTCAGACTTCCATACGCGCCAATCGGAGTGTATGAAGCTTCATTGTGCTATCCGGTTCCAGATGAAGTTTCGCACGACCTCATTGGCTGTGAGTCCGTCATTTACTTCTCTTTACAACAGATGCTGGTGAACAATTTCGATCAACACGAACCATGTTATATAATCATGCATGTAGTTGCTCGTTTGATGCTGCTTTCAGGGTGCGATATGACGCCATCAGACTCTCTTTCTTGACGCTGGGCTCATGGCATTGTGACGATCCGAGCAATTCAGCATTGAGATTGAACAGTTATACCGGAGACTCGACTTCGCTTCGAGAACAGAACCTGTTCACGCTCCTTGATTCGCTCAACATTGGACTTGCAGAGTGAGGCAGCGCCTTTGGTCCAATATGAACCGACGATATCTCCACTTATTGGCATGCTGCTCTGGCCCAGTTTGACTTTGTAATCAAGGGATCAACACTTTAGAAAGTGCAAGTGTTTGTGAGTCCATGGGGATTGTAGTTCCCCTCCTTATCCACAAAAGGATAGATAGTTAGCCATCCCCGTGCCAACTTCCTCTCATTCCAAAGACCTTACGAAACGAATCAACTCCCTGTGTCAATTAATCAAGTCATCAAACATCTTCCACTAAACCATCAGTATGAGCCCACCACCGCCTTCAGATCAGACCATACTTCTATCAGGTATCTCGGGGTTCGTAGGAACATGGATTGCCCATACATTCTTGGAAGCTGGTTACAAGGTTCGCGGAACCGTGAGATCGGAGAAGAGCATTGAGGGAATCAAAAAGACACATGCAAAGTATGCTGATCAGCTGTCATTCGCCGTTGTTCCTGACATAACAACGTCGGGTGCTTTTGATGAAGCAGTAAAAGGTGTCACGGGCGTCATTCACACAGCCAACCCTTTTATCTTGAACCCGAAGGATAATGAAACTGAACTGTTGCAGCCATCCATCCAGGGTGTATTGAATGCCTTGAAAGCGGCAAAGACACAAGGATCCAAGATACGTCGTGTTGTGTTGACTGCTTCCTTTGCAGACATCCTGGACATATCCAAAGGGGACCGTCCTGGTTACACCTATTCAGAGAAAGACTGGAATCCGGCGACATATGAAGAAGCAAAGGCATCAGACAGTGGGGCTTTCTCTTACTGCGCGGCCAAAGGTCTGGCTGAACAAGCTGCATGGGAATGGATCGAGACCAACAAACCAGACTTCAGCTTTGTGGCACTCTGCCCGCCATGGATTTTTGGACCTACATTCGGTGGCATCAAATCTTTGGATCATCTCAATGAGTCGACCGAGGCAATTTGGAAACTTGTAGATGGATCAGCGAAGGAGGTGCCGCCAGTCGAATTTGGAGGGTTCTGTGACGTGAGAGTTGTTGCCGCAGCCCATCTGAGAGCTCTTGAACGTGAGGAAGCCGGCGGTCAGAGGATCATCCCTGGCTCCGACTTCAACTATCAGAACGCGGTCGATGCCATCCGACAAGATTTTCCCGAGCTCAAAGATCGCGTTCCGGAGGGAAAACCAGGGGCAGGCAAGAATTGGCCCATTTACCACATTGATCACAGCAAGGCGGAGAAGTTGCTGGGGCTGGAATTTACACCTCTTGCTGTGACATTGAAGGACACAGTTTCGGGATTAATCGAGGCCGAGAAAAAGGCCAATGCCTGATTGGGGAGTCTGTAGCTGGAGCGATATTCAACGTGCCATTGGACTCAGTAGCAAACCACGAAGTAGAGTAGCAGCGGAGAAGTAGTTGGCGACAACATCATCAGGAAAGAAACTTGCGTCTCAAAATGCTCTCTTTAATGTTCGAATAATAAACGTTGCTCTCTTCATCGACTTGGGCCCCTCGAGACAGCAAATTGTGCATCCGAAGGCTGAGAAGCGACGGAACGGTGGATCGTGCTGATTGGTGGTCATCGCATTCATGGCGTTCCTATCGCAAGCAAGCCACTCGCTTCAGCCAGGTGATAGTGGACGTCAGACATCCGCCCTGTTCGACATTTAGTGTTGACTTGAGTGCGTTTGAGGGCACCTGCATTCGCCTATCCTGGTGTGCGACGCCATCTGTCAAACGAACTCTGTCCTTGCGAGGACGAATAGCGTGAGTGGGCAAAATGACTGTCACTGCATCAATCGGTAAACTTTTGCCCAACATGGAGGGTTTCATATTCAACCTCGGAATGCTCCCGACACCACGGTAAACACGAGAACGGTGATGGTGCTTAATAGAGTCCCACCTGTACTGTACTTCAGACGATAGAATACTAAACAAAAAACAACGTCGGCATCTCAGACCGATCGGGAAGAATGTAGGAGATTTGAATTGGGGCAAGAGAAACGAATCGTACTCGTACAGCATCCGCGAGCCTAGCGAGCTGTGACGCTGCCACGTTCTGGGAAACCCTGCACGCCGAGCAAAGCCCTTGTGGGCGATTTCAGCCACGCCGCCCGTTTCTGTCCGTGTGCATCAAATAACTTTCAGATTTGACGGGCGCCAGACCACCCAAAGCTAGGATACCGTTGAAGCACGAGGGAAGAGGTATTCCGATGTCTCAGGGCTCGTGTTTGACGACGTCATCACTAAGGATATATTAGTCCAGAGAAATGAAATTCCCCACCTTAGAGGGAGAGTTTGATGTCTGTTGGTATTTGAGAGCCTGCGACAGTTAACCTGCCCTTTGGTTAACAGTGATACAGCCGGGAAAACAAATCAGAAGTAGCCTGATAATCACGACTTGGCTGGGTGCCAGGCGAATAGAAACAGCAACGATCGACAATCACGAAATGCGTTGTGCTAATAGCCTCACCTGGATGGTAAAGGCCAAACCACACATTCAATAGCTTGACGGTGGGACTAGTTGAACTGCACAGGGGATCGGGCAGTGCCTAAGGCTAGCTTGGGGGGGATGACAGGGCTCCCTGGGCCTCAAGTCAAGCGCCACTCAGGGGAAGGAAGCCGGATGATAGGCAAGACCTGCAGCTTCGGAGCCCCCTGTAAATAGTAAGCTACTCGTAACATTTTCCTCATATCATGGAGACAATGAGTTTCATAAGTGAAGATCATTACGAGTAAAAGGAATTATAACGACTTTTGTTGCAGCTCTTTCCACGAGGGAGCCACGAGCAAAAGATAGATGTGCACAAAGGGTTGAGCCGATCACCTGGAAAGCTCCGTCAGCATGTGCGTACGAGGAGAAGCTGAGACCTCAGCCAGAGAATCCACGAGCGTGACATTTACGGAGGTTCAAATTCTGGTTTGCACGTGGGATGCGGTGCAGCACCCCATGTTGTTAAGATTGTTTGGAGATTTGTCTCGGGGAAAGCTGAGAACCAGAAGCACGTCCCCTTCCACGTTCCGGGCTTCGAGGTCCCCCAGGTAGAGGACGAAGGAGGTCTCTACGGCCATCGAGATTCTTCTTTTGTCGCATCATTCCAGTTTCGAAGCGTGAGATACCTCATGTAGGTAGGTTTGGTGCCTCGGCGGGCTATTGAGTGCATTGTTCGTTCAAATCCACTGAAGGGCTTGCTATCAGCGGGGATCCTCGCTAGAGCACAACATACCTACTCGTACTACTCCGTACTCGTAGGCGTGCCTGGGGGTCTCGGGCCACTGGTATTGGCCGCCATCTAGGTACCTAGGCACTACGAGTAGGCACTGATGTAACTTGGAACCAAGTGCTTTGAATTTTTCCGTGTTTGACCACTTCCTTTCAACTACTTCGTACGGAGTAGCCAGAGTAGCAAACCCAGCTTCCCCGGAATCAACCACTACTGAAATGACTTGATCAAGTTAGACTGACCGAGTCGAGTTTGCTGAGTATCTCGTTTAGTGCGAGGGCTTCCCGCAAAGGGAGAGTCCAGAGTGATAAACAATTGACCCATGCAAGATCGCCAGCCTGGCTACGAATAAGATGGCACTTCATGGCGTGGACAGACGATAGCGCGAGCCTACACATTTCAAGTCAGCATCAGCTTTCCAAGAGGCGGCTGAAGTGTTCAAGTTCACGAAGAGCTGAAGCCCCATTCAACCCTGTACTTGGGTTGCTAGTTAGGTGGTTGTCCCTCTTTGTTCCCAGGTACGGAGTACCTACCTAGGTAGCCTCTAGTTACTAGGGTAGGTGCCCTTGGCCCTTGGAAACTCTCTGGACTCTAGACTCTGGATCTTCACTCCCCCCACCTACCTTGTATCCCAACATCAAGTTCTTTATTCTTCTCCCCATCGGCAACTCGAGCTGGTTGATCATTTCTATTCACAGTCAACTTGAACTCTTCTCTGCTACGTTGGACCAACTGCCCATGAAAGGTTCATATCAAGTCAATCTCTGGTGCCCCGTTCGGCGAGTACCACTACTCGTACGTTACCCTCCCCCCGCCACGCCCAATTCTCCTTGACTGAGGAGTTACTGGCAGTACTCGTCCACACTGGCAGGCCCAACATCCGGACTTGGTCCACCCACCAGAGAGCCTGTTGCCCACTACTGCCAGTGGCACTACGCATTACCTGTTCTGGGTGTCCACTGCCTATCACTCACTGGACCACCACTACTGGCATCCATCTGCACTCCCGACCCACTGCAGTAGTGTGCAGGCCACGTTTTCCTGGGCCTGCGCTCCTCATTTGCCTCCATCCCATTATCCGTACCCCTTCCCTTTCAGTTTCCTCTTTGCGATACTCGACCAGTCTCCATCACGCTCGCCCTCGCCAGACAACCAAGACCGCCACGGTTGGCTCCGTCTACCGTTGAATCACGACTATCTTGCTTCAATTCCCCGTCCTCTGCTCGACGCACCACACAACCTACACCACCAAAGGTACCTTCTCCGACATCTCCATCCCATTGACCGACGGCTTCTACTTCGTACGGGTCCCAGTGCTTCTTCTCAGACCTCACCACCGTCCTGTTTGCGCACTCTTCAATACTCATCACAACGCAGCTTTCCGCAGCTACATCAAATCATCTCACTTTGTTCTACCTCACTCACTTGTGTCACCGCTGACCCGTGAACCACTGCACAATATCCTTGATCGACAATTCGTTAACCTAGCAACTTTCCTTACCGTTCTCCAGCTCCACAGATCCCTTCTTGCCACGTTTTACACCTCTTTGACCGCATCTGTATTTCCCGCTTTGTTGGAGGAACATTTGGAAAGACAACCTCACTCTTCGCACCACCCCTTCTGATTCTGAGAGGCATCCTTCACAGTCTTGGGAATCGGCTCACCAGCATTTCAATCTGCCAGTCGCACCATTTACCACTGTCCACCACTCTTTACCTCGACGGGGAGAAACCTATTTATCGGCCCCTGCAATCACCTGCTCTGTGACCGAGGACGCTACTGTATATTACGTTCAAAACTTCGTTACAGTGGTCTTGCGCGAGTTCGTCCCAGCTCCACCGTCTGGAAACTCTTTGTACCACTCTTTGCTGCCGTGTCAGCTCTGTTCGATCACTTGCTCCCTGTGGTACCTTGAACGCCGCAGTGTCTGGGTTCCCATCAGCCAGTGATTTCTAAACTTGCGCTACTGCTCGACGAACAAGTCAGGCACACCAACTCTTGTTCCAAACCCTTATGCGCTGTTGCGACGACGCTGGTCGCTCCTGACTTAGCCTAGACAATCCAGCAACTCAGCACAGACATCTACATCATGGAGGCAACTACAAGTCATCGGCCTTGGGAATCTGTTCCTCAGCCCATCATCCCACAAACCACCCAAACTCTACCATCGATAGCGTCCTTGACCTCGAAATTACCCTCGCAGCCCCATGAGCGAGGCCACCTGGACCTCTCTATACATCCACCTCAAAGAGATTCTGGTAGCTGGATGACCCCTGGCACATGTAAGTTTGCTTCTCCTCCAATTCTCTTATGTTACTGACCACCCTCAAACCAGTATCGGGTTCTTCAATCAATTCTATGCCATATCTAAACTCGGCGCATTCCCCCAACGGAGTCGCTCTGTCTCCCTACACGCCCGACTACACTGCCGCTCCTCAAGCACCCTTCAATAGCAAAACCTCTCATCCTTCCAACGGGCTGCCAACCCCGACATCAGATTCTCATCCTAATAGAGGCAGTGGCGATTTCGACGATTCAAGGAGAAGCAGCGTCACCAACAGTATACATACGGGCATGAACAACCTAGGATTGGGTCCGGCGTCTCCATACACGAGCAACAACCAGTCACAATCTTCTCTTGTGTCCGGCTTGCAGAGAGAACGGGGGATTCAAACAAATGGATATTCAGGTGGCCGATACTCTACTATGAGCGCCGGTTCAATATCCTCCTTTGGGTCCAACCGTGGCGGTGCAGGCAGAGGCGGTTTTGCAGCAGGCCGTGTTGCTCCTCCAATTTTGGAAAATCCTGTAAAAGAAGTTTACAGTGCTGATGCACCTACACGCGGTCAAGCTTATGCATTCCCCGATCCCGACGCACCCCCACGTCCATCTGGACGACCTCCCTCCAACTTCTCGAGAAGAAACAGCTTTGCCGAGTCCTTTACCAGCAGCGTCCTGACTGTCGAGTCTTCCAGGCTACCCCTGGGTCAGCAAGGTAACTCACGTGCGATACTAGTACTTTGATTAGACTGACTTGGTTAGAACTCCCTGAAGCCCATCACCATACTTTACAACACAAGCAAGTCGACAGTCTTCGTGGAGATCCTGACTCCCCAAATAGCCAGACCCCTTACAGTCGTACACCAGAGTTGCGAGTTACTCACAAGCTTGCCGAGCGTAAGCGGCGGAGTGAGATGAAAGATTGCTTTGAACAGCTACGAACTCGGCTGCCACAGGCCCAAAACAACAAATCTAGCAAATGGGAAACTTTATCCCGAGGTGAGCAGGTGTAGTCCAACACGACTTGTCACTATGAATGCTAATATAACTTTAGCAATTGATTATATCACATCCCTAGAAAATCAGACCAAGCAACAAAGACACGACTATGAGAAACAGCGACACCAGCTTCAAGATTTGGAGAACAAAATGCATGAGATGAGCCAGCAGATGCAACGTTTACAGAATCAAGGTTCATTTCCACCACCACCGAGTGTCATCCCCCAGAGTCCTTTGGGATATGCCCACGGTCCTGGCCCGCACTTTAATAATGGCATAGATGGATCAAATGAGCTTCCACGCACCCTCCCACCGTTGATGAATGGCGCTATGCAAGGAATTCAGTATTCCGATGAAAGGCGGTAACACTATTTCCCTTTTCCTTACTGACACAATATGTTACCACCTATTTCGTATGTCCGGGGGAATGTGTTTGAAATGGATCTGCAGGAAGTCGTATTGGGCTTTCGTTCCATGATGTGCTTTATTATTAAATACCAGGAAAGTGGAGGACCACCAAGGGGTCGGGCGCAGAACGTGCAAGGTTGATCGACTTATGATACCACGGTCATGGAACATTCGTTGGGGTCTCGGATGGGGATGGTTCATTGATGATATCTAGTTCTGATCGATGACAGTGAGCGGAAACTTGGTTGCAGGGATTGTTATCAGTACTCTCACCTGAGTTGTGTTTGGAGTAACGCCGCTCAGAAGAGCATCATCGCTCATGAGCCTCGGAACATGTACATGCAAAAATGCGATAATTTACAGATCTTGCCGCAAAACACGGCCATTTAGTAGTCTTGATTTCCAAGTTCTTGCGTTGGGCCACATTCTTTGAGCTATATTCCGGCAACGTGGAAAAGAAGACAAGGTCTTCGGTCAGACACTTTCGGCTAGCAAGATACTCTGCTCGGTAGTCTGTCGCCTGATGAACAAGTCCTGGCAGCAGGAGAGGCGACAGCCTTGTGAAACAAAACGTGGCACGCTGTCAGATCGGAGCACGTGACGAACCATTGATTCGCTGGGGACGATCGTCCAAACTCCCATCCTCAGACACGACGCGCGCCTATTTTGATTCCTTTCTCAACCGTGAGCCACTCACGATGCGCACATGAGGCTCAGTGATTGTATTCTGAGATTCAATGTTGGCGCTGAATCGAAACATTATGGGTTTGCTATGTTTGGCACTGTTTTTCAGTGCCCTTGCCCACATTCCCACCACGACCATGTCGATCGAAACATGGACAGGCCTTCAGACCTGCTTCACTCCAGCATTGGCAACAAAACCATGACCTTGGTGGATCGATGGATGAATACTTACTGACTTTATTGCGAGGGACTTCTTTGACTGGCTCAGTATCGCTGATTAGCTGGACCTTGCGTCGAACATTGACAGACTTTATCAACCTCGTTGTCGCGCCTGTTACTCTGCCAGTTCATCTACCCGCAACACTGTCTCTGTCCTTTCCATCCACGTCGATTCTTTCATTTCCTTTGTTTTTCCTTTTCTCTTTTCTTCATCTCTGTCTCATACACTAATGTCTTGAGTTTTGGAGTTTGGTATTAATCAACAACACATGCACGGTGAAATCATCTTAGGACATTGCAGCAATATCAGTACTTTAGCTATTCAGCGCCCTGGGCCTTTGGTGTTTGGACACCATTCTTGTTCAGATGAGCCCGCACTGAAGGCGATCTTCGTTCCAATTTCCTGTTCTCGCCATTTTCCTCTCTTTTTCCCACCATCCCAGGACTGCATTTTGAGCAGAAATCGCTACAATGGTAATTAGCTTCGAGCCATCATCTCGTACCACAAAACCCTCCACCACTATGAACAGCATCGATTCCAGGACAGTCCCGACGTTTCCGTTATCTTCTCCACCAACAGAACAGTTGACATCTTTCAAGCCGAGTAATGCTCAGCCGGTTCATTCCTCGGGAAATCCTTTTCTTCACACCAATACTTTCGCTTCCAGTTCTTCCGATGACGACAGCGGATGTTCAAGTGGCCGTGATGAGTTCCAACTTGAAAGATATAGTCAATCGTCTACAACAACCCGTCCATCACAGCGAGCTCGCCGGAAACAATCCATACGGGACAAGTCACGGAAACGCCCAGGTCTTAATATAGTCACGAACTTCTCCAACTCGGCAAAGCGAACACATACTGACGGGCTCTTGATTGACCAAGTACAGGCCCAGAGACCCCGAATGAAACCAAGATATGCGACCTCGGTGGTATCGGCCAAGGCTGAACATGGACACCATCTGCCACACGACAATTCCAGGTCCTCTCGCCATCACGATGGTGCCAGTAGCAGCAACCAGGAATTACCCTTGGGAAAAACAGACAAGATGGAAAATTCAAAACGAGCTTTGGGTCGTGAGGCACTTTCGAGGCTGCAAGCGTTGCAGGCCGCCAGGAAGAAGACTCCTAGAGAGCCAGATCATGCACAACATGAAATTCTCAGGCCGAATGAAAGTCTAATCAACTCTCGACAGACTGGACAATTGCAACCCACCCAAGATGCTCATTCACCAGATAAGAGGTCGATTGTAATAGGTCTCTCAGTACCGGAAGCTGAAGCTGAAGCACACAAATTAAACAGTGGTGGAGACAGCGCCCTATCGATGTATACGCCTGATACACCTGCAATCATTGTTACTCCAGCGGAAGATGCCGACACGTGGGTGACAAAACCGACATCCTCTAAAAACAGACCGGTTTCTAGTGTCTACTCTACCACACCGTGGGGTGAGAATACAGCCTCCCATAACGACACGCCCCCAGTGCCGAAACTACCCTCAAGCCTCTCGCGGAAACAAGTGACCAATCATGGGAGTGGTCACTTGATTCTGACACATAGAAATCCCCAGGACCTTGAAAAGTACGGAAATCAGGTTTTCTATGATGAGCGAGACGTTAATGATGTTGAACATATGCGTCGAGCTTCTTCGGAAAGCAAAGAACATATCCTTGGCTCACGGAGTGAGAGCGCTAGGCACAAATCGCAAGGCTGGTGGAACTTGATGCTTTCACCAATGTTGTCAAGGAAAGGCACTCTTAAAAGCATTGCCACACTTGATCACGATCATGCAACACCTCCAATTCCTTCAATGCCAAGCTTCGTCCACTCACCCAAAGGCACCGTAATCTCACCTACTTCGTCTCAGTCGCCTGGAACTCCAAGGAGGCATGGGTTGGCTAGTGCAAGAGCGAGCGTTTGGTCGAGATGGACAACGTGGGAGAAGGCACGCGATGCAGACGCAGTTGCGAATGAAAAGCTGGAATCACCATCACGGTCTGCTTCATTCGAAAAGGAACAGGTTGGAGACGATTCAAAGGAGGTAACATCAGGATTTCTTCCATACTCGGGCAAAGGGCTTGCTGCAGACTACTATCATGCTTGTGCGGTCGAACAGGCCAAAGGTATTCGATACTTCGAATGCGAGAATCACTCGTGTGAGGAACAGCTCCCGAAGCTACATTCAATATTTGACTCTAGAGTACTTCTGGGTGCCACACTCAATGGTCACAATGAGGATCGATCTACTTCAGAAAACCAAGCAGACAGCAGTAACGACACCGCTATGGTCAAAAGAGCCTTGAGTAACATCACAATCGGGACAGAGCCTGAGGAACTTTCGCCCAACGTTCGTCAAGCAAACACAGCGGCCGTCGTCCAAGCAAAGTCGATTGATTCATTTGCAAAACACCATGATGGCCAGGAAATGGCAAATAGGGGTTTGGTAGAGGATGCAGCAAAGGTGACAAACACAGACACGGAAAACAAAACAGCACGCCTCGTCAGCAGTGCCTCACGTCGTGACGTTGACTTTCCCAACATCGCAACTATTGTTCCTGGAAGCAGCGTCTCACCCGCTGTTCCCTCTCCAGGTCCAGTGTCGCCGGGTATGCAGAAAACCATGGCGTCACAGGGAGCTGTTCCGATGGCAGATATAGTTGCACCTCCAGCTCAAACAATCCGTCCTCCAGAGCAAACACTGGCAATGACCGAACCGACAACTTGGGATCCAACGCAACCTCATTCTTTGACTATTCATAATCATACTACCTACACGGAACGTGCAGCGCCTGCACCTCTTCCTGTCGCTAGCCAAATGGAACGAAGAGAAGAGCCACCATCGCGACCAGTCCTGGTAATAGATACAGGTTCCCGGAATCCGTTACCAATATCAAATATCAAAGAAGAAGATTCAAACCCAGAGCCTCACGATGCCAAGTCCAAGAAGAAGAGCCTTCTTTCGAGGATCAACTGTTTTGGGAGGAAGAAGAAGCCCGCCGACACTAATGAGGCACCAAAATCGAAGCAGCGATACTGGAAATGGATCATCGGCATCGTCTTATTCTTGATTGTTGTTGCATGCGTTCTGACAGCGATGCTAGTCACGCGTGCTGGAGACGGTACACCTGTCCAGAGCCAATGGCTAAACCTTACAGGCTATCCACCAATGCCTACTGGTATCTCTACCATTGCACGACCAGATGTTAAACAGCAATCTCAATGCGTTGCGCCCGCCACGCTATGGAGTTGTGCACTCCCAAAGGAGAGCCATGGCGATGTCTTACCAAATTCCCCTGACCAGCCTAATTTCCGCTTTCAGATCACGTTTAAGAACGGCACTGTTCCTGTGAACATGACCATCCCTGTCGATGAGCTATCAAAGCGATCTCTCGACCTTGGCGCTCGAGGAGTGAGTGACCTGTTCTCAGATGATTTGTTCGAGCCCGACCCGGCACCCCCTAGCCGGGCTGACCAGCTCTTCATGGGCAACACGACCGACAACATTACGCAACCGTTTGATGGCGAGAAAACACCCTTCTTCATAACTTTCGTGCCCGCCTTTCCTATCGATCCGAATAATACGACGAATTCGGCCTCAGCCTCAGTTACGTCCAGTCTTGCAAGAAGACAAGAGAACAACTCAACCGATTCGATCCCGGCACCTGACGTCCTCAACGACGGGAGTGCCGCACCAGCCAACCTCCTCCCCATTGACCCTTATCCATCCTCTCAACCCATCAAACTATACAATCGCGGCCTACCCGATGAGCACTACGGGTTCTACATGTACTACGACAAGTCGATCTTCCTACGTTCGCGAGCACCATTCAATGGCTCTTCCACGGCGGCCGACAGTAACGGCATCGACCCCACGGACACGAACGGTGGGTCAACACGCAACGAAGCCCAATTCCGCTGCACATTCAGCCAGACGCGCTTTCTAGTACGCATGTGGACGAACCCGGCGTTTGGTGCGACTCTGCTGCCTCCCCTGACAGAAACCGACGGCAGCACAGGAACGGATCGTGAGAAAGTCAACTCCGCCACGGACTTTAGCCGGCCAGGCTCGTTTCCATACCCGACGACCATAACGCTCGACCGACATGGCGGGAATGTGAATAAGAAGACAGCATATTGCTATGGTGTCGACGAGTTGCAAGTCATTCAGGTAGATGTTAAGACATTGATCCCCGAGGCAAGAGGGGTTGGAGGAGTGTTGATCAATGCCGCGCCGAGGTTGGTTAATGGCACGGGTCTGGACACGGGGTTCGACCAGACGGCTGGTGGCATCGACGGTGGCACTGGCGGGTGTAATTGCATTTGGCAGAATTGGAACTGAAAACCCTACTACGCACGACGATTTTCTTTTATTGAGTGAGTAATGCTGCTACAGTGGGAACGGCGCAGAGCAATGATGGGCGATGAAATTGCATGTTACAATATTACTTGGTTGGATATTGGCGTTGGGGTGAGGTGTCAAGCATTGGGTACATTGCAATGAATGGAAGGAGCAACATAGAATGGGCCACCGCTCGCAACTGGACTGGCTCCGGGAGAAGAGTGACAAAAAGTATTATAGCATTTACTAGCATAGACTCCAACAAGTGAGCACTGGATGTAAGACCTCGTGTCACAATATCAAGAGTGTCATCCGCACAGTAACAGAAAGCACCCATCCAGCCTCGTCCCTAGTTAGTCTCCCAAGGTTGTCTCCCAAGGATTGTCTCCCGAGGGGAGAATACAACCCCATCAAGGAACCCACTGTCAAAGCAGGGCCAGTTCACGGAAGATCATTGCGGCATTTCGAACATTGTACCAAGGTGAATAGAACTCGAACTCCCCATAGTTCTCACCGGATCTGCGGCAGAGTTCGAGGTAGTAGTGGGCACCGAAATATGACCGTGATGATGATATGACGTCAGCATCACATCACACACCCGGGGAAGAGGCTGAAGACGATGCTGCTTTAAACGAATCCAGTCACGTGATCTCCCAGCAGCCAAATTTGTCATGCTGCCTGAGTTTTGCCTGTTGGAGTGGCCAGGCTGATTCCTTCCCCGGACCCAGCTAAGCTTTCACCAATCCATTTCAGGTCTAGCGTCAAGCGCGGTCCATCTGATGACTACAAACAACGCAATTCCACCACTCACCCAATTTCTCTTTCGTAAAACCTGTCTGAATTGCGACTTCTCCTTCAAAGATGGCCTGCTTTGTTCGTCCTCTTTCAGTTACACAAGACTCGTGCCCTGGAACCTCGCCTGTGGAGTTGAATCTCGTCTGCCGCTTTTACTCCCTTATTTTCTACCATAATATCTCCTCACAGCGGAGATGCTTCAATCCTCGACATTCTCATTACGCATTCATCTGCCATGTAGAGCTGGCCTTGCGTGTCCCCTCAAATCCCTCTGTCTCATTCCCCTGGTACCGTGTCGACCTGTAAGTTATTTCATGAGCTCCGTCGGCGCTCAGGGGCCCTGCTGCTGTCATTTTTCCTTCCTAATCAATCCCTATTTTCCGTTCTCTCGCCGCTCAGAATTGTCAGCCTTCATGGTCAATCTATTCTGCCGCCCGTTCCGCGTAGTTGAGAAGTTTACTATGTCAAATCTTCGACGACGTGTATAACAAAGAACATTGTACGGCTATTTTTCTTCTTCTCCCTCCGAGTCATCGAAATCTTTTTTTAGTCCTGCAAGCAGCAACCATGTCACAGCCACAGATCAAACTCGAGGCCATGCCTAAGCCTCAGCCTCGTGAGCCCGTCAAGCCCAAACCGCCATTCGACATCGACAACTACCTCAACCCTTATATTCCCAGATCACCATTATACCTCCTTCCAACGTCAGTCTCATACTTTTTCGGTCACAGGCTACCAAGGACATCCTCACGGCGTCCTCCAGTCGTACACCGCTATCACAACACCATAGTCTACTTGTCCATATTCATTGGTACATTTTGTGGCCTTGCAATTATTGAAAATACTTTTCTCGCCCTCCCACCTCTTTCCGGCCATGCCGTACCAATAATCATTGCTTCTTTTGGTGCCGCTGCCATTCTGGAATACAACACCATAGAATCCCCACTCGCCCAGCCTCGAAATCTCGTCTTCGGACACTTTTTCTCCGCCGTGATTGCCGTCGCGATCACTAAATTATTCGAACACCTTCCACAGGAACGATTTGAGGAGCTACGATGGCTAGTGGGCGCCATCTGCGTGGCAGTTGCCAGTATTGTCATGAGTTTGACTAAAACAGTCCATCCTCCTGCCGGCGCCACTGCTTTATTGGCATCGACGAGCGTTGAGATCCAGATCCTTGGCTGGTGGCTGTTACCTCTCGTACTACTGGCGGCAATGCTCATGATGACAAGTGCGATGCTTCTCAACAACCTCGCCGGTAGGCGTTATCCGGTCTACTGGTGGACGCCTGTAGACTTAAAAGCGCTGAAGGAAGAGCGACGTAAAGAAAAAGGGGACAAGAAGCAAGAACTAGACGTCGAGAAAGCATCCAATCCATCAGCCACGACGGCGACCCCGGAATCAATCAAGGAAGAGAACATATCCGACGAAGAGACGGAAACCGGTTCGAACGTGGGAGATCTCCGCAAGTCGGCGTCCATAGATCCCGACCGCATTGGCCGAACGGTATCATACAGTTCAGCCTCAAGGACACCTCATCCCAACCGATCACAGTCCAGAAGGACCTCGAAACCGGAACACGATCGACCCACCAAAGATAGCCTCAAGGAAGACAATGAAGAAGATGAGAAAGGCGACAGAATCGTCATCACGAGAAATCAAATCGTCGTGCCTGAGTGGCTCCAGCTGAATGATTGGGAAGACGAAGTTCTCAGGATCCTCATGGAGAGGCTGAGAGACTCCGATGCATGAAGGCTCAGAAATATTGCCTTTTTCTAGCGTCTGCCACGTCGGGCGTGTTTCTCCGTATTTGCATTGCAGGGGCGCTCTGGGGTCATTCGCCACAATTCTTCTAGTGGTCTCGTCGTCGGTCTCCCACTTTTGACAGAAGGAATACCATGTTGCATTTACAAAGCGAGCGAGTACGATTACGATGCAAAGAACTTTTATTAGACGCGATATGCAGGATACATACATGGCATGATGCGAATACATACATTCATGACCCACAAATTGACATTTTGAACGCCCTTGGATTCATCCAGTTTTCCTAAAGGGAATTATTCTAGGTTGAAACCGAGAACCCTGTGCGATGCACATGGCAGCCCCCCGTACGCTTACAAAATTGAATATGGAGATGAAAAGCCGATTCACAACATAAGGCGAGTTGGTCATATATATGATCGATTCGCCAAAGCAACGTCATTCTGCGCGTTCTGCTACTTTACCCATGGGTTGAACCATCGTATTTTGATCTACATCATTCATAGCACGATACTAATGATTTCCGGGCTTGCTCCTCGTCCTTCCACGACCACCGACTAAAGTCTAAGCTTGCTGCTGGTTTTCGCTCTCCAAGCGGTCCTTGGCGCCAAAAAGATCCTTGGCGACCATAGCCCGACAAATGGGATGATAGAAGTCCTTGTTCTTCTCGAACGTCTCGACGGCCAAGTCAATGTCCATCTTGATGAGGCCGCGGAACAGCGGACGGACGAACTTCATGCGTCCGACCTGGCCCAGCAAGATCGTCACGAAGTTCTTGATGCTGAAGTCGCCGCTCGCCATCGCGATCTGGTAGTACCGGCTGCTGACCTCGACGTTGCGCGTTTCCTTCAGATTATAGATGTAGCCCATATAGTTCACGTGCGGCATGGGTAGCGTCTCTTTGAATTGTAGAATGCGCTCGAGGAACACGACTACTTGGTTCGCCGACCAGCCTTCGATGTCCTGTGAAGCCGGTCGGAATCCTTGGGCCGGGTCCGTGATGAATTTCTCCCATTGGTCGGCGAGTTTATTGGCTGCGTCGGCGAGTGTGGTGTCGAAGTCTGGCTTTTGTGGGTAACCTGGCTTGTAGAACCACGTGTCCCAGTCGATTTCTGCCAGCTTGGCCGAGACAGCCTTGTCATCAGCGAAGAAATCCAATAGCGTCGCTTTGAAGTCGTAGCTGTCGAGTGATTTTCCACGCCACTTCTCGAAATAGTGAGGGACAAATTTGTCGAATTCTTTCTGCGTGATGAGCTTCTCGATGTAGTACAAAAAGTTGAAGCCTTTCTCGTACGGGATGCTCGAGAAGGCATCGTCAGGATCCTTGCCCTTGAGATCGATGACCAGTTTTGTAAACTCGTGTTCAGTTCCAAATTGCTCAATGCTGTCGCTCATGGCCTTCCAACCAATGATGGCAGAGAAATCTCGCCATTGATTGCCTCCATGAACTTTGGCCTGAATGCGGCGTTCCAAGTACGTCGTCCAACCTTCATTAAGCCAGAAATGCTCCCATGATGCGTTGGAAACAAGATTTCCAGACCATGAGTGGCTAAGCTCATGTGCAATCACGTCGACGTTCTGTCGATCACCTGAGACGACAGTTGGGGTCGCAAATGTGTAGACGGGATTCTCCATTCCGCCATAGGGGAAGGATGGTGGGAGTACCAGTACATTGTACTCGCCCCACGCGTAAGGATAAACCAAAGATTCGGCAGCTTGCAAAAACTTTTCCGTATCTTCCTCAAACTCCCACTTACAGTCCTTCAACTCATCTGGGCCAGTTGCCACGAAGCTCCGGGGACCGATTTGAGCAGTCGCAATATCGCCAGCAGCCAGGGCAAATAGATAGGCTGGAATGGGAACTTTCTGATGAAATTTGAAGACTTGGGACGATCCGTTCGTCGACGGTGATGTTGGGTTGTCTTTGGCAGCAATACCAGAGGCAACAACTGGAAGAGGTGAGGTGATATGAAAATCAAAGGTTGCTTTCACGTCTGGAGTATCCTGGCAAGGGAAGACCGAGCGAGCGTGAATGGCCTGACATTGAGAAAACATGTAAGGATGCTTCTTGTTCGAGGTCTGTTCCGGTGTCAACCATTGAAGAGCTGTACAAGCCGGTGTGGTTTCGACATGAATTTGAACATCTATTGTTTTCTCCAAGGATGGCTTGTGGTCGAGTTTGATCTTCAATGCGCTGCCGTAAGGCTCAAAGCGTTGAAGCAATTCCCATTTCGCAGGTTTGCCCTCTACTTTGACGTCGTGAATGAGCAAGTGGCTGGTGTCCAAAATAACTTCGTCACTCTGACCATCGGTGATTGCTTTCAGGGTATGAACGACGTTCCCTGTCAATTTCTTCTGATCGAAGAGGATATCCAGAGTCGTAGCTGTGTGCAATGTACGCCAATTGTTGTAGTTCGCCAGAGTGTTGGGATCACGGGGAGAATTGATGATGGTATTAGTAGTTGCCATTTTTCGAAGTTGCACGGACAAGCACTGCTGTAAAAGCTTGGGTTTTGAAGCTATCAGAGAGACTTGATATGGGAGTCCACTCGAAGCCGAAGTCAGACCTTTCCACAAAGTCGCTTTGAGCATGAGTTTCCCTCACCTGTGACTCTGAACTGAACCTCTTTCGGCTTGGTGGAGTTTGAGATCGTGGTTACCAAGATCGGGAAGCTTGGTCAGGCTGTAGCTATCATTAATACGTGTCGATGACAAATAGTAACGCTTCTAAGCTGAGTTCTCAGCCTGCTACGACGACTACAATCACCGCTGAGAGCCACCCTTTGAAGGAAGGAGGTGCGCGGTAGTCGTATCTCAGTTGGTTGAAATGTCTTGGCGTTCGGGTCAATGTTTCTCCACCACCCGTAAGAAAACAACATCATTTTCGATTTCTTAAAGATCTCACAGCATGATACACGCGATAGTCGCCTTCAGATGTTGGATGGTCGACGGTCACCAGCCGAGCTATAGACTAGCAATTGCGACACATTTTCGAGTCGTGTATAATTTCTTGGCTATGACCCTGGAAAGCTTCTGAGAAAGATGGACCCTCATGAAGTCGACTTCCGAGTCAAGGATGTTTCAGTAGGCATGTGAGATCATCTGCCAGCATCAAAACAAGGAAGTGGTGCTCGGTTATCAGTTCGAATGTGCTCGATTGAGCAGTAAAGATTTCTTGTAAATACACCTACTTCTTGCAGGGATCTCGTCCTGGCAGAGTACCTTCAGCACATCCAATGACCATGGAAATCAGTGAGTTATTGAGGTTGACCAACCGGTCTTCGATCATATCGCACATTGAAAACAAATCTTCCTCAATGTTCGACTCTTTACCCGCGGATTGGGTTGTTTGATGCCAGAACTACCCATGTATCAGAATGATTAGTGAGAAAACTGACCTTGTGCATGTGTTCGCGCCTTATTTAACTATGGGTCCGTGTTTACGTTTGTCCTACCCGCAGAAACGGATACTTAAAAAGTACCCAAAAAACAACGCAAGTATCAAAGGACAAAAACACACCACAGTTGGAAGTGAAAAGCCATTTTCAAGACTTGATACTGACGAAGAGTTATACTCCGGGACTTTTCTTGATTCTCAAACGATTCCTGGCAAAGGATGGAGCGGCCCATTAACCATGAACTTTAGTGCGCTGACCGCCAAGCTATCTGCACCAGATCAAGAAGCGGATGTCTCCTTTCGCGGTCGAGGAAATTGTTAAGAGAAATTTCGGATTCCAAATATAGGTGCGTTTGACCGTGAGTATGCGACTTAGGGGCGGATGGCACCTACTCGCTTAGCATAAAGGGCGCCTATAGAGGACTGCACTGAGACTGCACAGCTTATCGACTACGACATGGTACTGGTTATTCGACGTCCCCTAAAAGTTCAACTTCAATGTGAGTATGAGATCGTGGCCAGAACGCTGATTAACTTTTGCAATGATGGAGAAATCAGAAGATAAATAACGGTAATCAAGCACTCTTTCGAGCTTCATAAGCCGCGATATTTCATTTTGAAACAAGCATCATATCAATTTTTCAGTGAGGGTCATCAGACAACACTTACGACGGGCGAGCACCTCAAAGATAACCATGCTTATGGAAATAACTCTCGAATTTTGAGGATCGATCAAAGAGTGGTCGACAATGAACGAGCAATGCGATATTCAACACCTTTTATGTAGTCCATATCTCAAATCTACGGTTCCTCGTGCTACTATCATTATGCTCATCGTGTCTCTACTGAAGATCAGTTCCACGTGAAACGAGAAAAGGATTTCACAATGCAGCGCCTATCCTAGACCCACGTCCAGCTGTCGCAAGGTTGCGAGCGCTAGCAGATATGACCCACCCGCTAGAGGATCTAATTACTAAGTAATAGAAAACTTCGGCGAATGCTTGGTATTGCCCAAGGAGCCTCGCACTTAGGCTTCCCCATCCTGGCATGGCAAAGAGCCAGCCACGATGGGATTATTCAAAAATGACCCATCGCCACTACTAGTACGGTACCCGTGGGCGGTGGATTGGGAGTCATTCTGAGTCCTCATAACTAATACATCACTAGAACAGCGACACTTTTTTTCCTCTGACTCATAGATTGATCTCTATCGGCTCCTCGTGTGACTTGACAGTTATCATTTCAAGCGAGCCGTATGCTGTTTGTAAATATGTTAAGTAATGAGGATTAACAGCACGCCTTGCAAGCTGAAGATTCGCCCAGAAATTAACATTGGGGGAGAACGAAATGCATCCACTTTTGTGGACCACAAGCATGGTTTGCCTAATATGGAGGAAGGATCAGTCACTCTATCTACTCAGCGGTGGTAAGTTTCGAATTTTTGGTACTGTAAGGTCGCTTGGGCCCAACCCCGAGTACTTCCAATGATGAATTTGAGTGATAGAAAAGTGCCAATGGTGATCCACAACGCACATTGCTGTGCTGTCCTGCTGCTCTTTTTCATTTTCATCCAAGACATCATCCATCCTTTCCCAAATCTCCTTGCTACCATTAGCGACGACCTGGATGTGATTGAGAAAGTAGCCGACGTGATGGGCGAAAGAATGGACAATGGTGTGCGCGCAAAATGCCAAATATTCAAGCCGCGCCACCTTCCAATCATATCACGAGGAAAATCAGACATCAGTCGATAGAGGAATAAAAGATGGTAGATAACTCGAGGGAACGGGCGTATAATACACTGGTGCAGGGCTGATTGCTGTGACAAGGCACTTGCCTTTGGCACAGGAAATCGAGAAACACATTTGGTTCAGCTTGCCTTTTTGATCATGATCCTTCGTGATAGTTACAGTTTTAAGGTACCTACCATGCATGTTCTTTTTTTCTCGAAATCTTTCATCGCCACGACGAGAGAGTTGTCTGTGGTGGTACGTTCGTCCTGTATATGACATGGGAGTGGCGTGCAAGCCACTTCAACCAAAGAAACAGAGGATTCCTCCATCGAGCGTGGTAGAAGCCAAGAGTCATTGATTGTATGAAGCAGGAGCACGCCTGGTATAAAGCGGGCTCCCCTACCTATCTTCCATGCAAATCTCGAGCCGACCAATCTCTGGTTGTCTCAATAAACCTACTCGCCGTTTTGTGCCGCCAATTGTGCAATGCCGTCATGCAATGGCAATCATGAAAACCCCACGAAGGAGCGCACGACATATGTGCGGAAGGCTGAAGATCAGAATTAGAGGAAGCAGTATGTGGCCACTCATTCCAGCTTCAAACTTGGTGAGAGGACAATGGCTCAGGACGGCACCCTCAGTGCCATTGCCATTTTCATTGGGAATCAGGGGAACAGAGGCTTGAGTCAGGTGGAAGTGATGATCGTCTAGCTATTGTTTGCGTGCACATGATGTATATACGAGATATTGAATTATCACAGAACAAGAGGAAAGCGGTGCAAGGAATGTGATAGACCTACACGGTATGATCATGTGATTGCGTCGAAGCTTTTATCCGCGCCCAGCAACCTCTACTGAAATCCTTGCCCAGGGGTGAACATCCGAAAGCCCGAAGAAATATCAGCTTCACCAAAAATTTTCAGAACACCTGCTAACACCGGGGATAAGTTATAACCCCTGACCTATGCAAGGAGGTACATTTGCACATCTGGTGGCGTGCTTGTCTCAATGAAAAACAGCAGGCAGAGAAATTACGGGACCCCTTGATAAAAAAGAGCGTCGTTCATGTTTGTGCACCGCAAGCCGACTAGTTAGTTTCCACCCAAAACCATGTCTTCGGACGAGAGGAAATTGGGGAGACATCACTCCATGCCTCCAGACCTCCATGCCCTAGCCAATGGAGGTCAACCCGCAAAACAGGCAAAGCACCGTGACCCCGTCTCTGTTCCCATGGGGGTGGATCCATCATTCTTGTTGCTGTTATTTGTTTGGTTTCGATTTTCAAAGTCCTCCGTGCTCCGTGGTAGACTTCCGGGCGTGGGGTGGGCGCTGATAGGAGAAAGGAACAATGGTTCGTTCCTCTTCTGCACGCCGTGCGACTGTAGTCATGAGGGCCCATCGACTTTGTCAACCCGATCTCAGGAGACTCGGAGGTTGTGCAACATGGGACCACATGCACTCGCGAAAGGGCTAGAATGCGAACTTCAACTCCAGTTCCCGAGACTTTTTCCTTCACCGCTTCCATCTAACCTGTCAGAGCTGCAGCCTTGCATGTCGTTGAATGCCAACAGTTTCTCGTTGATGGCTGTTCCTGACCTCGCAAGTACAGCGTGTGAAGTAGTGCGACGTGTTGTTATGGCTTGGTATTCAAGTATCACGAGGCTGAGCGATGCTACACGACTGCAGACCGAGTGACATTGAACTCAATTCTGGGTAACTAAAACGCACATATACATTGTGAGGCAATTAAAACGCACATTTACATTGTGAGGTAATTAAAACGCACAAATACATTGTGCAGGAGCTATCAGAGTCAAAGAGTATGGCCAGCCAACGCTGTCACATTCGTTGTACCAACACCGCATTCTGCGGGCCTCAATATGCTGTGCTCTTCGTAGACGTGAAAGATTTTTCTGTGCCTTCCCATCACAATCCCATTTTCCCATCCTTTTACCAATGACCTGGAAGAAATTGATTTGTGTCGCTCTTGGCTGACATACAGCTTGACATGAAATCAACCACGACAATTCATCTTGCTTTCGACCTGCTTCGCTGGCATGGCGTCTACTCGCCCTTGGCTCGCTCACTGGCTCCCTTGATGAATCGGCTCAAGTCACCGACTGGTAGATTGAGAGGGAAGTCGACAGCCGCGAGCAGTTGTACAAAGAATAGATACCATCCCAGTAAACAAGTGACGAATGTGAGACCTCCCGCAGCGTGTTGGAGGGTGAGATTGGGATCCGAGTTTCCGATGGAGAAAAAGAAGCCAGCTAGACAGCCGAATGCACCGACTAGTGTTGCGAAGATCAAGAAGAAGATAATGTTGGTTCGGAGTGACACAACCATGTAGACGAAGCATAGAACTCCCATATAAACGTGGAAGAATGCAAATGTCGAGGCAAAGACTGGGTCGCTTGAAGCCGTTGCTGGGGTGTCTGGAGCATAGGCAATTGACGCGTTGAAGTAAGGAGTCAGAGTGGCTCCAAAAGAAAGCCAGAAGGCACCAAAAGAACCGAAAACCACGAAGGGGAATGTGTTGCCCAAAATAAACTCCAAGACCGCACCCAAGGTCATCAGGAGACCACCGAAGAAGTAATAGACGCCGCTGAGGAAAACAAGAATTAGAAGATCTCTCAAGCACAAGTTCATGGATAACTTACACTTCAGCGGACCCTAAGCCGCCAGAGCCTTGCCAGCCCAGTAGAACGTTCGACAGAGGAGTAAGGGAAAGTAGAAAGCCGACCAAAGCACTAGGACGCATTAGAAGGCAGACACACGTACAGTGTTCGGGAAACATACAGAGGTGTTGGGTTACCAACAGTTGATCGAATATTGTTCGATACCTGATTCTTGGGAGAGAGGTAGATCTTTTCAAAGAGCTCAGGAGTGATGGAAATGCTTCCTGCCGTCCGAAGTCTCCTCAAGGCAGTGTCTTCGTCATGGTGATCATGGTGAAGGTCATATTTGGTATTGCCATTGACAGAATCACTGCCGGCATGATCTTTCTCAACGTCGGGATGGTGGTGCGACATATTGGTATGGTGTAGGATGAGAGGTTCTGAAGGAACAGGTATGCGAGATATTTGAGGTGTAATGTTGAAAATGTATCCAAAATGAAGCGAGGAAGAGGGCGTTTTTGAAGGACTATACCACCAGAACAGCAACACAACAACAACATTCCACCAGGGCCTTACGGAACCCATACATAATATACCTACTCCGATAGTGTGGTGCTGTCTTGGTCTGTGACGCGAACCAAGATGAAATGGAGTGATTCTCCTCTCGGTGGAGTGGAGAGCCCCTAACCCGCTCAGCCGAGTGTCCACCATGAATTGGTCTTGAAGTCTGGGTGGAACCAGCAAGCGTAGAGTCTAACTGAATGAGATCTTGAGCGAAATTTGGAATGACGATTGGCAAGCCGGCAGGGCAAGGATGCAGGCTAGAAAAGCGGCCAGTGGAAAGCAGGCATCGACACAGTCGATGTGCAGAAGCTCGAACAAGTAAAGCCTCTTGAAAGGGATGTATTTTGTGGAGCTCAACTTGACCAATTGATCAATGGAACCAGTGGCTCAAGCTCCAAGCTAGAAAGGGAACTAAATCCATATATCCTTGCTGCGGGGAAAGCTGGGGAAGGGATGCTCGCAAATGACGAGATGATTCTCTTAATGGCGATTGACGCTGATCATGAGGATGAACGGAAACCTCAGAGGCATGCAATCGTGACATGTTTGGACGTTGTGAGTTAGGAAATTTTGACATCTCGAAGCCAAATTTCGAGGTCAATACAGTCGAGTAAAGCAGACACTTGCGAGCCTCTGGGGGGTTTCCTTTCCCCCTAGCTATGCAGGCCCTGTTACTATCCATCGTTTCTCCAAAGTACACTTGAGTTTCGTTTCAATGGTGAGTCAGTCATTGACGACGAGCACCTTGTGCATCCGTCTCGAAAGAGCTATATTTGCGGGGTTACTCTAGGGGTGACTTCGTCTGGGTGCCAGTAGATTCGGTCTCGGGGCTTGAAGTTCTGTTGATCGACAAGGTTCATCACCAGTTAGAGTGAGCAATTAATTGAGTCCCATATTAACCGCGTCGAATTATGGCCTGGAATATGTGGAAAATCCATGGCTTTACCATGCACTGTCAATGTGCATGCTGAGACAGCTGCTTTAGGGCATGGGTGTTGTTCGAATGGCCGGGTTTTGTCCGTCAAGACATCAAGATAATTGGCGACTACGTGACTTTTGAGAGGGGTCTAAGGATCGGCATCGGGTCTTGTGAAGTCGGGATAGGTAGTAGTGAGATCGACCACCAGTCTCAATCGGCCCGTGATAATGCTCATTGCGATCGAACAGGTTGGACAACAATGATCAGTAGCGGTCACAGTCTAGTCCCAAGTGAGTGACAGATCATGGCCTGTGGACACAATGTGGTCGCTGCCATCGAGTCAGCCGTGGTGGTTGTAAATTTAGCGCAGCACAATAATAGCGAAGTATGTTAGTGATGCTCGTAACACGTTTACGGAAATAGATGCTGGCTCAAGGAATGGCTGGTGGGCATCACAAAGAGTAACAATTCAATATTGGAGTCTGTTCGTGGGCCGTCATTGCTGTGGCTTGCATATCTGTGCTTCGATGCACTGAACAGAGGCCTTCCGAGCGATTGGTTGACAATCAGTGAGTGTCCAGGTGTGTTTGGTCGACTGAAGCACCCCGTAAAGATACAATAGGCGCTTCCGCGAGATCCGACTTAGAGGTTGTCTTTTGCTGTATGCGTGGATGGCAAGTAGTACCATCATACTATGCCGTGCTCAACTCACTGGTTGGGGCGATGAATTTTTTTGGTCCAACAAGTGCCGGAGATGTTATTCGCACTTGCGGGTAACAATTAGCCCCAGGCCTTAGCCCCTCCAGGCTAGTAGCTCCCCAATAGTCCGTAGGCGTCAAAGGTACTCCGTAGATTGGGCCCTGGGCTCACTAAGCCCGAGGGCCCCATCTGAATCCGCCGGAATAGGCACTCCGGGCAGAAGGCACCCGGACCTATGCTCATCATCCGTTGGCCCAGTAGCCCTGCCGCCTCAGCGCCACGAGTCGACAACAATGGCGGGCCCCCGGCTCTCCAGAGAAAACACACCTGAGTCCTGGAGAAGTTGTGGTTCACCATGAACAGTTTGAAGTGTGTTAACAGTGGATATAAGAACTATATGGGGTATATTTGCACATGAGAACGAATGATCTTGCTGGTTGTTTCCACCGTCCTCTTCAAACCAATTTTCCAGCCTTTCAGACGTTTTGGCACTATATTTGATCGCTTGGTGCGGGTGGCACCGACTAGTCGCACGCCGGACAAATATCAAAGTTGGACGACCGCATCAGATTCCCGTCCAAACAAGGTCACGTGAATCATGAGGTGAGGACCTCGTATTAGGACGTATGAAGAATTTCCCCAGCCTGCTATCCATCTGCCTTCCTGGAAGTGAGACAGCGATGGGGAGCCCCTCACATGCAAACGTGGACTGAAGGGAAGGCTGCTCGACTCGGGCCAATAATTTAATGCTCGATATCGCCACCATGTGAACCACCTTTTCGCTACCTACGAGTACTGTTGACGTCTGAGCACGAGTATCTCAAGCATACTACTTTAGTGGACTCACGTTGCAAGGAAGGACTTCATCGTCAAGTGCTGTGTGCAATTGATATTGTGGTCGTGAATGACTTGGCAACACCGACAGTGTTGCTGGACGTTCGGTCGACCCAATAACGCCTAGGTTATCAATCTTCATCACACCTGCTACGCGAGGGGGTATCATAGTACAATTTCTGCAAGCACCAATGCCACAACTTCGGTCGGAATCACCGTAATCCGCTCAATCCAAGATGCCGTTGGTTCGCTCCTCGACGATAATGGTCTTCAGCCCGTCTTGTCGCTTGAAACAGTAAACAAACCCACGATAATCGATACATGTCCCGCTGGGGATCATTTCGCTCCGGCACCTTCCAATCTGGTCACCAGCCGCTTCATTCCCTTCCAGTCTTCTTCGTTAATCTCGGTATTTCCGCCCTGCAGACCTTTGCCCACATCAAAGACGGTTACTACCCCATCGAGGCCTCCAACCGCAATTTGACTTCCACGCTTCTCCTCCCATGCAAGTTTGTTCAGTCCTTTGAAAGGTACAATACCACTCTTACCTCGAGTCGGGCTGGCTTTGGTGATGGGCACTTCGAGGTCGTAGCTCAAGTCGAAGACTTCAAGATCACCAGAACCTGTGACACACGCAAACACGGATGGCTTGTATGGGGCCCACTTGGTGTCATATACTAGATCCTCACGTGCGATATCAAGAATAGGTCGGACTACGGGATCTTTGTCTGCCACTGTTGCAACAGAACTTGCGGCAGGCTTGACCCGCCAGAGCTTGATACTCCAATCGGAGCTTGAACTGAGCAGGAGATCACCTAGATCCAGGGGCCCGCGTGTTGGGTGAAATTGAGAACTCATGACTGGTGCTTTATGGCCGCGGTAAGCCACACGATTGTCCACTCCAGCTTGAGCGCCCGCTCGATCGTAGCGGTGGCATGGATAAATTGACCCTTCCTCAGTACCGACAACGAAGAAGGTTGGGTCAGATGCTGGGAAGCTCATACTCGTCGGTGCAAGATCGTCAGTCCGGGCTGGAGGTGGAGTATTGAGAACCAGGTATTCTTGTGCTTGGGTTAACATATCGACAGACCATGAGCAAACGACGCCATCCATGGACGCGGTCAGAATATTATGAGCATTGGGGGTCCCCACCACATTTATACTGTAGACAGGATGAGTGTGTCCGAGATGTGAGCCTGATTGGGGGGTTTTCTGGACTGGTTGACCTGTTCTACCAGAAGATCTTGTATCCCAGAGGCATATCTGGCCAGAATAACAACCCCCAATGACGAGATTGGGGTGGAATGGTGAAAAGCGGGCTGAGAGCACATCTGACGAAGCTGTAAAATGGTATTCTGGACTGGACGGGGCGTGAGTATTCCACAGAAGAACCAGGCCTGCAGGTTCATGGGGGGCGGACGGGTTCTTGGTGTAGGAGGATAAGAGGAGTTCGTTGAAATGTGGTGAGAATTGTATGTCTGAGACGATTCGTCTTCGCGAATGTCGGTCGGAAAATAATTGAAATGATTCACGTAAGGAATGGGACTTTTTGCTCGATCGTGCATAATTCATATCGTCATCGCTATCATCCAGGGTGGACGTTCGGGTATAATCAGTCAACAGATCATATTCGTCGTCCAAATCCAAGGCTCGCTCAATGACTTTGGAAGATCGCTCGACGAATGAAACAAATTCAGAGGAGGCAACAACCGCGTTCAACTCGGTATTGGTCAAGGTTCGAAGGGGGAAGCGTTGATGAGACGATGCGGATGAAAATGGTGCAGGCTCTCTGTTGAGTGTGTCCCTCACCTCTTCCTCGATCTCCTTTCGCAGGCTCAATCTTATCTCTTCGTCTCTTTCTTGCTCCCGCCTACTGAGTCGCTTTTTAGAGCGCACCGGTTGTTCATCATCAGAATTGCTCTGTGATTGCGGAGTGTCGTCTAGGTATGCCTCGGTCTGTACACCTTTATTGTAGGTAATATATTCGCGTTTAGCAACCACGGGTTCCGTCGTAGAGGAAGGTTGCTCATAGAGTGGGGGTGCAGATGGAGCCGAGTCAGTCTGTGTGGACATGGATTGCATCAACACTCGAGGTGAGGGTTCGAGGTCGGACTGGGGAGTGATCTGGCCGGTGCCTTGTAGAGAGTTGGGCCGACTTGCTCTTCTCTTGTCAGAGGCTGTTGAATCTCGTTGTCGCCCGAATATCTCAGATAATATATTGTTGACCTCATTTTTACGCTCCTCCGCGGTCCTGCTTGGGGAGGGTGCCTGCGAGTAGATATGATCAGCGCTGGTTTACTGCCATGCTATCTTAGTAGACCTACCTCCCCGATGCTGTGGCGTCCAGAGGTATATTGCTCCTCGCGTAATGCTCGTTGCCGCTTGAGTTCGGCGAGACGCGCCTTTTTGGCAAGGAGTTCATCTTTGTGGGAGGACATGGTGAGAGAGTCGACGAGAAGGGGGAGGGGGAGGAAAGTGAGGTCCAGGGAGGATTGGGTGAAGTCGCAGGAGGATGTGGTTCTAGAAACTTATTAGCGATGTATGTATGGATAGTGTAATGACAATTCGACCTCCCCGCTCCTATGTTGATGCTGAAGGGCGGATAGTGGAATTGAGATTGTAATAGTAAGTGTAATGACTAGTATATAGCAAGCGGAAATTCTCAGGTATCTATCTAGGTAGGTACTATACCTAGCAATGTGTCGTTCACCGTGTCTATAAAAGGATTGATAGTGTAACAGCAGTCTGTCGCCCGCCGTATCTATGAAATAGAAGGATTGGTAGTAAATGGAATGGACAGTTTATTGGCCATGGGATACGTAGGATGCTACTGTGGCCAGTCTAAATGGCCGTCTGTCGTCCGCGGAGTGTACTACTACCAAGGTTCGCAATGGAGGTTGTCGCCCGCCGTATCTCTGAAAGCGGCCACATACCTGAGTACTTATTTTGGCTGTGGAATGCCGCTGCTATATCAGATTGGAGACTTGGTCACGTGACAAGATCCCGTGGGTTTTTTGTTGGAGCTTCAACTTTCTTCGGGATCAATTGGGATCAGTTCGACGTGAGTTCAAGCTACCACGAATCCACGACACCACCTTCTCGATAATATCAACCAGCTCGGGGCGCCGTCAACCCTTGAGTGAAGAGTGCGCGATCAATTGCAGCAGACAAAGACCTAAAAACCGCCAGTCCACTACCAGTCGCTCCCCCTTCCAATTCACCATGTCAACCTCACAAGGAGTCAATGTATGTCGATTTACACATCTGCTTTGGCGAGAGAACGACTCGCAGGGTGCAGTTTTGTCATGGAAAAGCTCTAACAAGCTCTAGGTGCTCCGATATTCGGCTCTTTTTGCTGGCTTATTCTACGGTTTCTCCCATCAAAGAACAATCAGCGCAAACACCGCAGCCGCACATGCTCAGGCCGAATACCAACACAAGATCGATTTAATACAGAAAGCAAAGGTCGAATGGGCTAAGAAGACTATGCCTTCCTCATCGAAGACGGACGATGGTATGTGCTTCCCGTGATGCTGTAACTGCCTCTACTTTACAGGCCGGTACTGACTTTAGTCTCTTTACAGTTGATCTTAACGATAAGAACTTCGACCTAGATGCATATTTGACAAAATTGGCGGCAGAAAACTAAAGATTGAGGACGAATGTTTAGGTTAATCAATGTTAAGATGGCATTCCGAGTTCCAGGAGTGACAGAGGGGACACATTAGACATGGCGCTTTTGTCGAACTGGCCATTGTTATACGGGCTTCAACGAATGACGCCGCGCCCATGGACGAGCGCAAAAACAACCGAAATCATCAAACAACTTGTACATACATGTCTGCCGCAGTTCCTGGTCTGTAAAAACATCGAGTACGCTTTTCGCTGGAATTTCAGGACTTCTTGACCCCGGTTCCATGAGATTGACCACCAGTGGCAGCTCTACCTTTCATGCAGAGACTTGGGTCTAGGTCTCGCATCTTTTCTCATTGATTCAATATGGATCCACCTTTCATAGTGCTTTCCCCTTGCAGTGACTAACTTGACGGCTTCTTTGGGGTTGGGCACTTGGTGACCTTCTGATTATGGCTTACTTTCCAGACATACTGATCGAAATTGCCGACCTCGGTGCTCTCTGGTTTCTCGATGGCTCTCCTTTCCACGTTGTTACTCCTCATCATTCTTCCTCTTTCAAATCCTATTTGGTTGGCTAATTTTCTGATCTTGAAAGAGAATTGAAGGGAGGTGTGCTTTTCCCGGACACGGATTTGTAAGAACCAATGAATATCCACTTCGTGGCATGGCTCTCGTTGAGGCTATCGATGCTCTATTTGTCAGGTAAGATGGGAGTCCACTGATCGAAGTCACGATTAGAAACCGAAGGGATTGCTTTAGCCTGCAAGGAGAAGTTTTCGATAGAGACCAGGCGGACACCTTGGACATGACTTATATGGGAAAGGCATGATCTTCAGAGAAACAAGACAACGAGAAGCCTTTTCCACATCAAGCCATTTGTTTGCAGGAGATCGAGGCCAAGCAGAAACGTTCGATTGTGGAGGTGTTATTCAGACGAATAAAATGAAGTACAAGAGCTAATGCCAATGAATCGGAGAGTCGATGCCAATCAGCCATGGAAGCAGTGGCCATGCCAGCGGGCCTGCTGGTAGTCGCAGTGCAAGCCTTCATCTCCGCGGAGAAAAGTCAACCCGAGCCTTTCTTGCAACACATTGGAACCTGCTGTACTCTCCTTTACGATTTCCCAGCGTACGCCTGGCTAGTTGCGGGCCCGCACGACGCCAGCTATCCATACATCATGACCAAAGCCCGCTGCGGACTTAATTTCGGGGTGGACGCCGTCGAATGGTGCGTCAGGACTCAGGAGAAGGTGAGAGAGACCCTCCTGTTCATCGACGTCGCTGTTGGGATTCTTTGGCTCACGGCGGATGCGTCGTGCTTTGGGCTCTTGAATGAGAAAGGAAAAGCCAATATCGCGGCCCAAGGTCTTGGTATCCGCATACTGGTTTGGCCCCTTATCCTTCTCTGTCCCAGAGGCTGCAAGCAACAACCAAAGGATCCTTCATGATCGTCACGCTATAAATGGTAGCAACGGTCCAGCATCGTCCCAGTTTTCTCGGGACAATCGGCAGCATCGAGAGACACGGCACATACTAATAGACATTAATAGAATTATCCTCGCGACAATCAGCGGCACCGAGAGACATGGCATATACGTGACAATCAGCGGCACCGAGAGACACGATATATACTAAAAGACATTAAGAGAATCATCCTCGCGACAATCTGTGGCACTGAGAGACACGGCACATACGCGAAACCAGCGGCACCGAGAGACATAGCATATACGCGACAATCAGCGGCACCGAGAGACATAGCATATGCGTGACAATTAGCGGCACCGAGAGACACGGCACATGCTGGAATTTATCGAGAGAGTCATCTGAAAATAACGGCCTGCGCCCTGACACCTTCTATCACTCAAGTCACCCAAAGTAGGCAACATTTACTCATCACTTCTCCTTCGAGTTTCCATCAAGCCCTTTCGACGCCAGCAGGCACGATTTCAACACGACAATCAAGCACGCTTGCCTCTAACGGCTGATTTGATGAGAAACAAGAAGATAAAGAATAAGTATTAAGCCCCGCCAACCATTCCGCATGGATAATCTACCGCTTCTACCTCCTCACATATTGATGACTTCGAAATATCTCAAGAAGCACCACAAGAAACACAAAACGTTATGAGCTAGCCTGCTAAGTCTGCTTCTACTCTGAGACAAAGAGAAGAGTCAACATCAATAATCTCGAAGTCGAGTCTGGCCATGATCTTTCGTAGCAGTGTCCAAGCTACATTCAACCAATCACAAGCCCCGCAAGAACAGCAAATAATGAATTAAACAATCAGAGTGCCCAAAAATAAGTACGCAACGTACCAGGTCAATCCTACGGTGCATGGACAATCAAGCGGTTATAAATCGACAGCTTCTTCCCGACTATGCCTTATGAAGAGGGCATCGAAACAATCGTGATTCAAGACAGCAAGACGTACCATCGAATAGCACAATATTAACCGTGTTCAATTCCTCACCTCAGCTAGAGACGATCCTACATTGACACAACCAACTCGACCACAATCCACTGTTTCGCTACCCGTATAGCCGCCGGGTGACACAGGAACCTAACAGTAGCGGTTCCAGCCCTGGATGGAAACATAATCCTAGCTAACACAAATAATCAGCTGACGAGCCTAAGCATGTCACCCGGCAATGGACTACGAACGAAGCCATATCAGCAACAGAGGCTACTCACCGAAAGACAAGAGTTAAATTCCTGAGGGGGAAATCAACACCCAAGCATAACCCCCAGACGTAGCCATTGAATCTTGTAATTTCCAAATCTCAGACAGTAGTGCCACTAAAATTCCGAGAGTACATATCATGGACCACTCCCAGGATTCTGTGGAAGAGTAAGGCAAACTCACCCGCAGTGGGGTTGATATAAGTCAATACTCAAACAGAGAACATATACCAGGTTTTTTTGTCAAACGTTGGCCCCGAATATCCTCCATCAAGGATATTTGATGGGCAACCGGGGACGATAGGCTTGGCACCCGTTGACTACATTATCCGGGATCAACTAACAGCTTCACAACGTCTTAGGATTTTCACAATTCGACACGAAGATTTAGCGAGCTAGCGGCCGCCATTCACAAGTACTCCCGTACCAGGTATATCACGGCATCCGTCCTCCGACCCTAACAGCCGTGTCGTTTCCCATCTATCTAAGATGTCAACACCGCCTACCCTTCCCAATACACTCAACAACTATTCACTTCAAATAGTCCTGGAATCCTTGACACCAGCATCGTTTGCTTCTTTCGGAAGCGCCATCTCACCCCCATTTGTCTCAAATTTAAATACACCACCCTCCACCGTCCCAACCACTCGCCATGCACCACAACAGCCCGCCGCGGTATTCGCCAACCAACAATCAGCACTGAAAACATCTCCTATCTCGGTGTTCGAAAACAACTACCCAAATGCGCCGACTGCGGTGGCCAAGCCGCAGATGAGCATGTTCTCGTGTTTCCCACGAAATCTGAGCGTGATCGGCATCGAGAAGGAAGCTGGATCTCTTGAAGCCAAGGCCAAATTCAAAGTCAACATCCTCGAACGCCACCCTTACACGACCCAGACGTTCTCTCCGCTTGGTCTTCCCGCAAATGCCGAGGATGGAAGTCGAGCGAAGACGTTCTTCCTCGTGATCGTCGCGCCTTCTCTGCATGGTACCACCACGACTGCTTCAGGATCTACCCAAATCACAAATCCACCAGATCTGAATCGACTCCGCGGATTCATTGCTCGAGGCGACCAGGCCGTTACATACGGCGCGGGGACCTGGCATGCGCCAATGGTCGTACTGGGCGAACGCCGAGTGGATTTCTTGGTCACGCAATTCGTGAATGGCATCGCGGACGATGATTGCCAGGAAGTGCTCCTGGGAGAGAACAATCACGTCTATGTCGCTTTGGATGGTTTGGGCTTGAATTTCAATTCGAGCACGAGAGAAGATCTGAGATCGAGACATACAGACTCGAAGTTATGAATTAGGACGGGCGGACTCCGCAATCATATCAGCTTCCACCATAGACTACTTTTGGGGACAAACACTGTCGTTTCGACCTTTGTGTTTCATTGGACGTATTCGGCCTCGAAGCTATGAGTTAGGACGGGCGGACTCCGCAATCATATCAGCTTCCACCATAGACCACTTTTGGGGACAACACTGTCGTTTCGACCTTTGTGTTTCATTGACTTGTTCAGCCTCGACCTTCGCAAGACCTAGACCGTTGCGATTGTTGAGCCTGACCATCATAATCAATTGATTGTCCTTGGACTTTACGATTGATCGTCCTCGACCTCCATAATTGATTATCCTCGACCGTTGCAATCAATTGTCCTCGATCGTCCCCATTGATCGTCCCCATTGATCGTCCCTGACCTCCGCATTTGATTGGATTTGCGTGGATAATACCTTCGCAATTGATTGGATTTGTGTGGACAATACCTTCGCAATTGGTTGGATTTGTGTGGACAATGCCGTCACAATTGATTGAATTTGTTTGGACAATACCTCCGCAACTGATTGTATGCATGTAGTTCTTCGGACACTTGTTTTGCCATTCCTTGGCCTCATATGGGGTGCATGTTCGAAGGGGATTGGACGAGCTTGTTCTACATTGGTATAGCCCTGGACTGGTATGGTGAGAAGATTGCTGACCGAGGGGGGTAAATGATGCTGGTGTCAATGGTTCCAGCGGTATCTGAAGTAAACAGTTGTTAGTTGTATTAGGAAGGGTAGGTAGTGTGCACAGTTTTGACAGCGTATTGGTCATTTCCTTGATTGCTAACTAAGCTAGCTGGTTGCTGAATTGCAACAACTAATAGAGGCTGGAGGACGATGAAACTCAGCAGGCGCCAAGGCCATCGTCCCTGATTGTTCTAAAAGATACAGAAAATTTGCCTGATTGTCCACAAACTCGTGCAGAAAACCCCGCCATCACCCTCGATTGATCGATTGTCCACAAAACATGGTTTCCGCCGTGACTTTCGGTAGCATTGTCTCTGCTCTCTCACAGGCCTATGTTCTTATGACTCGTCTTCCTTCATGCGTCACCGTTCCCATTGACTCCAGCAGAGCCATCGTCTTTGCGAGTACCATTGTGTTGTTGACCTTTCTCCTCGGCGATTCGTGCCTCTTCACGCTTCTTCTTCTCGTCCGATTCCTGTTTGGCTGCAGCTACTGCGGCTTCAATGTCTGCTTCGAGTGCACCTTGTGTCCAGGTCACAGTACCACCATCAACGTTCATCTTGAACAGATCTAGAATTGATGGGGGCACCCCAACGTCCGTGACACTAACGAAGGCCTGGCGTCGACTTTCAATCAACGTCTTTTGGATTTCGAATGTTGATTGCCAGAGTTTGAAGAGTGTATCTTGAAGAATTTTGATTGGGGATAGAACGTTCGTGAATTTAGCCCTACCAAGCTTCTTGATGGTCTCTTCATTGTCCGTGACTTGAGCTTTGAACATTACCATAACTTGAGAGATAGTTGCCATTTGTCGAGCAGGGTCATAAGTGTATGGAACGGCCAAGGTGTTCTTGAAATCACAATCATTGTTTTCAATCAGACGCCACAGTGCACCGAGGTCCATTGTCTTCGCGATGTCGGATGCGCCCCGCCATGGGTGTCCTTTGCCTTTGGTATCGTCGCAGATGAAGTTGATGAGGTCGGATTCAGTGATGTGGTCTGGAAGCTCATGGGTCCATTGAATACGATCAGCTAAGGTATCTAGGTCCCCTGCAAGAGGAACGTTCGATTTGAATCTCTGTTGATCGCGCTCGGCAGGTTCAAACTTCTGGAAATCGCCTGTAAAGTCACGCAGGATGAATTCGATGGTTCCGTGAGTGGTGACCCTTCCAAGGACAATTCTTCTGATTGAGGTGTCTGGCTTCCAGAGTCCGAGTAGTGCTTCATTGCCACCTGGTTCTTGCGGAGCGAATGCATGTTCTTGACCGAGCTTTTTCCAGCGTTGTCCCAGAGACGATAAACCGCCGACCATTGCTGGCCTACCTCCACTTCCAAAGTCTTCTTCGACAGTGGACGATGCACGGCCGATGGTTACTATCTTTGCTTTACCATCACTGTCTCGCTTGGTTGGAAGTTGAGTCACATTGTCCTTGTCTGAATCGTCGCTGTCGGTGGTAGCTTGATCGTCTTCGTCGCTGCTCAGTTCGAGTCTAGTCACGGGGAACTTAGGCTTGGACCATCCACCGGTTTTGGGTTTAGGCAATGCATGCTTGGGCTTCTTGGCCGATGAGGATGCTGTAGAGCTGATTGTCGAAGACGTTGCAGGCTTGGAGGTCGGGGTGGTTGATTGTCTGTTCTGGACCGAGCTACCCGGGACGAAGCCAATAGGGAAGCTGAGTCCTTTCTGAATGCGAGTGGTGTTCTTTGACTTGAAGTCGGTAGGCCAGTTGGCCTCCAGCAGCTCCCAATCTCGCGGCAATCCGGATTGGCCCTTGTTCAATGCTCTCCGAATTCGACGATTGGTGCCGACTTGATCGAGGTGCGCCTCCGCAGGCATGATTGACTGCTCGGTGCTTTTCTTGATTGTTTGATTCTTCGATAGGGATTCGTGAATATTGGAGAGGAAGGGAGGAAGGGAGCAAGTTTGAAGTTTGGAAGAGTTGCTGGGAGTTCGGAAGGTGGGAGGAATGAGAAAAGGTGTAAGATGAGTGGTTGCCTACAGTGTGAAGTGAAATGAACGAGATATGATGAAGTGAGGTTTACTTACCCGATTGAGATGCCTTTTCTCACTTACACTTCACTGAAGATATCACTTCCTTTGGAAGTTTTCAGGTTGGCTGATTGTTCGCGGGCCTTCGAATATCTTCGTCACCTACACCCTCTAGAAGTCCGGGTTACCTGATTGTTCGCGAGCCTCAGAACGTCTTCATCACCTACCCCGTTTAGAAGTTTTCAGATTACTTGATTGTTCGCGAGCCTCAGAACGTCCTCTTGCCTTACCCCTTTAAAAGTT